CGTTGATCTTTCGCCAGCTCTCCTGCCTCATGTACTTTCATACTCAAGGAGTCACTTATGTCCTGTGCCCATCTTCGTGTTGGTCAGCCCCTGCCCCTCCTTCCTGGTACCATGCCTTCTGCTATTATTTTTTCCAATCTGTCTTTGCGCTTGATATGACCAAAATATTTCAGCTTTTGAGAAATGATGCTGTTTATTAGCCAATCTTCCTTGATGTTCAGATCTTTTAAGATGTCATTATTTCTCATTTTCTTTGTCCAAGATATTCTGAGAATCTTTCTATAGCATTTCAGCTCAAAAGCCCCTACTCTATTTCTTAAGGACTGAGAGATAGTCCACGACTCACATCCGTATGTAGCCACAGGGAAGATGCATGCTCTTAAATTTCAATTTCAAGGCTGTTCAATCTTTGCATTGCTATGGCCATCCTCCTTTTAATTTCTATTGAACAGTCTCCATTAACATATCCATCATCATCATCTTCATGTAGCAGGTCCTTTGTAGGACGTCGTCCTCATCAAAGTCTGCCTGAAAAGAAATTTGGTCTCTCACCAGTTTTCCCGCACTTTCTTATCTAAGCAGTTACTTATATCCTGTGCCCACCTTCATGTTGGTTGGTCCCTGCCCCTCCTTTCTGGTACCATGTCTTATTCTATTATTTTTTTTTACTCCACTGTGGCACATGATATGACCAAAATATTTCAGCTTCTGAGACAAGATGCAGTTTATTAGCCAATCTTCCTTGATGTTCAGATCTTGTAGAATGTCAGTATTTATTTCCTTCTTTGTCCAAGGTATTCTGACAATCTTTCTATAGCATTTCAGCTCAAAAGCACTTATTGTCTTTCTTTAGGATCAGAAAATAGTCCATGACTCATCTGCAAATGTAACTACAAGGACAACACATGCTCTCAAAATTTTAACTTTATTTGATTTCCTTGTAACCATAGACTTTTAACCCTCTGGAGAAGACGCGGCCGAAATATCGGCCTGACACAAAGTAGCCAAAAGGACAACTGGGCCGATCGGTCGGTCCTATGTAATACAAGCCTTGAGATTAGCTGGCAGGTTTTTGTAACCAGCCAGTCAGACTGCTTCTCGCATTGCCAGAAGTGTTTCCATGAGCCTTATTGCCCAAACAAATGTTTTATTCAAGTTTCATCCATTAAAAAATTAACCCAAGTTTTTTAGGTTATGTTTGTTCCCAAGTTTTAAAAACATGCTTGCATAAACTATGCAAAACAGAATAGTTAATTTTTTCAGGTTAGTTAGGTTTGTTCCCAATTTTTTTTTTTTTTTTTTTGTTTTAAATTGCTTGCATAAATTATAAAAATCAGAATAATTTATCTGAATAAACGTTGAGATTCCAGATTGATTTATAAATATTCTGTTAGTTCATTCATGTATATAACACTTTTTTTGGCTATCCTCCATATAACGGTCCCAAATTATCAAGGCCGAAAATATACCCTAACAGGGCCTCAGTCACATGTAAATTGCGGACTTCCGGCGACTACCGCCACCAAAAAGAGTACTCTTGCGCCGCTAAACTAGATGACTGGGACTTACGAGCAAATAAAATTAAGGAAGCTGCAGGAGATGCGGTAGCTGCTGCTCGTGAGTCCTAGCCATCTAGTTTAGCCCTGCTCCATGCCGCATGTATCGGCATGGAGGGTACTCTCGGCGGTGGCCGCCGAAAGTCCGCAATTTAAGTCGCTGGAAGTCCGCAATTTACATGTAACTGAGGCCCTGTTAGGGTATATTAGTATATTTTCGGCCTTGATAATTTATGACCGTTATTTGGAGGACAGCCCTTTATTTTGTATAATTTTTTGTGTATAAACTATGAGAATCCCTTCCTGAAGGCTTCCATTTTTTGGCACTGAAACTCCAAAAAAGTCTCTGCCTCCAGAGGGCTAATGATAATGCCAACAATGTTGTAACTGCTATATATATGGCCATCCTCCTTTTGATTTGATTTTGGTCGAACGAAAAGTCTTCATTCATTGTCTAGCAGATCATGATATTCAAAGCTGATATTTAATTTACATAATAATAATACACACAGCCACTTAATTTGAACACAGTGCATATATTCATTTGTGCGAATTTTCAAGAAAATAAATTTAGCCTATCTATTAATTGAAATAATTGGACTAGCTAAAAAACTAAACAATGAACAACGGACAAGAAAACATTGCCGACTATGTTCACTATGACTAACAATACTCAATAGTCAACACAATAGCAATATACACACACAGCTCACAATTTTAAAAAAAAATTGTTAACTGTATTTTATCTCAGTATTTGGTATTACCTTTTGTATTCCTGCCTGTGTTGGAGGCTGGCTGGGTAGTTTCTGGTGCTGGGGGACGTAAGCGGTCGACATGGTGGTGGTGCTTTGTGCTGCTGTCCGATAAAAAATGTGTTAGTGTTATTATGATCAGGCCTGGGTCAGCGTTACTCTCCCATGCAGGAGTCTGGTTGTAGTCTAAATACCGAAACATACGAGAAAGGCTTAATATAATAGTAGTTGCAGCAGCATCAGCGGTGGTGGTGGTAGTAGTAGTAATATTGGTGGAGGTAATGGTAGTAGTAGCAGCAGCAGCAACAGCAGTAGTAGTAGTAGTAGTAGTAGTAGTAGTAGTAGTAGTAGTAGTAGTAGTAGTAGTCATTTTTCAAAAATGTCCTGTTCAACCACCAGGGCTATCATTGAAATATATAGTGGTAACTGATTTTTCAGAGTATATATTTGTTATTTTTTATTTATGTATCGCTTAAATATTTAAATGTCCGATGTATAATTTGTATTGTTTCACATATTGCATTGATTTATTGACCTGGCTGCCTCAAAATACAAAGATAAGTGATATTGTGTATTTGTGTAGTATTGTCTAATTTTTGTAGGTGCTGAAGAAGGCTCCATAGCCGTAACGTTCAAATTTTGTGTGTTTGTAAGCTCGCTGATATACTTTTCTTTCAGTTTTATGTCTTTCCTTTGATTTGAGTTATGATTGTGATAGAAACTGTGCTATGAATAATTAGACAATCTTACTAAATTTGTATCATTCACATGTTGCATTTACTATTCCCTTAGTAAAACAGCTGATTATTCTTTTCGATTTTGTATCAGCAAAGGTACCATTAATTTTATCCTTGAGCTCTGTGGGAGTTCTCGTGCTTTTTACTTGCCCCGAATTACTGATCCGTCTGTGTAAAATATAATATCACCCTCGACTGTGTTTTCACCAATTAGCGTTCTGCATAAAGTGTCAACTATGTCAGGAATCTGTTCTTTGTGGCTTCTACCAAATGTGATATGAAATAAATGAATGAATCAATAATTGACATCACTGCACGCGGAACATTCCCATAGGTGCACCGTCCCCTTCTTCAGTAGCCAACGAAGAGTTGACTTGCTAATAGCACAAACTGCAACCTGATCAAAAGTCGGCCCCCCTCCCCTTTCAGTGTTGAATATCTTACAGATCATCTACATCCACCCCTCCATTTTTAGCAGCAGATCGTGTCTGTAGTGCATTTTGGTAGTGAATTGTTACGGCAAGGCATATGCGGTAAAATCACTTTGATCGTAACGTGGAAATGTGAAAATACCAGTACGGTATTTAAAAAGTGATGCAACTGGGGAAGGGACTAGAGTATTTGATGGTGACTCGCCGCTCCAGGAACAGACAAGACACACATTTATATAATTAAATGAAACTTCTGATGCTTTAGTAGTGCTGGAACCAATTGCTGGCTCTGAAGATGATAACAGGACGCTTATGGGAATTTAGGGTGATGTAATGTCAGCTCTTAACTATAAAATAGACCTGTCAGTTAATAGTGCAGTATATCACAAAAAGACAGTCCCTGTCCCCTTGACCAACAGCATTATCATGGTCAATGCTGATAAGCGTAGAGATATCACACGATCACTAGAATTATGGATAAGGTCGGTGTTCTAGTTGTGCACTGACCATGTCGTCAAGCTATCGATGTATCTTTCTCCAACACTTCATGGAAACAATCAACAGAGGTACCTTGGTGATACTGCTGCATCGAGGGACTAAGCTCGCATAGGAATGCTTGAGGTGCAGTAACATCGACTGTGATAACAACATGTATTTTACTATTTAAATCTTAGTCATTACTCTTTCTTTCCATTTTTTTTTTTCTCACCGCATCCGTCTCCTAAAACGGATACAATCAAACTCTGACTGGTGTGTCAGAACTAGAACTCTGCGCTTGCTGCTAAAAATGGGGACAGAGCGCTAATGGCAATGTCCCCAGTGCTGTGTTGCCGATTATTAATTAGCCTTTTGTCTCCCTGACTCTTTGTAATTTCTTGTCGTTCGAAAAACACATACACCGGAGCCATACAAGTAGACATTTGCTGCGGCACACTTGCTCCGGCTTTCAACTTCCGGCACATCTTACATTGCAAATTTACAAGAGAAGAAAATGAGCGACAGATACGATCGTGCTATTACTGTATTTTCTCCTGATGGCCACTTATTTCAGGTTGAATATGCACAGGAAGCTGTCAAGAAAGGATCAACCGCTGTAAGAAAAAATAATCATTAGGACTGGAATATGCCATGCACTGTAGTAATTATACATTATTTTAAAACGCTGGTACTTGTACTTCACTAAAACTTCGACCCTAAGGGACGTAATCTAATAATGTAACATAATAAATAAAAAATAAATAATACTTTAAACGCCTACTCTAGGGGACGTAATTCATTGTTTGTGTAAGTCCATATAATAATATTCTATTTATTATTGTTTAAAGCTAGGAGTAGAGTTGGGCTCTCCTAGCAGATTTGGCCGGCAAGTAGGTCGGCTTTGGTCGGCGTAGTGGGAGTTCTTTCCCTTGGCAGCACTCACAACAACGAGCGGAAAAAGTCACGACTCAAACACGACAGTGAGGTTGACATCAGGGCTGCCAATGCTTGGTTGTGTCCCCCAGATCTGGTTTTTTCTTTTGACGCTGCGGGAAAATCTGGGGTTTTTTAAATTTTTTTTTCTGTGTGTCTGTCTGTGGGTGTTTTGCCGATCTGTAAGCTTTAATGACCAATAAATTTGCGTGTTTAGGGTTAGCGGTAGGATTAGGGGTAGGGTTAGGGGTTAGGTGTAGCATTAGATGTGACAATTGTGACGCCGTAGTTCCCTATAATCGCGCAGTCGCATGCACGCGCAAACAGTCAACGGACGGTGGATGCTACTGACACGGACAATTCGCCACCGATTGGGCACCAGCCGCGCGCTATTGCCGTCATATTTGCCACACTTCTAGTGGCGCCACTCCCACAAACATCAGATTGTCGGCCAGAATTTTGACCTCTTACGTGAAAATTTTCACATCTAACCCTAACCCTAACCCTACCGCTAACCCAAACCCTAAGCAACCCTACACGCAACCGTAGGACGATGATAGACACCCTACGCAGCCCTACATGCAACCGTATGATGATGATAGACACCCTACGCAGCCCTACGCACAACCGTAGGATGATAGGTAACCCTAGACGCAACCCTACACGCACCCGGATGATGGTAGGTAAGTATGTCATTTGATTCGTGACTTTTTCCGCGACTTGTTTTGAGTTTGGCGAAGGGACATAACTCCCATAACTCCCACTAAGCCGGCCGACGCCGTCTAGCTTGCCGGCCAAATCTGCTAGGAGACCGTAGAGTTGTAACCCTAATCCAAACCCTAACCTGGAGCCATATCAAATGTTTCGGAACATTATATGTAAATTTACACAGTGATAATGGATTGTCTCTTAATGTCGCCATATAGTGATAAACAAACAATACATAGATTAGATTGTGTTGTTTCTATTTCTTGCGGTCGCTGTTCGAAGTGATGCCAAAAATTCTTTTCATGTTTCAAATAATCTTGTTATCCCTTTAGGAGATGCAATTTTTTGTTATTTGAAGCCCTACTCTGGCTCTTGCCAGTGGCTGCTCAATATAGCCCAGCCATAAATATTGTCCAATGGCTAAACGCGGTTTCTGGGACCTCGCACGGGTGATCCTCATTCACATGGTGGCACTTTGTGTCACCAGGTCTTTATCGCTTTTGTGATGTCCTGGTGGGGTTAAAAAAAAGATAGATAGATAGATAGTCTAAATTCGGTCAAAGCAGTGATTTTTTTTTTTTTTTTTTTTTTTTTTTCAACTTTTCAATGGTTTGCTTTTTTGTCAGACTCTTAATAAATAAAGTTATTATTTATTTTAATTATTTATATTGTACAAGTAATTCCTGAAGCAGAAAGTTGCTTTTCAAAAATAAGAGCAGCAGAATGTAACTTAATGCTGTAAAAATTTTCCATGCCTTTTAATGATATTATTATTACCTGCTACAGTGTTAATTAATGACAATTAATAAATAATAATGTTTAATATAACCCTTTCTGACTGGTCTTCATAATAAATACTATTATAATTATAGATCTCTGGAAGAGAATCACAAATTTAAAATACCACAAATGTAACTTTATTGGTGGTGTGTCATGATGGAAGACAAATGTTAAGATATGACCATCATGTGCTTATATTTGTTCAAGGGTAGAAGTACAAAAGACTTATGAAGTCTGTAATCCAAAGTATTTGTACATCTGAAGTAGAACAGGAAAGACCATGACACATCCAGAGCAGGAAAGAATTAAGTGGGGAAGAGACTAAACAAGACTGAGTATGCTACAGGGTAGAAAAGGAAAGACTTCCAATCGGAAAGACTCTCAAAAGGAAAGAAAGACTCTTAAAAAGAAGGACTTCCAAATGCGAAAGACTTCTAGAACGAGACTCTCAAAAGGAAAGACTGGCTATCCTCCGAATAGCGGGAACAAAATAGAGCCTCAGTCACGTGTCAGTTGCGCACTTCCGGCGACTTAATTTGCCGTTTCCGGTGACTACCGCCACTGCCGAGAGTATCCTCATCTCCTGCAGCTTTGCTTGTGAGTCCCAGCCATCTAGTTTAGCCCCAATCCACGGAGCGTGGGGGATACTCTCGGCGGTAGTCACCAGAAAACCGCACATTAGGTCGCCGGAAGTGCTCAATTTACACGTGACTGGGGCCCTGTTTTTTGCCGCCAAAATATGTGCCCGTTATTCAGAGGATAGCCGAAAGACTATTAAAAGGAAGTACTTCCAAAAGGAAAGATTTTGAAAAAGAAAATGCGAAAAAAGAGGAGGAAAAATTCTTGTAAGACTTCCACTTCAATACTGTAAGATAGAAAATGGAAGATAGACTAGAACAAGGCTATTTAACTGGCGGCATGCGGGCCAAATCCGGCCCTCAAGGACCTAGCTAGTGGCCTGCTGATCAATTATAAGGAAAAGTCATTAAGAAAAGGCAATTGTATTAAGTTTTTTACAAGTGGCTGGAACAAAATTGTTCCGTGTCCTATTTCTCGACAAGTGTCCCTGCCTTGCAACACATATTGTCCACCGATCCACAAGATTTTGATTGTCCACCAGGTTGAAGCATTTGGTTGTGGCCAGTAACCAAGTTTACACCACCATCATCCTCTCTTTGTCGTCTGCAAATCTCTGACCCTGCAAATATTCTTTCAATGGTCCAGACAAATGAAAGTCTTGATAGTGCCAAGTCTGGGCTGTATGTTTCAGTACTTCAAACAGATGATTCTGTTGTGTATCCACTGTATGTGCAGCCTGTGGGGGCGGGCATTGTTATGCAGCAGCAAAACGTTTATTATCACGGTAGCACAATACACGAACAACAACGATGTCCGCTTACACCATTTGGGCAATCTCGACTTGCTCACGCATTAATGCTTCAGGCATACTTCAGACGATCCACGTGCTCTTCATTCTCTATTCATCTTCACCGATTCAGTCTTACATCCTTCCTCTCTGGGGCCCAGTCACAGAATCACTGCCTGATTCTCAATCCCCCAGATCTCACCATTCACACGTGACTCACTCTTTCCTGTCATTTCACCATATCTCCGTGAAACCCATGCTCTCAGGGACTTCCCCAATTATGCCAGTCATCCCCTGACGTTATCCTTATTAATAGCATCATGACAACATCCCAAAATACAGTTAATATGACCTTCACAACTAAAGCCTGTCTTGAATTTTTTTCGGTGCTGATGGCCCCTAAATTAAAGATTGTATATGATTTATGTATCTATAAGTGGACATCCTGGCATTTTTTCTACAGGTGGGAGTCCGTGGAAAGAATATTGTAGTTCTTGGAGTTGAAAAGAAGGCAGTTGCCAAACTTCAGGAAGACAGAACAGTGAGAAAAATTGCCTTGCTAGATGATCACGTGGCTTTAGCTTTTGCTGGTGAGTACAGTCAGTTAACGTCACAATATTTGTTGATTAGCTCTGACTTGACTAGCAAAGACAAAACTCCCATAAAGAAAAAACAGACTGGAAAACAGACACTGGTAAAAACCATGAAAAAGATTTCAAGTCACCATGTTTTGTATGTGCACTGGACACTGTAGACTCAGCAGATGCTCATATAAATTAGAGATAAGCCAAACTGTGATGTGGCTGTGCTAGCAATCGGAACATACCCCAGAACATGTCTGCAAGACTGTCTTTTCCTGGAAGAGCTGTGTAGCAACATGTGGACCGGGAAATCGGGAAATTACCGGGATTTTTTTCGTTGACCTTAAACCCGGGATTTTTAGCTTATAAAAGACATTCCGACCTTGAAAAGCCGTGAATTTTGACCGCGGCAATGAAATCGTCAGAAATCCTGTGTTTTTCAAGCACAGGCAATTTTGGGGGAGCCATTTGGCTTTTTTGGCCATTTGGCTAGTTTTTGGCTACTTTCGTTGTATGGTCGTTTCAGGTGTGATGGCAGCTGATTATTGGCTATTTTCAGCCGAAATGGCCAGGGGAGGGCGGGCTTTGTTACAGATCATGAATACATGCTGACAGCAGCAGTGTGGCATGGGGCTGGAAGGAGCAGCTTCCGTCTCGCGTGTGTGTGTGTGTGTGTGTGCCTTTGTTTCTAGCAAGTTGGGCAGAATGAACAGTTTAAATCGTTTATGGCCTTGGTTTCTAGAAAGGATTACATTGGGAGATGGTGGGGCTCGGTTCAGTTGTATTTATAAATAGAGTCGCCGTGGTGGGGCTAAGCACGGCCTTCTCAATTAATTAGAGATGGCATTGGGGCTAAGAAAAGTGACTGCAGCTGGATTTCCCAGTTCTATTTTTGGCCTGGATTTATCTTTACAGTGTGTTTGGCGATCAGTATTGTAATTCCCCGAGATTCCCTCTTCTGTTGTCTCACCCCTCTCTCTCTCTCTCTCTCTCTCTCTCTTCCCTCCTTCTTTCACTCTTCTACCTATTGCTCCTTTCTTCCCGTCTCCTGCATTGTCTCTAACCCTCCCTTCTGATCTTCATCTTCTTCTCTTTCTCTCTATCTTTCCTTTTACTCTCTCATTTCCTGTCCCCCCTCTCCCTTTTTCCTATTTTATTTCTTGTTTAAATGTTTAGTAAATGTGCGGCTCCATAACTCTTCCTAGCAACTCAAGTACACAGGAAGTTGTATTGAGGGGGGGGGGGGCATTCTGTGTGAACATGGATATTTTCTTTTGATGTGTTTGTTTTCCTAGCGGCCTTAATCTCTGTCCATCTCCCTTCCCGCCCCCTCACATTTTGTCCTACCTGTTCCTCACTCTCTGCCTGTCTGTGTCACTGCTTTCTTCTTTCTCTTTGTATTTGCCACTCTCCCTCACTCCCTCCCCCCCCCCTCTCTCTCTCTCTCTCTCTCTCTCTCTTTCTCTCCATACCTTCAGTTGGTGTAGAAGGTTATGTGTTGCCTAGTGCAGAACATTTCATGTCCACCATTCCCCCTCCCACACATTAAATATATGTGTACTTTTAAAAACACATTTGCCGTCACCCCCCCTCCCCCCTTATTTTTTCTCCTCCCACATTGATGACACCTAGGGGTGCACCCCTTCCTGCTACCTTCTTCCCTCTATATCTCATCTTATTTCTTACTCCCTTCTTTCTCTCCCTGTCTCATTCCCACTTTATTTTCTTAAACTTTATTCTCTCACCTCCTCTGTCTCACCCTTACCACCTCAGCCTTCTACACCACTTTCCACCACCTCCTCTCTCCCCCTCCTTTCTGTAATTGGAAAACCAGAAATAAAACGAAGTCCACTGCTGCCCTGACCTATTTATGTGTGTGGGTAAACTTCTCTATTTTCCACCAGTGGTGGGTTGGGATCCCCTGGACTTTTATTTTCTTCATAAAATGACCTTGGCTCTCAGGTCACCAGCCTTAAGTGTAAGAAATTGAATTATTGTTGTCACACACAGATAGGACAAGCAAGGGGCAGTAGGGGTTAGCACTGTTGTTTTTGGACCACAGCCACATTCACATTGGGAGAGGGTAGGAACCGGAAAAGTGGCCTCACTTAGAGATTTCCTAATTCTATTTTTGGCACTCATTGTTCTTGTTCACTGCCCCTCTCTCTTAATCTGTGTTTGTCACTGCCTTTCTTACCCACCTCTCTCTCTCTCTTGCTTTATGTCTGTTTGCCTCCCTTCATCACTTCCTCTTTGTATACTTCCCTCCCATTCTCCTGCTCTGCCTTTTTTCTCTTTCTTTGGTTCTCTCCCTCTGTCTGCTTGCCTCTCTTTGCTGTCCCTTTGTCTCTCTCTCTCTCTCCTTTATGTCTACATCTCTCTCTGCTTCTCACCCTGTCCGTTCTCTCTCCCTCTGTCTCCCTTCTTTCAACTCTTTGTCATAATTTCCTTCTTCCATATCTCTATTTCGTTCCCTTTTTCCTTCTTTTTTTCATCTGCCCATCTCTGTATCTGCATTCCCTCTTTCTGTATTTTTTTCCCTCTCTGTCTTTCGCTGTTCCTTCCCCACTTTTCCTCATCATGTCTCCATCCCTCCCTTTTATTTTTTCCTCCTTCCCCAGACTTCTTTTCCTTCTTTTCTCTACCCTTCATCTGTCCATCTTTACACTGTCTCTCCCAGCCTACCTCAGCATGTGTCTTCCTCTCTCTTCATGACTCTCTCTCTCTCCCCTAACCCTCTCAGGTACCAGGTCCAGAACAGACAGGACTTCAGTTTGCTGCCCTCTACCACCAAGCCCTAAAAAAATTTCAAACACTATATCAAGCTCAGGGGCCGACCAGCACGAAGATGGGCACAGGATATAAGTGACTCCTTGAGTATAAAAAAGTACATGAGGCGGGAGAGCTGGTGAGAGACCGAGGTTTTTTTGTCAGGACAAAGGAAATGCTACATGATGATGATATCTGTGCTGGTATACCAACACATGTGGCACAAATGAAGTACCTTGTGTGCTCAGTACACCCTTGAACAAGGCAAAAATCTTGTTTCAGTATTACACCGAGACAACCTTGAAAAAAACTAAGGAGACCTTAAAAAAGACCTTGAAAAGCCTTGAAATTGATTGGTAAATTTGGCTATGAACCCTGGTGGCCACATCCAGTAGACCTGACAACTTTGCTTTGTCTAAATCTAATCAACCTTGAGCTTACATCCCAGTTTATGGCCATAATGGATTAGGTTCATGACCAAAGATCACTGGAAAAGAAGACGGCTTTTTTTTTATCTTTGTTGTCCTGTTATAACTTATTTCTAATTGTGCTGGCTCAGTCATTATAATCTTTCACTTCAGCTCTCTCTACATCTGTGCCCTTATAAGTTATTCTGCATGTTTTTGTTTTTTTTAAATATTTCTCTATATTTTTCTGTGATGCCAAAGAAAAATCTTATTCAAATTGTATTTACTGTTCTACAGGCTTGACAGCTGATGCTCGAATCCTCATCAATCGAGCCCGAGTCGAATGTCAGAGTCACAGACTGACAGTGGAAGACCCTGTTACAGTGGAATATATCACACAGTACATCGCCCAGCTCAAGCAGGTAATCTTTGATTCAAGAGACAGTAGTGAGCTAAAGTTTATTAGTTTTTTTACTTTTTACTTTTACCACACAGTACATGGATAACTCAAGCAGGAGGTGCAGAAGTAGCCAGTGTGGTGATTTCAGTCACAGGCTTGGGGTGAATGTTAAGATCATTGTGATGTGTATAAGGAGATACTCTGTACCTCACCTCGGGCACCAGCAAGCTCTGTGCTGGTTTTACGGATCCTCATGCAAGACTTCTTCCACACATCCTCGACATGCACTACAAATAATGACTCATGTCGACCTGTACCAATCTGGCGGGGTATCTCAAAGTTGGTGACGTTTGACCAGCATCCCTGAATGGAGATGTTTAGGTTATGGTTGTGACTAGGTTATGTGTGCCCTGAAAAGGACCCCTGCCGTGTTTTAGCTCTGCATTTATGGGAATCTCCTAGGATGGAAAAGAATGCCCATGCTCTGCCCCTGCTATCTCTAGGTGGTCGACCAGTCTGTGCACAGCTGCCCTAGACGGTGTCCTCAATACACAACACCTTTGGATCAGGGGAGGATGAAGTCACCACACAAATGCACCATGAGACTAACCAGAATGCTAATCCGAATAACAAATGCCTGAAAAAGTCGAAAGGCACAAATATCAGAGTTGTGCTGTAAACAGGCATAACACATTTTGAATATCCATGTATGTGTTCTGGGTCGCCATTTTGGGGAAAGGAAATAATAGACCCACTGCCTCCGTAACAAACATGTTGTAAAAGGCGACTAATTAGGTGCTTCTTTCTAAATCATAGTGCATCTGCCTGGAAAGTGAGGAACCAGCAGTCTGCACACAAATATGCCAGATCTGTAAATCGGATGTACATGCAAAGCTGATTTACAGAAACGAAACCAAGGTTCAGAAGTTAACAACCAGAACTTTCTGCTGGAGTTTACAACTGGTGAATGCTTGGAAGATGAGGAAAAAAAGGAATTTATGAGGGTAATGACATTAAAAAAAATATTCCACAGCGCTACACACAGAGCAATGGACGCCGCCCTTTTGGTTTGTCAGCACTCATCATTGGCTTCGACAATGATGGAACTCCAAGATTGTACCAGACAGACCCCTCGGGTACTTACCATGAATGGAAGGTAATCTTCTTAAAGTCTATGCCGTGTGGCGTTTGTAGTTATGTCTATCTGCAAATTTCTGTCTCGTTACTTTCAGTCAGCTCTGACAAAGATGATCCCCCATGCCATGACGTCAAACTATCCAGCATCTGTTCTTTCGATCTCCCTCTACCTCTTCTCCCCTTCAACTTTCCTATCACATTGTACTCTAGTTTTCTCCTTTTTATCACATGACCAGAGAATGTCTCTTTCTGATGTGGGCAAGATAAAACTTTATTATCATTATTTGTATTTCCTGTTTAATTGATACAGTGCAGTGTGGGAAGTGACTAAGGAATCTGGCCAACGTTTAAGGAAAAGGCAGAATGGACATACAATCAGACTGTTACTGATACCATTATAACTCTGCGCTGAAGATGGGGATGGAGTGCTTATGGAAATGTCCTGAATGCTACAATATAATGTATCTAGCCGTTACATTTTTTTTTTTAAGTTTTCGTCTCTTTCCATCATCTGTTGTCTGTCTAAAATATGAGAAATTTGTTGTGTGTGTGTGTATATATGACAGAATTTGTTACACTATCTTGTGTACTATATCGTACTGAGGTTATCTTGATTGTGTAGTAAGAGATATCCAACTTTGTAATTCCTCATGGAGGATAAACACGAATGTTAGTTGTTATTCTCTTATTCCGTAGTTAGTTTGAGTCTAGGTGTTGTGCTACTGAGTCTAGGTGTTGTGCTACTGAGTCTAGGTGTTGTGCTACTGAGTCTAGGTGTTGTGCTACTGAGTCTAGGTGTTGTGCTACTGAGTCTAGGTGTTGTGCTACTGAGTCTAGGTGTTGTGCTACTGAGTCTAGGTGTTGTGCTACTGAGTCTAGGTGTTGTGCTACTGAGTCTAGGTGTTGTGCTACTGAGTCTAGGTGTTGTGCTACTGAGTCTAGGTGTTGTGCTACTGAGTCTAGGTGTTGTGCCACCATTGGTTGTTGCTGGTGTGGTACTACTTTACTGTACTGATACTACGTAGCTCTTTCATACCTCCAACTATTCCTGATCATCTGGAGGTATAGACACTTTATTACTACACTCCCTACATAGGATAAACCTTTTATCTTCTCTCTCATCCCTCCTTTAACTATTATTCTTCTCATATACTTTATCTCTTCTTTAGTATCTTTTTCTGTCTCTCCTGAAAATGGTTCCTAGCTAGCACATAGTCAAAGAGTTCCTACTTAGCACAGTCAAACAGGGTTTCTACCTAACACATAGTCAAAGGGTTCCTGGATAGCACACAGTAAAAGGGTTCTAGATAGCTCACAGTATGAGGGTTCCTGGATAGCACATAGTAAAAGGATTCCTACCTAGCACACAGTAAAAGGATTCCTAGCTAGCACACAGTAAAAAGGTTCTGGATAGAACACAGTAAAAAGGTTCCTATATAGCACACAGTAAAGGGGTTCCTAGATAGCACATAGTAAAACAGTTCTAGAAATGTTCAGAAAGCAATGGCAAACTCCCAAATACAAAATTGCCTTGTAAACCCACAGACAGCAGATGCTAGGACTGTCTTGTGAAAGCTAAGCCACTAACTGTTAACAATTTTTACCTCCAGACCAACACTATCGGCCGCAGTGCCAAAACTGTACGAGAGTTCTTGGAGAAGCACTACACCGAGGAAGTCCAGGCAAATGACGATGAATGCATCAAATTGACTCTGAAAGCTCTGCTGGAAGTGGTCCAGTCCGGGGGTAAAAACATGGAGGTGGCCGTCATGAGACGAGGAAAGCCTCTACAGGTAAGCTTTATAATGCATCTTTGGTGTATTGATCTTTAGTAACCAATACTAGTTATTTGACATATCGTCGTCGTCTTCATGTTCGCCAGCTGTAAGCTGTGGCCAAAAGTTCTGGTTGTTCACCCACTTCTGGACTTTAATTTTTGTTCCAGAACTTGAGTTTTGCATGCACATCCGTTTAATGGATCTGGCTTGTTTGTATGTAGATTGTGTGTTCCTTTCCTCTCGGGCAGATGCACTCTGACTTTGAAGGAAACACCCCCAGTTGGCCACCTCTTAGGCTTTTATTGGGGTGGGTCTATTCTCCCCTTGTACCCCTCAGTTAGGGCCCTGAAACCCACACTGGGAGTTTGACATATAACATCTTGTTTCCCTTCAGCAGTAAAGTAGTCTTTTACATCTGGTGTAAGATTAACAGATAAGCATCTGTGGCTTAGTCATTGTGAACGTGCTTCCTAATGCCAGGGTGGCAGGTTCGATCCCAGCTGCGTTGGTTTTGACAATAGTATCGAGAAGCTGACCGTCCAGGTAGCAGGCAAACTACTGAATGTAAATTCGCCTAAAAAACCACAACAGTAAAAAAAAATGTTGGGGTCAGGTTTGCAATGTCCTTTAAAGGATACGCAGCTAACTAACATCTGGTGTGGATGCTTATGCCTTTCCATGATGGTCAAGTGCTTCCCTATCTTGTATAATTATATTTTTGCTAGTTCCTACTAGCCGAGAAGCAACCAGGTTTTCTTGAGACAGTAGAAAACATTCCTGGCATAAGAAAAATAACATCCAGAATGGAGTAAAGATCCTTTTTTATGCTAGTGTGACAGGTTAGATTTATAATGCTGGGCGCATTAAACAAAATTAAAATTAGACCAATCGGCACTTAGTAGCCGCTGTAGTCAGCCAGCATCCATGCCAGCCTCATTGACCTCTCAGGGCATTGCCTGGTACCCATTTGAGGCTGGGGTGACTGTGATGCTAATGTAATTTTTGAAAAATATAACTCAGTACGGAATCAAACCTATGACCTTGAGGCCGTTAGTAGAGTGACCATACGACCCATTTTCACAGACAGTCAGTTTTTTGTTTGTGTGTCCATGCCTTATCATCATCATCAGGTGCCTTGCCAACTTGCGTGGGCGATCATGCCTCTTCATAATCTGCGATCTCCTGCAGCATGTATGAGTTCGTGTGCCGACACACCTCCATGCCTGATGCAAAGTTAGACTGGACAATCAAGCATATTCTCTCATTGTCTTCCTCTATCTCTCCTTCCACATATCTTTCAGTGGTCACAACATGTTCTATTTTTCCTCTTCTCATAACATGGCCGAAAAATTATGACTGTGTCCTTCTGATGTCTGTGATAAGTTGTCTTCGGGCTCCCGCCTCTTTCAAAACCTCTTGGTTGCTCTTTTTGGCTGTCCAAGGTATTCCATGCCTTAGAAAATGCAAATTGTCCTTTTCGTACAAATTTAGGTATAAGCTAGGACATAACACATATATCTGTAGACCCTGACTAGAGAAACAGACTGGACAAAATACATACTGAAAGGGATAGATCTATACGTACAACAATAGAACCACATTTCTTTTAAACAAGGCTCTGCTATAATTTCTAACCTGCAATGGTTGTAGACCTGACCTGGGGTGAAATAAAGGACCCTTTTCCGTGTCTTCTGGCATATACAGCTAGACCTATATTTTATATGCCAGTCGGCACTCTGTGGATGATGTGGTCATCATTATGCCAGCCACCTTTACTTCCTGGGACTTTACCTGGTACCCAGTGAAGACTGAATCAGCCTGGAAGCCAAGGTCAATTTTTTTTTGTTAAAGAGAAAAAAGTCTGGCTCCATCAGAACATGAACCCACGACCTGCAGGCAAGCGTCTAGCCGCTTTACCCCACCGGTTCGGTCAGACCTGGGACACTTTCCACTTTATTAATGGGCATTGTCTTCAAGAAGAATGTTGCATTACAGAGTAATTCTTAGAATTCACTTTGAACCATGCAGCTTCTTCATTTGCGTTTGCTGTTAAAAGGATGGGTTGCACATTGTGGTTTACAACTAAGCTGTGATATCTGTACCTTTCTGGCTAACACATGCAATTCAAGGAAACCCCCTGTCAATAACCTTTTAGGAAATGCTTGTGGTGAGGAGAGGGGAGTAATTCTGATGAACCCAAACATCTGATTGCTTCGTGCTAATAGTTGCTTTGTTTAATTCAGACACACCTGCTGTTATACATTTCATACATTTGTTATGCCAGTGGGACCAGGTTTTATGTGCGTTTATGCCCTGTATGTCGGCTCTGTGGCTAAGTCGATGCAAATGCTTCGTAATGCCGGGTTCACTCCCAGTTGCGGGCCATGAACCTTGCGTTGGTTTCGACAGTGGTATCAAGAAAGCCGACTGTCCAGAAAGCAATGGCAAGCTACTGGACATATATTTGCCTACAAAAACCACACAACAGCGAGGGGCTGTTGGGGTTGGTTTTGCAACGTCGTGTAAAAAATACGCAACTAACCTTTATGCCCTGTATATCTTCTTCTTTGTTCATCGACAGAAAGTCCTGGTTGTTCATCCATTTGGACTTTGTGCCAGGGCATGAGTTTTGTGTGTGCATCCGTTTTACTGACTTATTTCTGCACAGCTGGTTGTTCCTTGCTGCTCGGGCAGATGCACTTTGAGGGACGCTCCCAATTAGTCGACTCCTGCAACTTGCTGGTTGGGGAGGTACTGGATCTTTTCTTGTTTTTTCCCATAATGGGGCGCTGGGACCCCCACAGGAAGCCCGGTGTGTCCCATCTAATGTTCCATCTCTATGGCAGTAATGCCTAAGAAATTATCCTTGTTTTCTTAATGATCGGTAATTGATGCATGAGACCTTGTTAAAACTTTCTTGCTCTAATTCTTTTTGGTGTTTCCCCCAACAGATGATGGAGTCAGAGGAGATCGAAAAATATATTACTGAGATTGAGAAGGAACGAGAAGAGGAAGCCGAGAAAAAGAAACAGAAGAAATGATCAGTGCCGCTTGTGTGTTAGATACTGTTAGTTTAACCATCATTCTGGGTACTTCGTAACAGAGATTTTTTTTTTTTACATTTTGTTTTCAAACTACTCAATTCTTCATCTTATTCCTCATTTTTTTCTTTTTATCTTAGTCGCTGCTATTCGACCTTGGGGTGTAGAGGGTTGCCAGATTGTTCGTCAGACTTCTCTCCCAGCAGTTTTCTTTTGTGTGGCTTTGTTCCATCGAAGTCCTTGATCAGTCAGATGTTGTCTTCCCAGTGAACCCTGAGTTGTCCTGGTGGTTTGATTCCTGGCCTGCCATGACTGCCCTTTGTCCTCATAGAGTTCATTGTTTGTTTAATGTTGTCTCTGGACAAGGGTTGTGTATTTTTGTTGTCAGTTATGTGGATGACTTCTCCACGTATTGGCAGTATTTCAGTTTTGTATACTTTTCTTTGGAACTTGAATGTTGCAGGATCATTTTTAGAGTATCAAAGACCCCTAAGGGGAACAGTAGTGACATTCTTCTTGATCTTGGGGTGGGGGGGGGGGGTGTCAAACATAATGGTTTTTCATAAACCAAAATACTGTAGTAATATTAACCAATGTAATGGTTTTGAAAGATCAGGAATGGAGGGCGTGGAGGTTCTGGGAGAATAGGCAGGGGACAACCAGCTCAATGTTGGACATGGCATATCAAAGACAACCTGTGCACGTCAGGAACACCCTGGACACAAGACAGAAGGTTTGGCTAATGACCCAGTGGTCATCAGGCCTGATGCAGTGTGTGAGATCCCCTGGTGATCATCAGGCATGCTGCAGTGTGTGAGATCCCCCGGTGATCATCAGGCCTGCTGCAGTGTGTGAGATCACCCAGTGGTCATCAGGCCTGCTGCAGTGTGTGAGATCCCCCGGTGATCATCAGGCCTGCTGCAATGTGAGATCCCCCAGTGGTCATCAGGCCTGCTGCAGTGTGAGATCCCCCAGTGGTCATCAGGCCTGCTGCAGTGTGTGAGATCCCCTGGTGGTCATCAGGCATGCTGCAGTGTGTGACATCCCCCAGTGATCATCAGGCATGCTGCAGTGTGTGAGATCCCCCAGTGGTCATCAGGCCTGCTGCAGTGTGTGAGATCCCCCAGTGGTCATCGGGCCTGCTGCAGTGTGTGAGATCCCCCAGTGGTCATCAGGCCAGCTGCAGTATGAGAGATCCTGCAAAGGATCAGCTACGTGATGATGATTCTTGTTTGTTGGTCAAAAACTTTGGTTCAGATGTTCATTTGCATTTGTGTTATTCTTTTCCCTTTGGAGGTCTTGGTTATATGTTGGATTATTCATACTTTGAATGTCCTTTGAATGCAAGCGTAGGCTCCTGTAGAGAGGAGAGGAAGGGGGGTGGAGATAACCACTGACTTGAGACAAAACGACAGATTATCCATTCTCTCTGTTATGAAGTTCGCAGGTGTAAATGTTTACCTTATCACATTTAAATCATGACTGTTTGTTGAATTTATAATAAACATTGTGTTTCTTTTGGAGGCATAATTTGTTCAGTTTATAATAAATGTTTTTGGGAACCTCTCCGTCTTAATTATAATTTAAGTGGGGATGATGGGCGGTAACATCAAAACTCGCTTTCAAAAAGCCACTGCTGTCGTAAGTTCCCCTCCCCCAGAAGTGGGATTTAGGTTTCAATCTGAGCATGGGAACTTTTTGCAGACACACCAGGAGAAGGGGGGCCATAAAGACAAGATCAAAAGATGAGGATGAACTTGAAAAGCATTTTTAATCAATCTAGCTACAGTCAGTAGCAGTCTCACTGCAGGGACCGATGTGTTCATGCCCTGAGCTGTCTGGTAAATACTGTGCCAGGGCCTGATAAGGTGAGATTATGGTGACATAATGAGCATAGAAGACAGTAAGCTAGCAAAATTGTGCAACATATGCAATGACAGCGTCAGGAATGGACCAGTTCCTGCTTATCCTCCACTTCCTCAACTCTCTATCTAAAACTGACAAGAACCACACCACGATAAATTGCTACAGGATTATTAACATGCAAAATACACCAGGTAAACTTCTTTAGAGAATCATGTTATGCAGACTGTCCAAATCTTGAAGGCTGAGGGAATGGCCATATCTGCCATCATTATCAAGGAAGAAGTATAGACAGGGCCGACATACTAAATGTGCTGTGTTCGAGAGGCGTTTTGAGCATGCAGAAACCAAATGTGCGTTAACTCTTTTGAGTCCCAAGGAACGTATCATACATTTATAGTTCCTACCTAGAAGCCCAATAAACGCATGATGCGCCGATTTTATAACTCTACTACCCTCTGGGCCTGTGAAGCTAAACCCCCTGGGACTCAAAGAGTTAGAAGATATGCCAGTCAAATCCTACTGGGTACACTGAGCATGCAGGCAATAAGATGGCTTCTGCACTGGAGGATGGAGCACAAATGGGATGGGCTGATGTCAATACAGGCAAGTATCATGTAGCAGGTCCTTAGCAGAATGTTGCTCTCATCACAGCCTGTCTAAAAGAAACTTGGTCTCCTCCCCCTCGTGCACTTTACCCAAGGTGTCATTTAAATCATATGCCGATCTGCCACTGGCCATCTTTCCTGACATGCTTTCTGCTATTCTTTCCAATACATGGTGACAATTGATATGACCCAAATATTTTACGTTTCCGAGACAAGATACTGTTTACTAGTCAATTTTCCTAGATGTCAGTATTTCTTTAATCTTCACCTGCACAGAGGTGGCGTCAGCACTAGCCATAACTCCTCAAGCTCAAATACTTACCTGCCTACCCTGCAAAAATGGTATAATAAGGGCAGTATTTTTTCTTTCGTTGTTTTCCGAGACTATAGCATTTCAGTTCAAAAGTCGCCGCTGGACTAAAAGATAGAAGACTGCTCTTTCAATTCTCCAGCATGCTGTATTCCCAAAATATTAGTGTTACATTTCCTTGGAATAAACAAGGCAGGCCGAGAGAGGGATCATGTTGTGCAAGCAACACGTGGTCTCTACAATGCTGACCAGGCTTTGAGCTACCAAAACTTTCCAAACGCAAGCAGGTCTTGCTAGTCTCGCCATCAGCCATGATGATCCTATATCACCAAACGGTGCTTTTGTCTTTATTTACCCTAAACAGAGTCGGCAATATTTACAGGGCATGCAGTGTGTAAATAGGGTTGTGGGACCTGCAGTCGTGGAAGGCTTAGTCTGCACTCTCTCGTGGAACTTAGGCAGCACTTGGTGGGTTAAGTCCAGTTCTAGATGTTTTGGGTTAGTTAAAAGCACCACAAAGCAGGAAATGCGCGGTCTCACCACTACAATATTGGACTGTCCCTGCAATGTCGTTTGGGGTGACATATTTCAAAAAAAAAAAAACATAACACTATCAGGCAGTTATGTCAAACCACACATTTAAAATATTTCATTATGACCAAGGACAGCCAAGAATTGATACGACTGTTGGAACAAGCAATACATGTTTGGTTGTAAATTCAATGTTGTCACCTGGTGTGATTCTCACATAACTAAACCAGTTGATCAGACAAGAAGACACATTACAGCGGGGTTTTTGTGTGGGAGATCAGATAAGAAGACACATTCATCATCATAATCAGGTGCCTTGCCAACTGGCATGGGCGATCATGCCTCTCCATAATCTACGATCTCCTGCAGCATGTATCAGTTCATGTGCCGCCACATCTCCATGCCATGCAACAAGGAAGACACATTACAACAGGGTTTTTTTGTGTGTGTGGAGATCAGACAAGAAGACACATTACAACAGATATTTTTTGTGTGGAGATCAGACAAGAAGACACATTACAACAGATATTTTTTGTGTGGAGATCAGACAAGAAGACACATTACAACAGATATTTTTGTGTGTGGACACTTTACAGTAAAAACTGTTAAAACAAAAAAGTCAAATTTGTTTACATTTATTATCATAATACAAGCACATTATCTGATTCACATTATTCTGATTTTGGACTGAAGACATGATTGCTAAACAAGTCTTAACAAATACAACTTTGCCAACTTGTACATATAGTGAGTGGATAGAATCAATTCCCCGTGGTGGGTTCCTGGACTCACTTTTGAGGGAAAAGAACAGACACACTGCCTCCCTAACAAGCATGTCACAGAAGGAAAAGGACACAAGATTTATCAAACAAATTCTTCTCAAGCTTAACGTACAACAAGAAACAAAAATGCAATCCCAAATGACGGTTTAAAATTAAGCAACACATTTAAGCGTTGTGTATGACCAATCTAAAAATATCATGAAAAATGAAGAAAGAATTATTTGCTGGCTTGAGAACAAAAGTTTGTGAGAATCCCAGGACTTTGTCGTTTTCTGAATTGTTCTGTAGACAAAAGAAAAATTCAATCACTTTTCAATCAATTATAGGTTCCAAATCAAATCTTTTTAGCATCATCCACTCTGCTGTTATGCGGAGGAATACGTGGTCAATTTATTTATTTTCTGGAACAACCAGAACTTTCTGCCAGAGTTTACAGTGAACGCTAAGAAGATTTTATGATGCTCAAACCATTTTCTTGTAGCTTTTACCAGCTGTAAACTCTGGCAGAAAGTTCGGATTGTTCATCCACTTCTGGACTTTGATTTTGTTCCAGAACCTGAGTTTTACATACACATCCATTTTACAAATATGGCTTATTTTTAAGCAGAAAGTTGGTTCCTCGATTCTCAGGGGGATGCAATCCAGCTTTGGAGGAAACTCCCCTAATTAGTCATCTTTCCCAAACTATCTGATCTGCTTATTTTTTCATTTGGCACAAGTTGTCACCACAATCTGGCTTCTTTCTCTTTTTTCAAGCATCTCGTCTCACAAGTGTTTTTTGTCACCACACACTATCTTTTTCTTCCGCGTGCCCTGAATCCTTTTGTCCTGTAATGCTAAACATAATGGGTCATGAACCCATAGGAATTTCCAGGGAAGGGGGCAATATTACAGAGGGCATTATTAATTTTTTTAAAGTTTCAATTTTTAACATATATATATTTGAAGATATATAAAGTGGTGATTAATCGCAAAACAGGAACAGAGTCAAACTAAACTAAATATTTTACCGGGACATATAAATCAAATTTGCTTTCAAAAAGCAACTGAAGGTCATGTCACCGGCTTTCAACTCCGGTGGAAAGTTCTGGTTGTTTGTCCACTTCTGAACTTTGATCTTGTTCCAGGACTTGAGTTTTATGTGCACATCTTCCAAAAAATGGGTGATCGGCATCTCAGGCAAATGCAATCCAACTTTGAAGGACACAGATTAAATATATAATAAACAGCATATTTATTCTAACATTATGCTACCAGTGGCAAACATGGACACTATCCAAAGCCCATGTACGCAAAATCACATGTGACATGAAATGCCTTAGGAAAAACTGTCTTAAGATCGAGTGAATAAGGATAACTATCAGACAAATTGTGGGAACGACACACTGTACTAGATTCATCAAGAAACAGCACATCAAGTGGTTTGGCCATCTGGTTAGAATGCAGCAAGATCAAATATCATCACAAGCACTACATCTCAGAAGATCAGCTACAAGAGCAAGAGGGCAGCACGAAAATATGGACCGACAACATTAAAGGCACACTACGCCTTCACGGCATGACAATAGTCAGTGGCAGCCAGCGTGCACTGGATGGCAAATTATTCCTCCCCATGACGCTCAACGGCAAAAGTGGATGATGATGGTGATTAAATATGGTGGTCAGGCTCTCAGAAACCTGCTTCCAGGATGACTACAAAAAAGTGTAGATAGTTCCTGACCAGTCAGCACCCTCTTGCTGGTGCACCCTCACGTGCGGTTCAGGAGCTCTGCATCCTGTGCTGTGAACTGATCAATCACAACTAAAACAATTCAGCACCTTTTCAAAGACCAATGAGACTGGCTAAAACACAAAACCACATACCTTCAGCTGACCAATGACATTAACCAATACACCTCCATCAACAGTTGGCTGGCAGTCAATTGTTGTTATCTGCCGGAACATGTTATCAATGGGGATTGTCTGTTGAAAGATGAAACAATCTATGTGTTAAAAAATAGTGAAGAAATACAAGAATAAAACTATTTACAGCTAGGGTGTGACATCTGTGCCTTTCAGCCTAACATATCTTCTTCTTTGCTTTCACCAGCTGTGAACTCCAAGGAGAAAATTCTGGTTGTTCATCCACTTTTGAACTGCAGTCCTGTTCCAGAACCTGAGTATTGCATGTGCATCCATTTTACAGATCTGACTCATTTGTATGCAGACTGCTGGTTCCTTGCCTCTCTGGCAGATGCACTCCAACTTCAAGGGAAGCTCCCAATTAGTCGACTCTATGACATGCTTTTGGGTAGACAGTGGGTCTATTCTTCTTTTCCCTATAACAGGGCCCCGGAACCCACACAGGGACCTAACATATCTGATTTTAGCCTTTTACAACATAAAAAGATGTATTCATTGTTTCCCCCAAAATGTGGCGGTGGAATCCCACACTAGGAAAAATTACAGCAATTGCCTTTGTTTTAGTCAAAGTTGTTTTTTTTTTTGCATTCACCGGCTGTAAACCCTGACGGAAAGACCTGGTTGATAGTCCGTTTCTAGACTCTGGCTTTGTTCCAGGACCTGGGTTTTGTATGTGCATCTGCATTACAGACATTGCTTATTTTTATGCAGACTGTTGGTTCCTTGCCTCTCAGGCAGATCCACTCCAACTTAGAAGGAAGTCCCTAATTAGTTTACTCTTATGACATGCTTGTTGGAGAGGCAGTGTGTCTATTATGGTTTTCCACGCAGTTTTAATCAAAGTAATAATTATCCTGAAGATCCTTTCTAGGGTATAAAAGAAGAGTATAGTGTTAATTTCAGTTAAAGCATACATGTGTTATCATTATCATCAAGTCCCTTGCTGACTGGCATGGGTGATCATGTCTCTACACAATCTTCAATTAACTGCATGTATCAGTTTGCGTGCTGACACCTCTCTATCATACGGACAATAGACTGTCAAGAATCTTTCTAAGTTGTCTTCCTCTGTCTCTTTTTCCCGTATCTTTGCAGTGTCAACACGTTCCGGTTCACTTCTCATTACATGACTAGAAATTGATGATTGTCTCAGATCTGTGCGACAAGTTGTTTTTGAGTCACTTCTTTCAAAACATCTGGATTGCTCTGTTTGGTTGAACACGGAATTAAGAATTAAAACCACATTTTCAAATATTTATATAGGTATGTAAGTAAAGTATTGGGCATACAGATCTAGACATATATTTTATATATCCATTGGCACTTGTAGTGAGCATGATGCTAGTCGACTTCATTCCCAGTACTGGTACCTTTTGAGGCTGGGCTGACTTGGGAGCCAGGGGTCCCAATGGAGCAATGATGTGCAATACAAGACTTAATGTCTATTAGCCTCTTGCTCAAGCCTACCTCCCCTTCACGTGGTGGACCCTGTTCTTACCAGAAATCCAGTGGAAGATTGGGGTCTCCAAGCGAGAAACTGGATGGGACAACAAACAAGGTAAAGTTGAAGGGATGAGTCCACTCTTCCTCTCAAAAGATCCTGAAGTCGAAACACTGGGCCTGAAGGCGGATCAAAACCACAGTACTACCCAACCCAACGCTATATATATAATTACACTGTCAGAGGAATTCAATGTTGGTGCTCGAACTGTGGAGTCCCACCAGGCTGGTGAAGTGCCGGGTTCTGAGCCTTCCCAGAATCCACCCCCAGCTACTAGAGGACCTCATAGAGCGTATTGTGCAGTCACGAGACAGCAGAGGACAGTACTGACCAAAACTAATTAGACAAAAATTCTAAATTGATTTTTGTCATAATGCACTGGAATTCAGAGAGGGTCAAACAGTTAGTTGTTCCTTGTCTTTCAGGCAGATTTTATCCAACTTCAAAGGAAGCCTCCAATTAGTTGACTCTAATGTTATGCTTGTTGAGGAAGGTCTATTCGTTTTTACCCTATGGTGGGGCCCCAGAACCCACGCGGCAACATTTAGACTCAATAGCACAAGCTTTAAATAAAAAACTAATACAATGCTTACTTTCATTTTCTCTGAGATGGCTTCGACACCCTGGAATTGCTGACCTTCAAAAGTTAACAATGCATCAGTTGGCTGAAACAGTAAATGGAACAAATAAAAATAATTTATTTTGAGATCTTGCTTAGAAACATCATTCATCATCTGGTATCTTGAATTAAAATACTACAATATTGAACTCATCATTACATGTATAAAAATTATTTTATTATTAAAAAATCATAAGTCTGTAGGGTCAAAAAAAATAATATACACTGCAGTTGCTGCTATATAGTTACTATATGAGATTTCAGCTAGTTAAGTTGCCACATTTATTGCTGTAGTGTTTAGTTAGATTAGACAAATTAGTTACTGTCTCACTGTTTTACTGTTTAGGCTTAGGTGTGTTTCACTAAAGTTTTTACTTTATGTATTAAACTGAAAAGCTGTCAAATCAAAATTATATTCAAGAGTAAGATTTAAGATGTAAATAAAAAGACAATCCAGCATTCATAGAATGCTTCAGACAGTAGTTTAGTTACCATTAGTATTGGAACTCTGTGCAAGCTGACACCCCTCTATCATATGGACAATAAGACTGTCAAGAATCTTTCTAAATTATCTTCCTCTGTCTCTTTTTCCGCATCTTTGCAGTGTCAATACATTTCATTCCGGTTCACTTCTCATTACATGACTAGAAATTGATGACTGTCTCAGATCTGTGTGACTTGTTTTTGAAGATAAGGACGAAGTGCACATGGGAATGCCTAGAGTGCTGTGATGTCAATTCTTGACTCATCGTTCTCGTTACCATTTCTCCCAACCGTTTCGATGTTACAAGACTGTTACTGTTAGGCTACCCTTTTCGATTTCCAACTGTCAAGATTTTTTTTTTTTTAAAGTGCGCACGGGCGTCCGGTCTCACTACAGACTACCCATAATCATAACCCAGTGGGAATTACTAGTCCAAGTCCACATGAAAAAATCCCAGCCCTTACCGGGGATTGAACCCGGAACCTCTAGCACTCAAAGCGGACACCATGCCTCGAGACCACGCAGCTCTAACAGGGTGAGTGCAAACATTCATCACGCACGCCCCAGAGTGACACTGATCACTTGTGACTTACGCTACATAACTTAACTTACACGTTACGCTACTTTGAACTTACATGGTACATCACCGCCACCTGGCCTCTGATGTCTTTGTTGTCGAAAACAAGATAATACTGTTCAACAAACTGTTTACCGATTGAGTCAAAGTTAGGATTCATTTTATTTATTCTCCTCTGTTGATCGAGACAAATACAAAAAAAATACCAGCCACAGGAACAGCTCAAAAATATAAACGTTTTTCTGGAGCCGGCTTTTGAAAAGCAAATTCCCCTGGCTTTTTCCAGACCGGAAGCTCACTTTTGTTCCCCTTCAGTGGTTAGTTAAAAACACAAACTTACCCGCCAGTAAAAGATTTGTACTGAAAAGAAATGACCCATTTTACTAGAAAAAAATTGTGTACAAAGCTAAATTTCTTCTTCTTCTTCTTCTCATGGTGATTATTTTATTATTATTGCAATCCATGCCTTGTCGTGTTGGTTTTCACACACAGTCGTCTGTTTCTTTTACTGTCGATAATTTCTCAAACTTACGCATAAAGGCGGACAGACTGTCTGGCTCTGCAAAGCTTGTTAGAATACTGATGTATGTATGATAAGGCAGACGTGGTTAGTGCCTTGTGGGAGAGCTTTTACGGTTCCGAGGAGCAGATTGATCACCACAGTGTGGTGAGATTTATGCTTTTGGGGGTGACGAGAGGTTCTGGCAGATGCTCGAGGCTCAGAGGAAAAGCAAGACGGACGTTTAATCAGAATGCTACTGGCACCATTGGTATCGGAACTCTTCGCTGGCTGTTAAAGATGGTGACGGAGCGCTTATGTGAATGCAACGAGTGCTGTGATGTCGGTTCTTGAATAAAATAAAATAAAATCACGCATACAGTGCATTTCAACACATCAACTCGGTAACACGAGGTATGGAATTCAGAAGACCTCTACAAAACAGCTTGATGGTAAGGAACCAAGAGTCTACATACAGATAAGTCAGATCTGTGAAAGGGGTGTGCACCCAACACTAAGGTTCTGAAACAAAACTAGTCATGCGATTGGCGAACAACCAGAACTTTCCACCGGTGGACAAGAAGAAGAAGAATAGTATACTTATTTTGTCAGCAATGTAGATAAAGATGAGGGAACATATAGATATTAAAATACAAATGCAAAAGTCAAAAAGGGCTTTTATAGCACAGGAAATTTGCGGAGGTTAAAAGAAATTAACGTTATACTAAACTTACAATTTTAAAATCTAATGTCTCTATGGCGCGGAAATATGGTAAACAACTAAGGCAATTACTAAAAAACTACAAACATTCACTAACTGGTGCCTCCGCAGAATCGAGGGAATTAAATGGTATGATAGAATTATTGATGCTGAGCTTTGGGAGAGAACTAAACAAGTTCCAGTGGACCAAGAGGAGAAGAAAGAACGCTGGCTTGGCTAGGACACTCGTTAAGAAAACTTGAGGACAGTTTAACTAGAATGTCTTTGCACAGGAACGCACAGATGTGCAGAAATAGAGGCAGACCCCTAAAAAACATCGACAAGGGAGCTATAGAGTGAATTTAAAAAGATGGGGAGGACATGTAGTGAGCTGTATTCAATAGCAATGAATAGAACGACTTGCCCGAGTTAGTTAACTTCTATGCTCCATTAGATGATAGAGGGGAGAGGAAGAAGTGAGGGTAGGAGAAGAAGAGGAGGAGGAGGAGGATTGGAAGAATCAGACAACTTGTAATACTATTCCGGTTTCATGGGAAAGAATATGGTCCAATTTTAATATTACTTTAACTTTGACACTCATTCTTCTGCCAGAAATAACAAGTCATGCAGGGGGACGGTATAATGAATCACGGTCTTCTCTATTTATCTAGTAAGGCGGTGAATGTATATATAACAACATTAACAGTAGATATGTGCACATGAAGAGAAAAAAAAACGCAGACACACAATGAAAGCGTGATTGATTAAATATTACTTTATTAAAATAAGGGCGATAGAAAAGATAATGATATCACTATATCTAATAATTAAGTCCAGAGTTGAATGCTGTGTCACATGACGAATGTTATAAAACTACGTAAAAACTTTAAGAACACTTGAATGACACAACTAGAATGATATAACTCCCCTTATCAGCGTTTTGTAAGTTTGAATAGGTTACATTTGATGAGAACAGTGTTTCTCAACCGGTGAACAGTCATAAAGTGTGTAGCGGGAAGAATTTAGCCCAGTAACATATTTCAGAGATCGGTGTTGTCAATTATTTTTATTAATGTTGGTTATTCTGCTTCTTCTTCTCCTCCTCCTTACCCTCCTCATCCTTCACCTTCACCATGTCCGCTTTTTGGTAAAGAAGCTCACTGCCCAGAGGAGTTGCAGCAGTAATCTGTTATCCTGCACACAAGAAAGCCCAGGACAGAAAATCAATGATATATTCTTTATCAGAGTCTTATCACTCCACGCAAGCGCCTCCCCGTGTGGGTTTCAGGACCCCATCGTGGGGAAAACTAGACCATATCCAGTGCAACCCCAACAAGCATGTCGTAATAGTCGACTAATCGGAGTGCATATGTCTGCAAGACAAGCAAAAACAATATGCATACATTTAAATCAGATCTGTTAAACGAAGGTGCACGCAAAACTCAGGTTCTGGAACAAGACTAAAGTGCAGAGGTTGACAAACAACCAGATCTTTCCTATTACAGCCAGTGAACGTGAAGACAAAGAAGAAGAAGAATCCATGCAAGCCACCCTACGTGTAAGACGTCGGTTTCTGTTTTCCGAAGCATGCTCTGAGAGTCCGTTACAATTACACAATGCTGGGCTGTGCTGAAGCCACTGGAAAGCTACTGTTACTGCTCTTCTTCCATGATCATATTGGATGTTGTGGCTTATAGCCGAAGCTCTCTGTTTTCAGTGTCCATTCAAATTTGCCACCAAACCCTACCTTCTCTGAGTCACCCGGCTTAATCTTTCTAGTGTGCGATCATACACACACACACACATACACACACACAATCACATTACACACACACACACACGCAAATGAAGTAAATTACAGAACCAATAGCAGTAAATAATATTAACAAACGACCAAAAGACGTTGCAGTTACGGCTTTACGCATTTAATAATCAATAAACACAATGTCCAGACTGGATTAAAAGAGTTAACATGAGCAGTGAGCTGTGGGAGTTAATCGCCTCCCAATATCGCTATCAGATTGTCACAAGACAGCGGGTCACATGACCACATGTACACAAATCACGTGACCCAACAATAGAAAACAGACGACGGTGCGACTGAAGTCGCAGAGACCACAATCGCTTTCTCCTAATTTGAAACCTCTTTTTTTTCTTTCACAAACTTATTATTTTTAAACATGGGAGCATCTACAGTTGCTTTCTGTGTTTTCTTGTTGAGTTTAGCGGCTGTGGTCTTTGTAGAATGCAGGCCGGAAAACGTCAGGGAGTTTAAGGTGTTAACTGCCCACTCTGAGAAAAATGGTTTTCATACAAGGAAAACAGGAAAGAAATCGTCGCATTGCCTCGTTAGGAAGACCAACTTCACTGATCCAACTCAGGTTGTTAAGTAAGTACACACAAACAAACTAGAAAGCAGTATTTTCAAAGTATGTATTTTAATTGGCTCTCCTCCGAACTTCTTCCACGGCATTATGGCGGCCATACAAATATCCTAACAGGGCCTCAGTCCGGCTGACCTCCAAATAACGGGCACAAAAAATGGCGGCCTCAAAAACACGCTAACAGAGCCTCAGTCACATGTCAGTTGCGCACTTCTGGTGACTTAATTTGCGGTTTTCTGGCGACTACCGCACGGAATGCTAAACCTATGGACTAGACCAGTGATTCTCTTCTTTCCTAATAATACCGCGACCCTTTAATACAGTTCCTCGTGTTGTGGTGATTCCCAACCATAAAATTATAGGACTATCCTCCGAATAACGGCCACATATTATGGCGGCCAAAAACAGGGCCAGTCGCAAGTCAATTGCAGACTTCTGGCGACTATACCGCCGAGAGTATCTCCTGCGCCGCGGAGCGGGGCTAAACTAGATTGCTGGAACTGACGAGCAAAGCTGCAGGAGATGCTGCTCATGAGTCCCAGCCATCTAGTTTAGCCCCTCTCTGCGGCGCGGGAGATACTCTCGGCGGTGGTGGTATAGTTGCCGGTCTGCAATTTAAGTACCGGATGTCCACAATTTACATGTGACTGAGGCCTTGTCAGGGTGTGTTTTTGGCCACCATAATATGTGGCTGTTATTCGGAAGATAGCCAATTATTATCATTGCTACTTCATAACTTCAGTGAATATATGTTTTCTGATAGTCTTAGGCGACTTCTGTAAAATGGCCGTTTCACCCCAAAGGGGTCGCGACCAACAGGTTGAGAATCGCTGAACTTGAACAAAGTAAAAGAATACCTCTGTAGAGTCTATAGCACAGGCACCAAAGAATGACAAGACGAAACAAAAGCATACAAATATAACTCTAAGGTTAATCCTTAATCTAACCCAGCAGTATACAAACATAGATGCTATCAGTCCTTTTCAGGGCACTCCCCTGCCGCTACCCAAAAAAAGCCCTTTTCAGGGCCCACCCTATAATATCCCCAATTCACATCAGTCTCTAAGTTCTGGTCAAGAGAAACACTGGTTAAAGCCAAACTTTATGGATCGCTGAATGACTCACACAAGGCAGTGAAGCTAATACTAGAGACAACATTGCAGACAAAGATAATCAATTTTGAAGGAATAAAAGAAGAAGAGGAGGAAAAAGAATAAACTAACCCTAACATCCTTATAAAATAGGACTATCTAGGAAATTCCCTAGGAATTCCCTAGAAATTTTGTAGCTCCTGAAATGGGGTGTAATAAAAGAATAGTACCTGGTACTCTCCTGTTGATGATGGAGACGGAGCTCTTATGGGAATATCAAGAGTGCTCTGATTTTGCTTGTCAATGTGTTTAGCAGGCACCATTATTGTTTTTTGTAACCATATATGAATATCCTCATTCAGAACCAAGCCCCGTGCCTTTGAAAATCCAGCGTATATTGCAGCTCTCCCAACAGCACTGGACTGGAGAAATATCAGTGGAAAAAACTATGCAAGTAGCTCACGTAATCAGCACATTCCACAGTGTAAGTTTTATTTCTCTTTTAATTGTATAATTTCATATTTTAAAATGAATTTATTTATTTAAAAAAAAATAATTCAGCAGTGGTCAACTGCTTGCTGGGTAGCATAGAAGGAATTACTTGGTACAACATAATCACTGATGTAGATCAAAGTACATGGTACAACATAATCACTGATGTAGATCAAAGTACATGGTACAACATAATCACTGTTGCAGATCAAAGTACATGGTACAACATAATCACTGTTGCAGATCAAAGTACATGGTACAACATAATCACTGTTGCAGATCAAAGTACATGGTACAACATAATCACTGTTGCTAACAACATGTCGTAAATCAAGTAATTAGGGGTGTATCATTTGAAGCTAGAGTAACCAACAGTCTGCACACAAGTCAGATCGGTAAAAGAATGCAAGAAAAACTTAAGTTCTGGAGCAAGACAAGTCCAGAAGTTGGCAGACAACCAGAACTTTCATGGTACATTTACAGCCGGTGTAGTGAAGAAGAAGACTGATGCAGAGCTTTTGGAGAGAAGCAAATAAGCTCCATTGAATCAGTAGGTGAGGAAAAAAGGTGCTGGCAGTGGATAGGACACACTGACAAAACTTGATGATAAGGTTTCTGCAATAAAACCCACATGGCCAAAGAAGAAGACCTTAGAAGACACGGATGAATCACAGGGAAGAAAAAAACAACTGTTTCAGTAAAACAGTAAATGAGGAAAGGGGGCTGACTGGAATACATACTGAGAAAACCTGATGACAGTGTCCTTTCAATGAGACCCATCTCTGTGTGGGTTTAAGGACCCCATTTGTATGTGTGTGGGAGAAGGGAGGAATTGCCCCTAACAAGGATTTTTCCTTTGAAGTTGGAGTGCATCTACTTGAGAGGGGAGTAACCAGCAGCCTGCCTACAGATTAGCCAGATCTTTAAAAGGACAAGCCCAAAGTCCAAAAGTGGATGAACAACCAGAACTGTTCACAGGTGTTTTACAGCCAGAGAACATTGTGGGGGAGAACAAGAATAGACCCACTGCCTGCCCAAAATCACGTCGTAAGAGTCAACTAATTGGGAGCTTCCTTTGTAGTCAGAGTACATCTGCATGAGAGGCAAGGAACCAACAGTCTGCATACAAATGAGTCAGACCTGTGAAATGGATGTACACGCAACACTCATGTTCTGGAACAGGACTAGAGTCCAGAAGTGGACGAACAACCAGAACTTTCCGCCAGATTTTACAGTGATGAACGTGAAGAAGAAGAAAAGAGGTGTCCCTAGTGAATTCTCCTTATTAGATCTGCACTGCATAAGAGTTTTCCCAACCAGTCTCAAATACATTCTGTTTGCTTGTTGTCAGATTGTGGCTCATGCTGGGCTATGGGATCAACCAGTGCTTTCGCAGACCGCATTAACATCAAGCGTGGTGGAGTATGGCCCAGTGCTTACTTGTCAGCCCAGGAGGTGATCGACTGCGCCAACGCTGGCAGCTGCGAAGGTGGAGACGACAGGGCAGTGTGGCAGTACGCTCACAGCACGGGCATCCCCGATGAGACTTGTAACAACTACCAGGCTAGAGATGGAGGTGAGCCACAACATTTGTGGATGTAAGCCGTATCTATCTATATCCTCTTTACGTCACTTCTGATAAATAAGGCATTTACAAGGGATCTTTATTGCTACCAGTCCGCTGCTTTTCTGCCTGTGGTATCTCATTTCATTTTACACTGTTTTATTTCCCTTTCTGCCGTCCTACTCCAGGTTTCCTTAGGTCATCCATGTCTAATTGTTTCCCATCAGCTATCCACTGGAGAGCTGTCCATGCCAAAGTGTCATGAGGCATTCTGCAAACTTGTCCAGGGCATGCTCATCTTCTTTCTTTGATAACGCTTGCCAGTGAAGAACATTTTGTTTTCCCCTCAGTTCTTCAGTTGTGATCTTGTTTTCCCTCAATTCTTCAGTTGTGATCTTGTTTTCCCTCAATTCTTCAGTTGTGATCTTGTTTTCCCTCAATTCTTCAGTTGTGATCTTGTTTTCCCTCAATTCTTCAGTTGTGATCTTGTTTTCCCTCAATTCTTCAGTTGTGATCTTGTTTTCCCTCAATTCTTCAGTTGTGATCTTGTTTTCCCCTCAATTCTTCAGTTGTGATCTTGTTTTCCCAAAATATTTGCTAGATTAGTTTATGTGTAATTCTTGCCATTTTCGGACACTCGCTGTTGTATAATAGTATTATCAAAATGTTACTTTTGTATGAAAACTATAATGTGTACCTCTGAAACTAACACCAATCTAAATATTTGACTCTAATGTCAAATCATTACTGATCTAAAACATGGAGAACAAATATGACTTTTTACTAATGAACAGTTGTGTATCCTTTACAGGACGTTGCAGAACCAACCCCAACAGCCCCTGGCTGTTGTGTGGTTTTTCTAGGCAAATTTACGTCCAGTAGTTTGCCATTGCTTTCTGGATGGTCGGCTTTCTTGATACCACTGTCAAAACCAATGCAAGGTGCATGGCCTGCAGCTGGGATCGAACCCAGCATTACGAAGCGTTCGCATCGACTTAGCCACAGAGCCGGTGTAATGAACTATAAAAATTAATAAAATTGAGCCACCACAGAACAGAGGAAGTTAAGTGGCAGGATACAGTCAATAATAATGAGCTTTTGAAGAAAACTAAACAAATTTTCAGTGAATCAAGAGATGAAGAAAAGATACTGTCAATAAATAGGACACACTTTGAGAAAACCTGAAAACAGTATAAATAGAAAGTCTTTGCACTAGAACCCACAGGGTCATAGAAATTAAGGTAGACCCCAAAAAAAAAAATGCAGAAAAAGGAAGTATAGAGCAAAGTAAAACATTAGGGTTGGGGGGAGGGGGTGCCTTGAGGTCATCTGCTTGTGATGATAGCACTTGAGGTCCACCTTGGGTGCTGGAGGTCCCGGGTTCAAGCCCCAGTGAAGGCTGGGATTTTTTCACATGGACTTCTAGTCATTTCCCCTGGTTCTGGGTAGTAAGATAGGATGCCGTGTGTATTCTTGCGCACGTAAAACAATCCCTTGGCAATCAAAAAGAGAAGCCTAACAGTGCTGCCCGGGCAAAATTTAGAGTTACAAATTTACCTATCCAAAGTATTTTAAGATCCTCACAGATGCTACAGAGTTTGTGCACTGCACTGAGATTCTTCAGACTTGGGCATGAGTTAGGAGTAGAATGAAGCACTTATGGGTTTCACCCTGTGCCATGATGTTGATCTGTTGAATAATCATACAAATAATTCTTGTGGATATTTATGTGGATAAATAAACTCCTTACTAGCTTGCTGGGACTGTCGCAGGATCATCCTTATTTGAACACTCTGATTTTTTGTAAGCACACAATAATATTTGATTGTTTTTATTTTTACATTCTTATCTATTTCACAGTGTGCAGCGCTGAGAACACGTGTAAAACATGCAGTGGGGATGGTACTTGCACGAAAGTTGCAAACTTCCAACGATGGAAAGTTGGTGATTATGGTCCCATTTCTGGGCGGGAAAAAATGATGGCTGAAATCCATGCTAATGGACCTATCAGGTGAGCACAGCACCAGACATAGTGTATCTTGAGTTATGAGTTGGGTTATCTTCACACCGGAAGCCATCATAGTGTAGTCGCTAGACACTCACCTGCGGATCCGAAGGTCAAGGGTTCAGATCCTGATAAAACCAGACTTTTTATTTCCTTTTTAATATCACTTTGCACCCAAGTCTACCCAGTCTTAAATGGGTGATAGGTAAAGGCGGCCAGCGTGATGTTGACCACATCACTCACAGAGTGCTGATTGGTCTATAAAATATAGGCCTAGCCCTATATGCCTGAAGGCGGGGAAATGGGTCCTTTATCTTCACAGCATTTTGGACATGACTGTAGGTGCTCAGATTTCTCTTCAGCATATACATCACAGACCTATATTATGCCAGTCCAAAGCTGGTTAACAAGAATTCTCATGTCTCACTATAACAGTCTTGGTGCTTTATTAATATCCTACCCCAAACAGGGGAAATCCACAGGTCACGGGACAGTCTAATATTTCAGGGGGTAGTAGATAGGCTGCATGCAGTCGTGGGACCTAGGCTGCACTCTATTGTGGGACATAGGTGGGTTGGGGTTAAGGCCAGTTTTAGATGTTTTGGGGTCGTTAAAAGCATCAAAAAGCCGGGAAACCCAGTCTTACCACCCTCTAAACTGTTGGACTGTCCTGTGTCGTCATCTGGGGTAGGATGTTAATAAAGAACCCCAGTCTTTGCTTCTAGACTGTTGCATTGTTAGCAGCCAAGTATTTGTGCTGCCCCAAAAACATTACCCGTATGCCTTAGGACAAAGATTGAGGTAATTGGATCTTCGCAATGACTCGGTCCACATGCATTTTAACATTTGTATTATGGATAGGGGCTTTTGAGCTGAAATGCTATAGAAAGATTCTCAGAATAGCGTGGACAAAGAAGAGACGAAATAGTGACATTTTGAAAGATTCTAACATTAAAGAAGATTGGCTGCTAAATAGCATCTTGTCTCGAAAGCTGAAATATATTGGTCAGATAATGTGCCATGTCGGATTGGAAAAAATAATAGCAGAAGGCATGGTACCAGGAAGGATGGACAGGGGCCATTAAACATGAAGATGGGCAAAGGTCATTAGGGACTCCTTGAAAATGAAAGTACATGAGGCAGGAGAACTGGCAGACCGTGATGAGAGCAACCTCTGCAAAGGATCTGCTACATGATGATTATGGATCCATTGTGAATTGTTTGTTTCTTTTTCCTCCTTGTATTCTTCTGCTCTTTATCCTCCAGTGGAATGTAGGCCCTCAGCCTACACACACTATGTCGTCCTATCCTTTGCTATCACATGCAGCTGACCACATCTCCTCCCCATGTTTAACTTTACCTTCTAGTTTTCTTCTCCATTTGTTTTTTTTTGGTTGCCTTCACTTCTGTGCCCCTGTGGGTTTCAGTGTAAAGCCCTTCCAATTATGTTGCTCTCGGGTTTTTCTCACTTTATATAGACATGCCTATGGATAGTAATATCTATCATATATTTCATGATTTCTTTATGTAAGCTCTGATATAGAAACAAATAAAGTAATATTTTTACATTTATTTCACCACAGCTGTGGCATAGATGCCACGGAGAAGCTGGAAACATATGCTGGAGGTATTTACGAGGAGTACAACACATCTCCAGGGGTAAGTATAGAAATCAGCCTCTGTAGGTTTGTTAGCATCCTCTCTCAAATGCCTCCTCCTTATCTTCCTCCATTGTAGTCTCCCTGTGATAACTCTGGATTAGTTTCACTTTTAGATAACTTTTCATGTTTAGATAACTTTCATTGCAAATGAATAATATCTCCATGTTAACTCTTTTGGTGCCATAGATCGCATGATGTGTTCCTGTATACCTATACTGTTTATTTAGCAATGGTATGTCTTTGAGTTGTCGCTGGGTAATGTAAAAACATGATTCCACAACTTTGAATTGTCCTTTCCAGTTCTTAGTGTTTCAATAACACACATGTGGTGAACATGATCATGGTTAAAAGCATAAAATATCATCTTTTTGTTATGTGTTTTACTGAGTTACTATGTGTTTGAACTGATGTATGACAAGCTGGATGTTGTGAGGGCCCTTTTTGAGCGAGTGAACAGTGCCGAGGCACAGATAGATCATTATGGTCTGAGGAGAATGACACTGTGAGGAGTAACATCTGGCTAATGCTTGACACTCAGGGAAAAGGCGAGAACCTTTTGCTTGCTGCTGAAGATGGGGACCGAGCGCTTAGAGGGTGTCTCGAGTGGTGTGATGTTGATTCTAAATTCAACATTTAACTATGTGCTTGAAAACAGTACTGTTGGCCGAATAGTTTTCTTTACCCACCTCAATAGTATTTATAGCTTTAGAAGCCTCAATTGTTGTTAAAATGTAAAATAGCATTTTGATTGAAGGAGGATTGTCCTGGAAGCTCAAATATTTTGCCTATATCAAGTGTCACAGTGGGTTGAAAAAAATAGTAGCAGAAGGCATGGTACAGAGAAAGAGAGGTAGGGGTTGACCTGCACGAAGATGGGTACAGGATATAAGGTAGGAAAATGTATGAGGCAGGAGAGCTGGCCTGACCAAGTTTCTTTCAGGCAGCCAGTGATCTTCTTTATCTTCATCACCGGCGGAACATTCTGGTTGTTTGTTGGAGTGCATCTGCCTGAGAGGAAAGGAACCAAGAGTCTGCATACAATTAAGCCAGATCTGGAAAATGGATGTGCACGCAACAGTCTGATTCTAGAACAAGACTAAAGTTCGGAGGGGATGAATTAACAGAACTTTTTGCTGGAGAAGAAGTCATTTACATAGACAAGTTTCGATGAGGGAGAGCTCTATAATGTTCCTTATGCAAATTGTACCAAGGTGATAGAGTCAGCTGGCATAATGAGAAGAAACATTTTTGAAAGGCCATTTTCTTTGTTGTTATTTCTGGTCTTCTTTTTCTTCTTAGCATTATCAGCTGTAAACTCTGGCAGAAAGTTCATGTTGTTTGTCCGCTTCTGGACTTTAGTCCGGTTCCAGGACTTGAATTTTCTGCATACATCGTTTTTAAAGAGCAAGAGAAAGACACCATCATCTTCTTAGTCTAAGCCGTGTGGTGTTGGTAGTCATGTCTATCCACAACCTTCTGTCTTGTGTACTTTTAATCTACTCTGACACAGATGATCTTCCATAGTCCATGCTGTGTGGCGTTGGTAGTCAGGTCTATCCACAACCTTCTGTCTCGTGTATTTTCAATCATCTCTGACACAGATGATCTTCCATAGTCCATGCTGTGTGGCGTTGGTAGTCAGGTCTATCCACAACCTTCTGTCTCGTGTATTTTCAATCATCTCTGACACAGATGATCTTCCATGCCATGATGTCAAACTGTCCAGCATCTGTTCTCTCAGTCTCCCTCTGCCTCTCTTCCCCTCCAACTTTCCTACTGTCCTACTCCAGTTTTCTCCTTCTCACCACATGACCAAAAAATTTAGATTGTCACTTTTTAATGTGGGCAATCAGTAAGAGGAAGACAAATAAATAAATGTGTAAATGGATTACCCAAAGATGCAAACAGCGGGGAATGGAGAGTGAGAAGCAACAATGAAATTCATAATCTGTTTAAATAATCTTTGATCACTGGCATCATTAGAGATAATATACTAAAATGGTTGGGGCATACTGAAAGAATGTCAGATGACAGAGAAGTAAAAACTGTATACACAAGGGAGATGAATATGAAGCAGACTGAGAAGCAGTCCAGGCAGACCTGCAAACACTTGGTGTCACCAACTGGAAAGAGAAGGCCAACTAAACAGATGAGTGGAGGCAGGTGATATCTGCAGTAATGAACCTCAGGGGCTTGGAATGCTGAAGAAGAAGAAAATGCTTACCCATATGTATGGGCCAAGACAAAAACACTGAACTAATCCATGATTCTAGTCATCCGTGAGATGGCGAAACATGACAGCCTGTGTTTATTGGATTCGCTTATCATAATGTTGATGATGATTCTTCTTCTTCTTCGTTTACCTGCTGTGAATTCCGGCGGAAGGTCAGGGTTAATCGTCCGCTTGGACTTTTGGCTTTTACCTGGACCTGAGTTTTGTTGTTCCCTGCCTCATGGGCAGCTGTACTCAGACTTCGAGGGAGTTGATGATGATGATTGTTGTTCTATAAATAATCCAGATATGATATTTCTATGCAACTCCTGTGTGAACAGATCAACCATGTTATATCTGTGGCTGGGTGGGGCGTGCAAGGTGGAGTTGAGTACTGGATCGTCAGAAACTCCTGGGGCACCTACTGGGTAAGTTGTACACTGTGTGTGTTGTTGTTCCTCTTCTTCTCCACTTCCTCTTTTATCTCTTTTTTCTGTATTAATGTTGGACAACAAATACACACATGCAGTGAAAGTTAAATGCATTAGGAAACACATGCTTAAGGATATTGTTGAACATTCAATCGGATGAATTAAAGAAAGAAAAAGAAAATAAGAGAAATGTCTGGACAGCTGCTGGGTATTGACAGTTGTTAGACAAACGTCCGGAGGTTTCTGTGGCGAAGTGATCAAGTCGTTTTCCTCACACTCATGAAGGTCTTGGGTTTATTTCATGGCTGCGCCCTTCAGTTCACGAGTGTAATGTTAAGCTGAGATCCCTGAGGATCGTCGCCTGAATTACAGAGTTTGTACTGTGTGCGGCGCCCTCGGCAGGTGGCTTGCTATTCTGTGGAGAGAGACCGAGCCATATGGGCTAAAACCTGATGCAATGAAGCCGATTCTCCTGACTTTAACCTTTTTAGTTATTAAGACAAACAAGACAGGGAAGTATTGGTTTTTGATAATGCGAAGAATATTAAATGATAGAAAAACGAATGAGGCAGACCAACTTGATAGGCAAACATGACAGCACAGCACATGATGATGATGAGCTGGGCTTGCCAGCAACTGCACTACCCCAGTTCTTCAACAATTAACAATAAGGTTCCAGGGCCCCATCAAGGCGAACACAGAAGAAGACAAAATAGAACAGTTTTTAGATGCTTTTATTAAGTTCAGTTTTGTTTGCTTGTCTGGTACAGTTTTGCATTCAATTTTTTAGAATATTGTTTCCACACACAGTGGAATTTTTTTCCCTCATGTTTTTGTGTGTTTTTTTTCTCCACTAGGGTGAACAAGGCTGGTTTCGCATTGTTACCAGCAAGTATAAAGATGGCAACTATAACCTTGGCATTGAGACAGAGTGTGCTTACGGAGACGTTGAACTGAAATAATTGTATTATTCTTAGTTTATGTCCACGCACAGCCTTCTGTTCTGTGTACTGTTGAACATTTTTGATGCAGATGCTTTTTCATGCCATAATACCAGGCTAACAGTTTCTCTCTTGGCCTCCCTCTGCCTCACTTCCCTTCCAACAACATCCCCATTATCACGACATGCTCCAGTTTTCTTCTCCCTCAGGATGTGTCTTAAAAAAATGTGGATTGGCTGCTTCTGGTGCTCTCTTCGTGAGTCAATTTCCTCTTCAGACATCCCCACCCCCTTCTTTCTATCTGTCCATGATGCTCTGATTTGTCATTGTATAAGGCAGTTTCTGACTGAGTGAATCACACTTGTGACCAGGTTCGCCCATTGTTTGCCAGTAGATGACTTTGTCGCCGAGTGTGACAGTATTTGGATGTGTCTTCTGTTATTGCATCAACACTGCAGGATTCCTTTTCAGGGCTCTTGATGGCGTGCAGTGCTAAACCATTTTTTATGGCGCACATACCCTGGTCACAATTATAACTTGAGCCACGTCCCTTTTAGGATGCTGGTTGAACGTGATGATTATTTACTTGTTTCCCCGCAAAGCACATAATCATCATCATCATCATCATGAATGAATCAATCAAGGAATTAAGAACTGACATCATGAGACTCCCAAACATCCCATATGTTAAGAATCGACATCACAGTACTCTGGACACTCCCATATGTGCTCATTCCCCATCTTCAGCAGCAAGGGAAGAGTTCCAATTCCGATGGTACCAGTACCAGTACTGTTCTTACATCCCACATGTGCTTTGCCCAACCTTCAGTAGCCAATTAAGAAGAGTTCCCATGTTGATATTTCCGTTAATAACTTCATTAAAAGTCACCTCGGTGTGCTGAAATTGGATGTGTTGAACCGAAAGACGCAGGTATTGCAGCCTAACTAAACCATAATACAATGTGCCAACTGCCTTTTTAAGGTAGGATGCAGAAAAGAAAAGTGAAAGTTCACCTGTATTTTGCCCTCGCTAGAGTATTATCCAAACCCTTTACTCACTCCCCACTGCTTTATGTTTGTGTTTTAATAATTCAAGCTGCTACAAATCAAACTATTATTCCTGTTACAATATGTTTATTTTGAGTTGTCACAGATTGTTTATCAATCCAGCTATATCAGGCATTTTTTTTTTTTTTTGGTCTGAATTTTTTTCATAAAAAGTAAACCACTCCAAACTATAATAAAGTGTTATTTTCTACGGTTAACTTGAGTTGTAGTGTTTGTCTGGGAATTTTGATTCATTAAACAGCAATTTTATTAGTGCAGCTTGCAAATACAGCCAAATATACCTGGCAATAAAATATGCCATGTATTGTGTGTGGTGTGGCCTTATTATTTATATTGTTTAAATTATTAAAACGCTTTAGACACACACACATAATGCATAGATACCATGTTGGGATGGAGTAAACTCCAAGGCAGACCAAGAAGACAGAGGAGAGATAATTTACAGGCAGACCTAAGAACACGTTTTGTTGCCAACGGGAAAGAGAAACTAGTCAGAGAGACGAATAGAAGCAGGTGATGTTTGTAGCAAAGAACCTTAAGGGATTGGAAGGCTGAAGAAGAAGATTAAAATAGTCGTCATCATCATCATCATTTCCACTTCTACCATTTAGTGTTGTGGGGAGGAATAGTTTGTGATCCATTGCTTGATGGGCAGCATTGTCATTCTGTGTCGATGTAGAAGCCCTTTAATGTCATTAATCCATCTTCTCCTAGGGCAGCCTCTTGATTCATGTGTAGCGCCTGTATTGGTAGCTGTTCTGGATGCATTCTTACTAGGTGACCAAACTATTTGATCTTCTGTTTCTCAGTAAATTTTTTGCATGGTGTTGTTCCCACAGTCCGTCTGTTAATATTATTTATAAATTAGTCTCTGATGGTTAAGTTGGCAGCTTTTCTCTGGCATCTCATTTCGCAGGTGTTAATGTTACGTAGAAGATTAAAATGATTTGGTGAAATGATGCCAACTTGTTTTGCTCCGTATCTTCCATCCAGCCAATATGGCAGATAGTCAGGTTTACTATTTAAGGTTGTGGAAAAGTTTTGCTTCTGACAATAGTAAGCTGTTGCATTTTCCTCTATATATAGACTGAAAGCATATAGTTTTGTCACCCAGCTACAGATCTGAGTGCATGGTGTGACACTGTGAGCAGCAGACCTTATTTGAATTGCTTTTTGACGGTGCCTAACGTGTTGTGTTGTAAACTGTAGATTCAGAAACATTTTTTGTGGCCTGTTGCCTGAGAAATTATGGTGTTTTATGCCATAATTTCATCTGCCACTATAGATCTGTTGTAACTGCTGCTTCCATCAACAATGAACTGCATTTACAGTGTTAGATTGTTTGTGTTGGCATTTCTGACTGCTGCTTTATGCCATTTAATATGTGTGTATTTGCCAAGACTAGTAGTGTTATTTCCCCCCCCCCCCCCCCCCCCCCACGCCAGGGGACAGTGATAAACATTTTGGGCGGTTTTCATAGCACAGGAACAGTGTAAGTGGGATAATGTGTTTGTGGTGAAGTTGGAACTCAGATTATCTAATTACCTGATATCTCCCCATTTACTGATTACTGGTTTAAGAATCGGCATCATATCACACCAAGCATACCCATAGATGCTCCGTCTCCTGTAGCAAGTCTTAAACAGCACTTGGGACATTTCCCTAAGCATTCCATCCTTATCTTCAGCAACCAGCGGAGAGTTCTAACTTCAGTGAGGTCAGTAGCAGGTTGATTGTATATCCGCATCGCCTTTCCTCTCAGTTTAGAGTATCGACCAGATCCCTTGGTCACTCTTAGCTGTACAGCTCAAACCAAACCATAATGATCTATTCAACAGAGACACTATAATTACCTTTTTCAAAATGTAGCTGAAAAAAATTTGCATCTTGATAATTGTCTGAAACTCTGCCATAAGTAACTAGAGATACAAAAGCCATTTAAAGGCTTGACAGTTTTTATACATTGTGCTGCATGGTGTCTGCCTTGAGTGCTAGAGGTCCCATGTTCAATCCCCAGTAAGGGCTGGGATTTTTTTCACCTGGACCTGGACCTCTAGTAATTCCCCCTGGACTCTGGGGAGTGAGATTGGATGCCCATATGCATTGTTGCGCACGTAAAAAAATTCCTTGGCAGTTGGAAATCAAAAAGAGAAGCCTAACGGCTCTGCCCAGGCACAGTTTTAAATAATGGTTTAAAATCTACCCAAAGTATTTCAGGATCCTTGTCTGTGCTACAGAGCCTGTGCATTATGCTGAGCTTCTTAGGACTCCGACTTGAGTTAGAAGAAGAACAGAGCACTTATGGGTTACTTCCAGTGTACCATGATGTTGATCCAGTGTTCAAACTTCAAACAGTTTTTATACACATCCAGGGGTTGAAACCTATGACCACTTAGCAGACAGGCAAGCAGGCTAGCTATTGCGTCATCATGGTCTCCAAATCACTAAAAGATGGATTTTTCATATACAGAGTCATTATTTGCGGAAAGATGATGTTTCATGTGGAAGGGAAGTAAGTAATCACTAAATACAAACAATGCACAGAAGTAACTGCTTTCCCTCCATTTGACCAGGGAAGCAGGTTTTTTCTTTTTGACATGGCCAAGTGATGTCAAGATAAGTGCATTATGACCACATTATGACATCACAATGATAAAATTAACTCAAAATAATATCTCTATTTTTTGTTTTAAATTTACCCACTATGTCTGCACATTCAGCAGCAGCAACTAGTGCAACCTTCTTCTTCTGTAGTCTTGTTCTGCCTTTGAGTGTCAGTTTTGAGTGCATGCCTTGATATGTGCACTGTAGATGTTGGTTTTTACGGCCACCGATATCCAACCAGTATCAAAGCTGTTAAATATATCTTTGGACGTAAATGTGACAGAAACATTTTGGCACTAGTGGAAGCGGGTTACTGAAGATAGGTTTGTTGTGAGAGAAGCGCGAAGGATTACGGGATTTTAGTTGATGTGGAGTGAAATACTTACTACAAGATCAATCAATCAGATGCCATCATCACAATGAAGGTTGCTGCAACTGATCTTTAACACACCCCGTCTGGTTTTGGAAGTACTTCTTCGTGTTCGCCAGTAGTAAACTCTGGGGGAAAGTTCTGGTTTGTTTATCCACCTCTCGACTTAACTCTTGTTCCGGAACCTGAATGTTGTATGCACATCCGTTTAGAGATCTGGCTTATTTGTATGAGTCTCTCGACTCCTTGCCACTCAAGCAGAAGAAATCCGATTTCAAAACATGGTCCCAGTTAGTTGACTCCTACAACATGCTCGTTGGGGAAGCAGTGAGTTTCTTCTTGTTATCCCTACAATGGGGTCCCAAAACCTACAAAAGGGAGTCTTGGTAGTATACTCTCTGAGACTGCAGTTCATCCATCTCTTATTGTTGTCCCACCTGTATCATTGCCTACCTCTTCCTTTTCTTGCCTTAAACTTGCCCCCCCCCCCCCCCCCCTAATATGGTTTTTAAAAGAGTGCTATGTCTTATAATATGTCTGTCTCTTTCTCTCTCTCTCTCTCTCTCTCTCTCTCTTTCTCTCTCTCTCTCTTCTCTTTCTCTCTCTCTCTCTCTCTTCACATCAAATCAGTACCTGTGTATTTAACTCCACCGGATGACAATATTATGAGTAAAGCGTTGCTCTTGGATCAAGTGAAAATGCTATGGGATGAAGTAAAGTAAAAGTAAAGGACCATTTTTCACGCCTTTGGGTGTAAAGGGCTAGACTTATTTATATTTGATAGACCAATCGGCACAAGATGGGTGATGTGGTCATCATCACGCCGCCCGCTTTTACTTGCCCTGACTGCACAAGGTACCCATTCAAGGCTGGGTCGACCTCAGAGCCAAGGTCATTTTTGAAAAAGTCAGGCCTGCCAGGAAGCGAACCCACGACCTTCCGATCCGCCGCGAGCGTTTAGCCGCTCCTCCACGGCGACTTCTATCGAATGAAGTGGACAGAGCAAAAGATTAGAAAGAATATTCATATTTGGTGAGACTAATTGAGCATAGTTAATATACGATTGGCATGGCTCACGGAGACAGGCAGGCTGCTTTTTAATGCTTCAACTGGCAGTATGGTAGCTGTTCGTTATCTTCTACAAAAGGGGACAGAGTATGTATCAGAATATCCCAGGATATCTACTAAGAAAGGGGACAGGGCCTGTGTGGAAGTGTCCAAGATTATCTACGGAGAAAGGGAACAGGGCTGTGTGGGAATGTTCAAGGTTATCTACGGAGAAAGGATCTGTGTGGAAATGTCCAAGGTTATGTACGGAGAAAGGGGACAGGGCTGTGTGGGAATGTCCAAGGTTATCTACGGAGAAAGGGGACAGGGTCTCTGTGGGAGAGTCCAAAGTAATCTACGGAGAAAGGGGACAGGGTCTGTGTTCAAGTGTCCAAGGTTATCAACGGAGATAGGGGACAGGGTCTGTGTGGGTAGTCCACGGTTATCTACAGAGAAAGGTTCTATGTGGGAGTGTCCAATGTTATCTACGGAGAAAGGGGACAGGGTCTGTGTGGGAATATCCAAGGTTATCTACAGAGAAAGGTTCTGTGTGGGTGTGTCCAAGGTTATTTACGGAGAAAGGGGACAGGGTCTGTGTGGGAGTGTCCAAGGTTATCTACGGAGAAAGGGGACTGGGTCTGTGTGGGGGTGTCCAAGTTGCAATGATGTTATTTCATTCATTCATATTATCATTCTTGGAAATCAACTACATAGGAATTATCCGTATAGGTTAGACAGACAGAAAGAGCTATTGCGAAATGAAACCTGGACGAATTAACAGAAAAGAGCAGAAAGTGTATAGATACAAGAGAAAAAAACATGGAAAAAACAATTAAATGTATCCTTGCAAGACTAAGAAAGATTACTGCCAAGAATTAGAATCACATTAAATGAAAAACTGAAAAAATCTTTTAAAATGTAAAACGATACATGAACAAAGGTCAACAGTAAAGTGAAAAAAAAAATTAACAGGTATATTGCGAAACAAAACATTAACTTAGCAAAATCATAAAATAAAATAAAAGCGAAAGTAAAAAAAAAAAAAACTGCTAAAATATAATTAAACGAAGGTTGAGAAAAGTAAAAATTGCAAAACAAAATATCACGAAACTAGACGATAAAATGTAATTAGTTAGTTAGTTAGTTGGGTTATCCTCATTGCACTCCGGACATGTCCATAGGTGCTCAGATCCTCCCCTCAGTATGAATCCCAACGTCCGATGGCTAATAGTACCAGTTCTATGTTGATTAACAAGTCTTCTGGCGTAGCTGGTGTGCGTCTCGTTTTTTGCTGTGCCGATCTTAATTCCCAAGTCTGCCATTCTGGCGAGTGATGTGGATTCACTGCCACCAAAGTCCTCTATTCTTCCCATTTCTCTGAGGGCATTGATAATATCAGCATGATCCATAGGCTGACCGTCGGTAGTGATAGCGGATCCAGCCAACCTGTCAGCTCTTTCATTTCCATCGACGCCTGCGTATCCCGGAACAAAAATAAAGGTGACTCCACGAACAGTGGACTTCTGTAATGATTCAAGCCATTGTCTTCGCACTGAACCTGCCTGAACCCTCCGGATCATATTCATTGAATCACTGAGTATACACACGCGCGGGTGTATTTTTGTGTTTCAAGCCAGGCAAGCGCTTGTGTCACTGCCATCACCTCCATCGTCATGCTGCTGGTTGTCATGGAGAAGGCGCCGTTGGCTTCTTTGACTGTTCTGCCCGCTGAGCGTGCTGTAAAATGCCCATGCGCTTCTTCTTTGGCGTATAACGGATCCGTCTGTATAGATTATTGCATCTGCTTCGTCTGAATTTTCACCGATGAGAGCGTTGACCTCTGCATTAACAGCAACAGGATTCTCTTGATAAAATGTAAAAGAAAAAGGAAGAAAAATAAAACGAAATAATGTGGGGGGGGGGGGGGGGAATATAAATTATTTCAAAGGCTAATAATGATGCTTTTGCCGTTTTTTGTTGTTGTTGTTTTCTTGTTGTTGTTTATTAGGTATTTCAATATCAGCAGACAAAATGCCTAATGGTTTACCACCAAAAAGAGTTAATTAAATCACGACAGCGCCGTATTGTTAATGATCATCACAAGACAGTGAATCATCATCATCATCATCATCAGGTGCCTTGCCGACTGGCGTGGGCGATCATTCCTCTCCACATTCTGCGATCTCGTGCAGCATGTATCAGTTCGTGTGCCGACACACCTCCATGCCATGCAACAAGACTGTCAAGTGAATCTTCTCTCGTTGTCTTCCTCTATACCTCCTTCCACAGATCTCTCCAGTGGTCACAACATGTTATATTTTTACTCTTATCATAACATTGCCGAAAAATGATGACTGTCTCCTTCTGATGTCTGTGATAAATTGTCTTCAGGCTCCCGCTTCTTTCAAAACCTCCTGGTTGCTCTTTTTGGCTGTTCAAGATATTCTAAGCATTCTTCTGTAAAACCACATCTCTGAGGCCTCAAGAAATTGTTTGGCCGATTGTCCTGGATTCACAGCTGTATGTTAAAACTGGATGTATGCAGCAAGCAAGAATTCTTTTTCTAACTCTCAATGACAAGGATATATTGCACAAGATGTTCGTCATTTTATAACATGCAGTTTTTGCCTGTCCTATTCTGTTTCTTATCTCAGTTATGCATCTTCCATCTAATGTTATCCATGTGCCCAGATACTTAAATTTCTGTACTTGTCCCAAAATAACACCATCAACTTTTATTACACATTTAGGAATAATTCGTTTCTTTGATACCACCATTACTTCTGTCTTTCCATTATTCAAACTGAGGCCCATTCTTCCCCTTTCTAGCACCACAATGTCTATCATTTCCTGTAGTTTTTTCTGACTTGTTGCTATCAAGACTGTGTCATTAGCATAACGTAATTTGTTTATATTGTGCCCACCAACCACAATTCCGATCATATCAATTAAAGATCTCATTATTTATTCACTGTATATTAAAAACAAATCAGGTGACAGTACACATCCTTGTCGTACGCCCCTCTTTATGCTTTGAAATGTACCTAAACAGTTGTTAATTCTTATAGCTGCTGTTTACTGCCAAAACATATTTTTCGTAGATCTTTCCCATCAATGTTTAATTTTTCTAACAGTTTGGTTACTTCTTCAGGCTTCACACAGTCAAATGCTTTTGTATAGTCTATGAAGCATAATTACAAACCAGTCTTTACTTCTATAGCTCTTTCTGACAATGTCCTTAGGATGTATATGGCATTGTTTGTACCTTTTCCTTCTACAAATCCACATTGTTCATCGGTGTTTTCTGGTTTAATTTTGTTTCTTATTCTTCTCATAACTATTCTCAGTAAAATCTTAGTCATGTGACTCATAATACTTATTGTGCGATGGTCTTCACATTTTAAAGTGTATGGTTTCTTTGGCAGAGCTATAAATATGGATTTTAAAAGGTTCGCATTATATCCTGTCATCTCCTTGTGAGATGCAATTTTTCTATATTACGAAGCCCCACCCTGGCTCTTGTCAGGGGCCGCAATATAGCCCGACCATACATATGGTCTAATGGCTGAAAGCTGTTTCTGGGACCTCTCCACTGTGGTCCTCATCCACACGGTGGCACATTGGGTCATCGGGTGTTTATCGCTTGTGTGATGTACTGGTTGGGTAGAAAGTCAGTTAGTCAGTCGGTTCACATTAGCGATTGGAAAGGATTATCATCACAGCACTCCGGACAGATCCATAGGTGCTCCGATCTCCTCCTCAAAATCTCCACAAGTGTAAAACGACTGATGACGCCTGTTCTATGTTGGTTAATGAAACGTCTTATCCCCTTAGTGAAATGTTCATCACATGTGAATCACATGATCACTCAAATCACGTGATGCAACAATATAAGAGCAGACGATATTACTTCACAGTCATAGATACCACATTCGCTTTCTGTTATCTTTAATATTTTTACTTTTCTAAACTTTTACACCAGTTTCTTTAGGTATGGGAGCATTCACGGTTACTTTCTGTGTTTTCAGCGTTACTTTTTTAGCGGCTGTGGTCTTTGTAGAATGCAGGCCAGAATATTTCAGGGAATCTGCGGTACTTCATGTCCAGTCTGAGAAAAATGGCTTTCAATTTGATTCAAGGAAAACCGGAAGAAAATCGTCGCCTTGCTACGTTAAGAAAACCAACTTGTCTGATCCAGCTCAGTTTGTTAAGTAAGTATACATTTGGAGACATAGAAATTAGAAACGAATAAGTTATGCATTATTATTTTATGAAATATTCATGCATTTTCTGGACTTGCAAACCAATATAAACAAGTAACAAGTCATATCTATCTACTTCCTTAATTAGATATTCGTTACGTCCTTCTTAGGACGTAATTTTTTGTTATTTGAAGCCCCACTCTGGCTTTTGCCAGGGGCCGCAATATAGGCAGGCCATCAATTTGGCCAATTGTCTGAACGCGGTTTCTGGGACATCTCCACGGTGATCCTCATCCGCATGGTGTCACTTTGTGTCATCGGGTGTTTATCGCTTGTGTGATGTCCTGGTGGGGTAGAAAGTCAAGTCAAGTCATCTACTTCCTTGACATCAAGGATCATAGGATGTCAAATAAAGATGAAACATCAGGCAGAAATGTTTCTATACATTTTGTTTTTTTGCCTGTGCTTATTGAACGGGATTACTTTTAAGGCATGTCATGTCCTGTCGTGTTATTAAGACAAAAAACTAGTACTGAATCAGCTCATACTGTTTTACTAACAGTGCTCATTTATTGAGTATTGTGTGTCTCTAGCAACTGTCAAATTTATTTACTGCATGTGCATATTTCTGGATTGATCCTGGACTTATTGTTTGTTCACCAGTTTTTCCAGTGGGACAGTGAGGGACATTTCATTTGATTTTCTCTCCATGTGGGTTCCAGGGCCTTTTATAGGGAAAACATGAATAGACCCGCTGCCTACCCAAAAGCATGTCGTAAGAGTCGACTGATTGGGAACTTCCTTCGAATTAGGAGTTCATCTGCCTGAGAGGCAAGGAACCAGCAGTCTGCATACAAATGAGTCAGATTTGTAAAACAGATGCACATGCAACACTCAGGTTCTGAAACAGGACTGCAGTCCAAAAGTGGATGAACAACCAGAATTCTGCCGGAATTTACAGCTGGTGAACATGAAGAAGAAGAAGAAGAAGATTTGATTTTCACTGGCGCAGGAATGGAGAAAATATGGGGAAACCCAATTGCAATGAAGTGGAAACCTCAACTAAGACTAATTAATTGAGTTGACTAGGTTAATTTGTTTGCCTTCACCGGCTGTAAAACCTGGTGGAAAGCACTCGGTCATCCATTTATGGACTTTTTCTTTCTTCTATGAGACAAGTTTTGCATGGGCATCTTTTTACAGATCTGTGCGGTCTATTATTACCTTGTCTATTAGGCCGATGTACCCCAATTTCGAATGAAGGTAAACTTATAATGCCTGTCTTGTGGTACTACATTATTTGGTAAAAGTAATGTTTCGTTCCCCAGATCCCGCCCATATACACACTAGCTCACTTCTTATTGTAGACCTTGAGCCACCTAACCTTGGCACAAGGTTACAGGGGTGTTCTGCAATGCCATTGATATCGCTATCACTTTTAGCACTCCAAAAACATGGAAAAACTGGGTCTTACACAACTCCCCTAGAGGGTGCTGCAACATGTGTCACAGGCATTCTCTTTCTCGGAATAAAATTGTAAATGCAAAACAACCCAGAAAGCAAACAGCAGAGTGGCACACCGTAACCTGCAAAAAAGTAGACCAGCCCAACAAACTTGTAAATGAAAAGTGACCTGCTTTGTTTGGGGAGACCCAACTGAAACCTAACCCTTTATTGATACTGAAACTATGGTCTGAACTTCTTTTAACTCCTTCTAACCAATAGTGGAATTACATATTTGGACTTATAATTCCTCTTTAAACTAAAAAAAATATTGGAAGGTAATTTCTAGTTTGTATTAATATAATTAAATAGTCTATAGTGTGCAGCATTATAATTGTTTGTCAACCTTATATGACTGTCCTCTTTCAGAACCAAGCCTCGTGCCTTTGAAGATCCAGCATATATAGCAGCTCTACCAACAGCACTGGACTGGAGAAATATCAGCGGGAAAAACTATGCCAGTACCACACGTAATCAGCACATTCCCCAGTGTAAGTTCTGCTTTCTTTTCTCAATTTCCATCGTACTTCAACATGAATATATCAAACATCATTAGTCATTTGGTTCAAAACATTGAGCCCTTTTGGGAATGTCCCGAGTTTTGGTTCTTGAATAAACTCAACTCTACTTGGACCAAAATCTATATATTGAAGAGTAAACAATGCCCATGCTGTATTTGAAGAAGTTTTTCCTGAAAATAATTTCAAGGAGATTAATCAGCTCTTGCACACTAAGGAGGAGCGGCTTTAGCCAAACAGTTAGAACATTGGGCTCTGAAGCGGGAAAACCAGGTTCGAATCCTCGGTAAGGCTGATGGTAGGGTTGGGCTAGGAGTTGGCTACCTCATTCTATGTAAACAATAGCCACAAAAACCAACCAACCAAAGGCAATTACCAATAAACTACAAACATTCAAAAACTGGTGCCTGTGCAGAACATAGGATAGAATCACTAATGTAGAGTTTTGGGAGAGAACTAAACAAGTTCCAGTGGACCAACAGGTGAAGAAAAGACACTGTTATTGGATAGGGCACACAATGAGAAAACCTGAGAACAATATAACTAGAATATCTTTGCCCAGGGGCACAGAAATAAAAGAAAACCAAAAAACACATGGCAAAGGAAGCTAGAGAGTGAAGATAAAACGATAGAGAGAACTGGTTGCAATAGCCAAGGCTAGAATGACTTGCAGTGAGTTGGTTGAGGGCCTCTTCTCCAATGGGGATAAAAGACAAGAAAAAAGGCTAAGAGCACACTGAAAAATCTTACAGTAATTTCTTCTTCTTCGTGTTCGCCGGCTGCAAATTCCTTCAAAAAGTAAGATGTATTTTTTTTGGTACTGTTGGTTCCTTGCCTCTTAGACAGATGTATTCAAACTTCAAAGGAGCATCATTTCATAACGATAGTGTTTTCATAATAAATCTCATACATGTTATGTTTGTATATTTGACAGATTGTGGATCATGCTGGGCAATGGGATCAACCAGCTCCTTTGCAGACCGCATTAACATCAAGCGTGGCGGAGCATGGCCCAGTGCTTACTTGTCAGCCCAGGAGGTGATCGACTGTGCCAACGCTGGCAGCTGCCAAGGTGGAGACCACAGTGGAGTATGGGAGTATGCTCATAACACCGGCATCCCCGATGAGACTTGTAACAACTATCAGGCCAAAAATGGAGGTTGGTCACCAGAAATTGATTTTGAATACTAGTCTTCCGAGGCCCCATTGGGGGAGGGGTGGGGGGAGGAGGAGGTTAGGGTTTGGGAAATAGACCCGTTGCCCCTAACAAGCATGTCATAAAAGGCAACTGATTAGGGTATGTTTCCTTCAAAGGCTTAGTACATCTGCCCTAGAGGCAAGGAACCAAGAGTCTGCATACACATAAGCCAGATCTGTGAAACGGATGTGCATGCAACACGCAGGTTCTGAAACACAACTAAAGTCCAGAGGTCGACAAACATCCAGAGCTGTTTGCCCGAGTTTACAGCTGGTGAATGCGAAGAAGAAGAAGTATTGTTGGTACCTTTCCCTCTTTCCAGAAGGCAAGGAGGCATATGACAACCCATAGTGATGGCGAGTGTGATTAGCAAGACCCGTCCACATTAGGAAAAGCCTTCCTGTGGTGAAAATACCTTAACTATTTACTTAAATGCTGGTTGGTTGGGACAGCATGAGTGGATACCAAGAATCTGCAAGTAAACATTAGATGGACTTGGGTGGAAATTCTATCCGGGATATGCAGGAGTGCGAGGAAGTGAAAGGGGACATTTTCTGGATACAAAAGTGAAAGCTCCAGGAACACTCATATTAGACAAAGAAGACATTCTGAAAACCATTTAGGAACGACTGCTGATAGAAGACACAAGATCAGGTGAAATAACATGTGCAAGAATGTATGAATGAGGATTTTGGTGTAGCTCAGGCAAGGAGTGAGAGAGAATGACAAATTTATAATCAGTGTGCAATGGGAATGGTTAGTATCTACACCTTAAAACATTTGCTGTGAGGGACGGAGAACCTATGGATATGCTTGGTTTGCTATGATATTGATTCTTCAATCAGTAAATGAGACAATATCTTGTCAGGAAATGAGATATTTTGGCCATGTTAAGTGCCATTAGTGAACAGTGCCGGGGAACAAATAGATCATTATGGTCTGAGGAGAATGGCACTGCAAGTAGTTAAAGGGGATCTGCCTCAACACTCAGGGGAAAGGCTAGAGGGATGTACAATCAGACAGTTTATAGGACCCATGGAATTTTAACTCTTTGCTTGCTGCTGAAGATGGGGACGGAGCACTTATGGGTGTGTTCCAAGTGCTGTGATTTCGATTCTTAATTCAACAATAAACATTCAAGTGTCATGGTGGGCTAGAGGGTTCAGTGATAGAGGGTAAATTTTCCAGTAAACGAGGCAAAGTTCGGCCTCTGCACAGGTGGACACAAGACATGGAGATGCATTAGCTATGAAAGCAAATAGCACTAGAGAATTGACTAGAGAAGAAGAGACTTTCAATTGCGCTGTCAAGAGAGTCAGTTTCTGTACATTACCTGCTGATTGATAGTAATGATGGTTGGTAAATGAAACACTAACAAATCTATGTTACAGAGTGCAGCGATGAAAACACCTGCAAAACCTGCAGTCATGATGGCACCTGCACAAAAGTTACAAACTTTCAACGATGGAAAGTTGGTGATTATGGACCCGTTTCAGGGCGGGAAAAAATGATGGCTGAAATCCAAGCTAATGGACCTATCAGGTGAGTACAGCACAAGACATCACATGTATTTTTCAACACCTCTGCAAGACATACTTTGGAAACGATTCCTAAAAGTATCCTCTTCTTCTTCTTCCTAGTGTTCACCAGTGGACAGTTCTGGTTGTTTGTCCTCTTCTGGTCTTTGGTCTTGTTCCAGAACTCGAACTGTGCATGCGCCTCCGTTTTACAGATCTGGCTTATTTATATACAGACTGTTGCTTCCTTGCCTCTTGGGCGGATCCACTCTGATTTTAAAGTAAAGACGCCTTAACTTGTCGCCTTTCATGACGTGCTTGTTGTTGGCTTATCTCCCCTACCCCCTTTCTTCTTGTGACCCCCGAACCTGCACAAAGAATTCCTCAAAGTGTGAAAAAAAAACATTTTTTTTAAACAAAGCAACAACAAAACACACTTCCCTATGTGGGTTCCAGGGCCCCATTGCAGGAAAAACCAGAATAGACCCACTGCCTCCCTAACAAGCATGTGGTAAGAGTAAACTAATTGGGGGTTTCTTTTAAAGTCAGAGTGCATATCCAGTCTGCATACAAATACGTCAGATCTGTAAAACGGATGTGCATGCAACACTCAGGTTCTGGAACAAGTCTAAAGTCCACAGGTGGATGAACAACCAGAACTTTCTGCCGGAGTTGACAGCCGATGAGCGCAAAGAGGAAGAAGAAGAAACAAATTAAGTGTATATTACTAACAGAGACACCATCTGGCCTGCTCCTACCCCAGTCAGGACAAAGCTGTATGGTACACTGGAAGATCTGACTGCACAGCAGCCCTCCTGAGTGCTTCTGACCTCTTGATTAAGTTTTCTGACCGAAGGATTGACCAAGAAGAAGAAGACCTGTATTTTAATTGTTTGTGTTACTGATCGGTAAAAAAAACTTATTCGTTAGTGAAGTGCAGTAGTCCAGTCTCAACTTGGATTTAGATTCAAAAGTATTAGGGGAAAGACGAGACAGATATACAGTCAGACAGTTACTGGTACCATCGGAATTTTAACCCTTCGCTTGCTGCTGAAGATGGGGACGGGATGCTTATGGTGGTGCCCCAAGTGATTAGATGTCGATTCTTAATTCAACATTCAAAAGTTTCTGAAAACAGTAACCTATAAATGGTAATATTTTGTAGTATATTTCATGACTTTTTGATCTCATGTCTGCCCTGTATGGGTTCCGTGGCCCTTTTGTGGAGAAAATAATAAGCCCACTTCATGTTTTGTGAGTCAACTTTAGGGGTGGGGGGGGGGGGGGGGGGGGGGGGGGGGGGGGGGGGGGGGGGGGGCTTCCTTTGAAGTCAAAGTGCATTTGCCTGAGCGGCAGAGAACAACCAATTGCACACAAATAAGCCAGTAAAATGGATGTGCCCATGAAACTCAGGCCCTGGCACAAAGTCCAAATAGACAAACAACCAGGACTGTCCTCTAGAGCCTACAGCCATTGAACAAAGAAGAAGATCTGAGTTCTGAAATAGACACAGTTGATTCCTTAGCCATAACCTAAATATATTAATATTTTCCATTCATTTAATGACACCGGCAGCTGCGGTATAGAGGTCACAGATAAGTTCGAAGAATACAAAGGAGGTGTTTACAAGGAGTACAACCCAAGTCCAGGAGTAAGTATCAAAGTGTGTTCGCATCTTTTCTCTTCTTCTTCTACATCCATTTTAAAAGGGTGGTTGGTATGTTGTGTTGTGGTTTACAGCTAGGCTGCAATATCTGCACCTTTTGGCCTAACACATCAGATTTAGGAAAATCTGAGAATTTTGGGAGCAACACTTCCACATCTTTGCTAAGAGTGCAAGAATTGGGAATAAAGATTGGCACAGCCAGGCACGAGAAGCACACCAGACGCACGAGAATTCTTGTCAACCAACATAGGACTGGAACTATCAACTGCGGGACGCTGATGTATATGTTGAAGGGGGGATCTGAGCACCTATGGACATGTCTAGAGTGCCGTGAAGATAACCCAAATCATAACTCCTAACTCTGGGACTACCCTAGGGTTCTGCAATTTCACCAGTGCTCTTCAATGTCTATACAAGCAGGATTGCAGAGCTTGAAGCACCAGGGGTTGGAAGGATATTGACGTTTGCTGATGATATTCTTGCATATAGGCAGGGTAGCCATAGGTAACAGGCAGCCCAAGAGCCACAGGCAACAGTAAACAAAGTGACTGACTGGTGTGTAGAAATGGTTGCTGTCATTAACCCAGAAAAGGTGGCTATTTTATGGTGCCCTCTAGACTATAGAATTGTAAAAACCGGGAAGGCTAACCCGGTCAACAAATGCCAGCAGAAGTCGGATGTGTTGGCCAAAAGGTGCAAATATCTCAGCCATGGTGTAAACGGTCACAACGCAATTGCATCTTCGGATGAACGCTGAAGAAGAAAAAGAATTGTAAAAGTTGTTGTTCCAAATCTCGCAATTAATGATAGAAACATCAAAAGAGACATCAAACAGGTACCCGTGTTCACTTTTGATAGAAGCCAGTTATTCAGGGATTATGTGGAGGCAGTTGCGGTGAAATGCTAAAAAGGACTCAATGCACTTAAGGTTATGGCAACAATGGACATGGAACAAAGAATGCTGTTCACAGTGTTCCAGCATGTGATCCTGTGGTTCATAGATAATGAGCTTGGAATACTTACTATATCAAAGTGTCAGCTGGTGAAACTTGAACGCATACATAATGAAGCCATGAAAGTAATTCTGGGATCTGCACAAGATACCCCGGTAGTATGTATGCGATATATACTTGCACTGCCGAATGTTATAGATAGGCTCAAAGTGCTGCAAGCTAAGTCAAATCTCAGAGTGGCTGCAGATCAGATAAGAAACACCTCCCGCATGAAGCCCTAGACAGAGCTGAGGGTCACAGACTGAAAAGAGGAAGGCCTTGGATGGTGCAAGCTGTAAATAGAATTAGACACATGTACAGGATTGATAAATTTGTGCCAGGAGAGGAGTAAGTGAAAGTGTTTGTGCAAGAATCAGACATGTATAGGGTTCTATCAGTTTAGGTTGTGAGTGCAGGGACTGGCCAGCAGGGGCTGCAGAATCAGAAGTTCTACAAATGATTCATGACAATTTATGCCCATGCCTATACAGATGGCACTGTGTTGACATGCAGACAAAGCTCATGGCGGGTTCTTAGCAAAAGTGAATGGAGATGGCTTATTGCAGCAAAACCTGGCATATGACACCACAACATCTAGTCTAGGAATGGAGGTGGAGGCAGTAAATTCCTCTGGTTTGAGAATAAGCTGTACACACATGTCATAATTGTAACCGACTCACGCATGTTGAAAAAGGTGAAGAGAGCTAAGCTGTGAAGAGTGGCAAGCATTGCTTCAGAGGTCTCGGGTAGTTAGCATCCTTTGGATATTTACCCAGGATATGCTGGTGTATTAGGAAATGAACAGGCAGATAGACTGACTAGTTCTGCACCCCTTGGTGGGGAACTAATGCATGACAAGCTAGATGTTTTAAGGGCACTTTTGGAGCGAAAAAAATGCAAAGATAGATCATCACGGTCTAAAGAGAATGGTACTGCCAGGAGTGACCAGGAGATCAGGTTGACGATCAGCACTAACGGGAAAGGGGAGAGGATATGCAATCAAACTGTCATTGGCACCATTGGAATTGGAACCCTGCGCTTGCTGCTGAAGATAAGGGTGGAGCACTAATGGGAATGTCCCAAGTGTCGTGTTGTCGATTTTTAATTAAACATTAATAAAATGGTTTGCCCACTTAGAAAGCCTACCGAAAGCTTATCATACAAGACGTACACCAAAAGAGAAGAGGGACATATAGCACAAAGTATAATAAGATGGAAAGATAACTCTTAGGGAAACTTGTACAATGTGTCCATGGTTGGACGGCCAGAAGAGCAAGAGGCAGAACCTGATATCTCCCTCGACACCTGAATTAGTAAAAGAGGAAGGGAAGAGGAAGAAGAACAATAAACAGTAAAGAGTAGGTTGATGGCAAAAACTTGTGGGTGAGTCAAGTATTATACAAACTATGAATAACCTTCATGAAGTATTTTTCTTGTTGACTCCTGTGTGAACAGATCAACCACATCATCTCTGTGGCTGGGTGGGGCGTGGAGGATGGAGTTGAGTACTGGATCGTGAGAAACTCCTGGGGCACCTACTGGGTAAGTGTTGCTTTTGTCAGCTAATATGTTCACAATTTTTGACAAAGTTGGATTTGTTATTTATTTGTTTTAGATTAATAGAACTCTCTGAACTAGGCAACCGGTGTAATGTAACTATGCAATCGATACAGCTCCACTGTGAAATTCCGGAAAATGAAAGAGCTGATAAACTAGCAAAGGAAGATGCAACTGAAGAACAGCCTGACATAACAGTCTCTTATCAACATGAGAAGAGAATAATCAAATCAGTCAGAAAGCCACATAAACTGGCACAAAGCGATTACCATATTATGCACAAACCAGAGTAAGTCATTATTCTACACTTTAGAACAGGGCATAATCGACTTTACAGCCACATGTGTGCAAACTTTAAGATTGGCAAATCAGCCATGTGTACATATGGATTGGCACCTGAGGCAACAGATAACATCATCCACCAAGACTGTCCTAAATAGAACATTTCCAGGTAAAACTTCTGGCCAAGAGAAACACCGGTGGAAGCCAAACTTTTATGGGCAGATAAGTGAATTACAAGACAGTGAAGTTCTTACTAGATACAACATTGCAGATATAGATAATTTATTTCAAGCGACCGAAAGAGGAAAAAGAAGATTTAAAGCAAATATAAGCACTGAAGGTCAGACAGAGAGATGAATGATGGTGGGTGATACATGCGGTAGTAAACCTCAAGGGTTCGGAATGCTGAAGATAAAGAATAAGCTATGTAAGCAGTAAAGTGTCAATATGCATAGGGTTTCTTCTGCATTTTCTCATTCACATTAGCCTGCTGAAAAATCCGGCAGAAAGTTCTGGTTGTTTATCTACCTCTGCCAGAACCTGTGTTGCATGCACATCAGTTTTACAGATCTGACTGATATGTATGCAGACTGTTGATTCCTTGCATCTAAGGCAGATGCACTCTGATTTGAAAGGAAGCTTCCAGTTAGTCTATTCTTAGGACATACTTTTGGGTAGGCATATTATATATAAAATAAACAGATAGACAGTGTATTGATCAGCACTGGTAGAAAGTAGAAAGATAGAAGGACACACTAGATTACACAAAAATCAAAATCTATAATTACCATGCCGGGAATCAAATCTGTCACCTCCAGATGGTGTGTGCGCCTCAATATGGAAACAAGTGTACTAAGAACATAACCAGCTAATCACCCCTAAAAGAAATGTGTCTTTATTGGCCATGTCTGTCGTACAGCTTGAAATCCACAACAGCACCTGCGACAACAGATCATGTCCTCTAAGACTGTTCCAAATAAAACATTTCAAGGCAAAACTGTTGGCCAAGAGAAACATCGGTGCAGGTCAAACTTTATGGGTCACTGAGTGAATTACAAAAGACAGTGAAGTTCATACTAGAGACAACATTGCAGATATAGATAATCTATATCAAGCGGACGATAGAAGAAGAATTAGAAGGAGAAGAAGAAATCCACAACTGTGGAATATGGACAGAATTAATCTCAAACCATAGGCTGCAGGTCTGTTCTTGTTTTCCCCACAGTGGGACCACAGAACTAGCTTATTTGTATGCAGACTGTTGGTTCCTCAACTCACAGGCAGATGCACTTTGTCTTCAAGGGAAAACCCCTATTTAGTTGCCTTTTACAACATACTTTATCCAACCCACCCCCCCCCCCCCCTCTTTCCTTACACAATCAGGCCTAGGAGCCCACACAGGGACCTGCAGCAATAAACTTTAAGGGCTCTTGGAAAAATCCAGGCCTGTACAGTCTAGCTGCCTACACTCATCATCATCATCCTGCAGGGTGTCCTTTGCAGAAACTCTCTGTGTTCACAGTCTGCCTGACAGAAACTCAGTCTCATGACAGCCTCTCCCACCTCATGCACTCTCCTACCCAAGGTGTCACTTATATACTGTGCCCATCTTTGTGCTTGTCAGCCCCTGCCTCTCTTTCCTATTATTATTTTTTTCCCCCAATCCGCTGTGGTGCTTGATGTGGTCAGAATAGTTCCGTTTCCAAGACAAGAAGCTGTCTACTAGCCAGTCTTCCTTCATGCTCACATCTTTAAGGAAATCAGTATTTCTGTTCGTATTTACTGTTTAGGGTAGTTACCTTGGTTTCTCAGCCCAGGATAAATGACACGCCATTAATAAATGGTTTCCCCCAGGAGATCAGATAAAGAGCTGCTGTATTTCACCCTAAGTGGTAGCTGGCCATCATTCAATGGACCCACGTTTTAATATTTTGTCAGGTGTGTTGGATATTTTTTCTGTTGAAGGCAAAAAAAAACATCCTAACCTTCACAGCCTCTGATGACTGCACTAGTCGTGTGGCCTAAAATCCTTAGACTGAAGACCTCGCTGTCTAACACTGACCTAAAATCCTCAGACTGAAGACCTCGCTGTCCAACACTGTCCTAAAATCCTCAGACTGAAGACCTCGCTGTCCAACACTGTCCTAAAAAAGGGATAAATGCAGGCAGTATAGATAGATGACAAATATTTGATGCAATCTTTCTTTTTCAGTTTAGACGAGAAAGAGAATTCTTAAAACTATGTAAATCCTATCTTGATATACAGATGCGAATCATGGAGGGTTGGTAAATTAGTGTAGTTTTATAGACGAATGATGAGAATACATATAAAAAAGACTAATGAATATCTCTTGATAGAAATTTACTCACAAGAGAAATGTTTGCCCACATCAGAAAGAGACAATCTACATTCTTTGGTCGTCTGCTGAGAAGAAAGAAACTGGAGTACATCGTAACAGTAGGAAAGTTGGAGGGGAGGAGAGGCAGAGGGAGACCAAGAGAACAGATGCTGGACAGTTTGACATCATTTCATGGAGGATCATCTGTGTCAGAGTTGACAGAACGTACACGAGATAGAAGGTTGTGAATAGACATGAATATACACCACATGGCATGGAGGGTCATCAGTGTCAGAGTTGACAGAACGTACACGAGATAGAAGGTTGTGGATAGACATGAATGTCAACACCACATGGCATGGAGGGTCATCTGTGTCAGAGTTGACAGAACGTACACGAGATAGAAGGTTGTGGATAGACATGAATATCAACGCCACATGGCATGGAGGGTCATCTGTGTCAGAGTTGACAGAACGTACACGAGATAGAAGGTTGTGGATAGACATGAATGTCAACACCACATGGCATGGAGGGTCATCTGTGTCAGAGTTGACAGAACGTACACGAGATAGAAGGTTGTGGATAGACATGAATATCAACGCCACATGGCATGGAGGGTCATCTGTGTCAGAGTTGACAGAACGTACACGAGATAGAAGGTTGTGGATAGACATGAATATCAACGCCACATGGCATGGAGGGTCATCTGTGTCAGAGTTGACAGAACGTACACGAGATAGAAGGTTGTGGATAGACATGACTGTCAACCTTCACATGGCATGGAGGGTCATCTGTGTCAGAGTTGACAGAACGTACACGAGATAGAAGGTTGTGGATAGACATGACTGTCAACACCACATGGCATGGAGGGTCATCTGTGTCAGAGTTGACAGAAGGTACACGAGATAGAAGGTTGTGGATAGACATGAATATCAACGCCACATGGCATGGAGGGTCATCTGTGTCAGAGTTGACAGAACGTACACGAGATAGAAGGTTGTGGATAGACATGAATGTCAACACCACATGGCATGGAGGGTCATCTGTGTCAGAGTTGACAGAACGTACACGAGATAGAAGGTTGTGGATAGACATGAATATCAACGCCACATGGCATGGAGGGTCATCTGTGTCAGAGTTGACAGAACGTACACGAGATAGAAGGTTGTGGATAGACATGAATATCAACACCACATGGCATGGAGGGTCATCTGTGTCAGAGTTGACAGAACGTACACGAGATAGAAGGTTGTGGATAGACATGACTGTCAACACCACATGGCATGGAGGGTCATCTGTGTCAGAGTTGACTGAATGTACACGAGATAGAAGGTTGTGGATAGACATGACTGTCAACACAACATGGCATGGAGGATCGTCTGTGTCAGAGTTGACTGAATGTACACGAGATAGAAGGTTGTGGATAGACATGACTGTCAACACCACATGGCATGGAGGGTCATCTGTGTCAGAGTTGACTGAATGTACACTAGATAGAAGGTTGTGGATAGACATGAATATCAACGCCACATGGCATGAACTTTAAGAAGAAGGTAGCTAGTTCTTTACTTTGTTGCCACACACAGAAGCATTCATTTTTAGAAACTTTTATTAATTTTGCTTTTGTTTGTTTGTCTGGTAACATTTTTGCCTTCTGTTTTTTTTTGGTTCTGTCTAATGTTCTTGTGTTGATTTCCTCCCACCAGGGTGAACAAGGCTGGTTTCGTATTGTTACCAGCTTATATAAGGATGGTAATTATAACCTTGGCATCGAGTCGGACTGTGTTTACGGAGACGCTATTCTGAAATAGTTTTGTTTGTTCTTGAAATTGTTTTTATTTTTCTTCTTTTTTTTTTATGTTGCGTGCAGTGTGGTATCGGTAATCATGTCTGTCCACAACCTTCTGTCTTATTTACTGTCAGTCATTTCTGATATAGATAATATGATGCAGAACGATCCAGCATCTTGTCTTTTGATCTGCCTCCATCTCTCTTTCCATCCATGAGTAATCTCCTATCACCAAGACACCCACCACCTTTTTGATTTTTCCATAGTGTTTTTAGTCATTATTTTATTGGATAACTATGAGTGCAAAGAAACAGATTATAAACAGCATATTCATTCCAACATTATGCTACTAGTGCCAAACATGGACACTATCTAAAGCCCATATATGCAAAATTACCACCTGCAAGATGAGATGCCTGAGAAAAGCCAACCTAACCATCCGAGATCAAGTAAATAATGAAATTATCAGGCAAATTGTGAGAACGACCCCTTGTACTAGATTCATCGAGAAACAGCAAATCAAGTGGTTTGGCCATCTTGTTAGAATGCAGCAAGATTAAATACCATCACAAGCACTACATCTCAGAAGATCAGCTACAAGAGCAAGAGGGCGGACGCGAAAAAGATGGATCAGCAACATCAAAGACACTACGCCTTCACGGCATGACAATAGCCAGTGGCAGCCAGCGGGCACTGGATTGCAAATTATCCCTCCTCACCACTCTTAATGGCAGAAGTGGTTTATAATGATGATTTTATTGAATGGGGTGTTCAGATTATGTACAAATTAGTCAGTGATTCTAGAACAGATGTCACACTATGAACATTTCCCACATAATCTGAACACAACCAAACAATCACCCTGACCAACCAGACACCTCAAGCACTCAATCAAACAATCACCCCAACCAACCAAACACCTCCAGCACTCAATCAATCACCCCAACCAACCAAACACCTCCAGCACTCAATCAAACAAACACCCCAACCAACCAAACACCTCCAGCACTCAATCAATCACCCCGACCAACCAAACACCTCAAGCACTCAATCAAACAAACACCCCGACCAACCAAACACCTCAAGCACTCAATCAAACAAACACCCCAACCAACCAAACACCTCCAGCACTCAATCAATCACCCCAACCAACCAAACACCTCCAGCACTCAATCAAACAAACACCCCAACCAACCAAACACCTCCAGCACTCAATCAATCACCCCGACCAACCAAACACCTCCAGCACTCAATCAATCACCCCAACCAACCAAACACCTCAAGCACTCAATCAAACAATCACCCCGACCAACCAAACACCTCCAGCACTCAATCAATCACCCCAACCAACCAAACACCTCAAGCACTCAATCAAACAAACACCCCAACCAACCAAACACCCCAAGCACTCTCTCCATTCTCTTCTTCATAGCCAGTGAAGAATTCCCCTGTTGTTCCAGTGACAACCTCATTGAAAACATGCCCATATTTTCTGCTACATGCAGGGAATCATCTAGAATCTCCGCTGCCTCTTTCCTGTTTTACAGTTTGTATTTTAAATAATTTTTACAATCTTTTTATTTCAGCATACTTTTAAAGTAAACAGTAATTACTGTTACATCATGTTTATATCGAGTGTCTCGGGTTGTTTACTACTTATCCAGCTGTTTTAGACATTGTTTTGATGTCTGCACTTTAATATGTATTCATGTTAGCATCAAAATTATTCCATTCCAGACTATAGTAAAGTTTTATTTTTCTACTATCAACTTGAAGTTTTGTGTTTTTATTTAAATTGTAGTATTTCTTCTTCTCTGTCAACCACAACATTCTTCACTGTCGAGCACTCAAGTTTTGTTGTATGAGCGTTCCAGTCGCATTGACCCTGATCAGTATCCAACAAAGAGCACTTGAGTTCGGTTACCTGAGGATCTGTTACTTATGTACGCCAGAGCCCATCCCCCAACTCAATCTCCCATAACCAGACTGCAGTATGACATGTGACGGCTAGAATCATTGTGAGACTTCACCTTTCATTTCAAACTCATCAGCATGTCTAAGCTGCTCTTATTTCAGGAAGACAACCATAAGACCACTATGGTGGTCACAAGTGAAGTTTGTTCACAATTTCGGCTCTATCCAAACCCAAAAACTGTTATGAGTTAATAATGGCAAGTAATATATTCACAATTTTAAAACCATAAATGGTGATCTAAAGGAAATTCTGTGAAAAGCTCGCCCTCCTATTAGATAGGCCTGGCCAAGTTAGGAGATGCATGACTCAAGAGGATAAACTCAGGATTATACGGGCAGGAGAAACACAATCGGACATCGAAAAGGAATGAGCGGTCGGACTGAGAAGAGGAAGGATTTAGCCTGAGAGATGTCGCAAATATCAGAACATTAGCCACGAAAGTGGCGCAAATAAACCAGACCACAAATATAATTGGGGACTATTGGCAGCTTCGCGTAGCAAGCAGCAGATTGAAAATAGTCGAGTTTTTGATTTTTTTCAAAGATGGACTTTGACTTCTTCTCCGTTCATCAGAGGATGTAATTGTGTTATGTCTTTACAGCATGACTGCGGTATTTGCACTTGTCAGCAGACACATCTGACTTCTGCAGGCATGACCCGGAGAAAACATCCAAAGGATGCTAACTACCCAGGACCTTTGAATAATTACCCACAACAAAACAGGCATGAGAGGAGGCTAAACGGGTGCTCCAGTGACTCCACCTTGGCCAAGCGTGTCCTGCCGGGGAGGAGGAGGGGAGGGGGTTACCTCTTAATTGCTAAAACGATACCCATTAACTGAGATTATGCACCGGTTCAAAGGTTGTCTCTCTGACAGTTTAATTATTGTACTGAATGATGCACTTTAGACTGCATGCGCTCCAACTTTAAAACAAAATCTTGCTAGGAATAATCATTGGACTCAATCATTTATTTACATTGGTAAGTACTAATTTACATTTGTGTGCTACTGGAGTCACGTGTATGTTCTGGGGGGGGGGGGGGGGGGAGCACCCACTGCTTTGTAATCAGCAAGTCGTAAAAGGCGACTTATTAAGGGTTTACTGAAATTGATGTGTTGGGCCGACAGGGACACACATATAACAAACAGCCTTGATGTAAACCACAATACAACATGCGAAGGAAGAATAAGACTAAAGACTATGAGGAAACAAACAGTAAGGTTACCTACTAAGCATGTCCTAATGGACAACTAAAGAGGGTTTTCACGTGGACTTAGACTTCTAGTAATTCTCCCTGGTCTCTTGGTAGTGAGATCGGACGCCCAAGTGCATTCTTGCGCACGTAAAAAATCCCTTGGCAGTTGGAAATCGAAAAGAGTAATCTAACGGCCCTGCCCGGGCAAAATTTGGAGTTACAAATCTACCTAAAGTATTTCAGGATCCTCACCGGTGCTACAGAGCTTGTGCACTGTGCTGAGCTTCTTCGGACTCAGACTTGAGTTAGACGAAGAACGGAGTACTTATGGGTTACATGATTTTGATTCGTTGTTCAAAACCTAAAGATGGTTGACGTAACAATGGCATGCCTTACTTCATATACATCTATAACTGCAAATTGCAAGCAGTCTTGAAACATACTTTAAGGTTAAAGACCTAGGGTACATAGGGTGATGAAATGTGGAGCTGTTTATTTGAATAAGGAAGAGGGGAGATGAAGAAGATGATGATGACGAAAATGTTGAAGATAAGAAGAAAACAAAGAAGAAGAATAAGATAAGAGAACAGAGGAAGATAGTGTTAAAGATGAAAGAGTAGACTTTCATCTTTGACATTATTTTCTTCTTTTCTCTTTTCCCTTATCTTATTTTTCTTCTTATCTTCTATAATAGTCTAGTAAGGGAGAATAATATTATGATTTAAAAAATAGGGGGGAGGGGAGGGCTGTTTGTTCAGCCATGAATACCGTTTCAGCTGCCAGAAACTACCATTCTAGCACACACAATGCAACAAGTTTTGCAGAATGCAACAGTTTAAAGCTAGCTGCTTATTCTTACAGCAGGAATGTTAAACTGACGGGCCGCATGCGGTTTATTGCAAGCACACCTGCGGCACGCATCAAGGAAATATTCTGCAATAATGGAAATAGTAGAAATACAAGACGTGATTTGTGTATCCCAGTGGAAGTCTGCAGCAGCCAAGACAACAATAGGAAAACTGGACAAGGTTCAGAATATGGGATTAAGGATTGTTCTCGGAGTCATGAAAACCACCCCCATCAGAGAGATAGGATAGCAGATACTGAACCACTCGAACTCAGAAGACAATACAAAACTCTTTTACAGTATGAGAAATTAAAAAGACTTGAAAGTCACCCACTGCATTTTAAATTTCAAGAGAGACCAAAAAGCATTCTGAAGCGTCAGAGCCCCAACCACCTTGCTAGAGAACTGTACAGACAGCACCAAGATCTGCTTGAAAGAGATGTTGCACTGTGCGAAAAACTTAGGCCAGAATCATGGACAAGCAAGCCAGAGAAGGCAAATGTAGTCCTAAAGGTACCAGGGATCACTTTAAAAGATGCCCAGACGGAGACACAACAGAGAACCCTGGCTCTTGCTATGCTTGATGAGAAGTATCCAAACACCACTTGGACTCAGGTTTTCACCGACGGCTCTGCTAAATATGCAGTCAGAAAAGGGGGTTGTGGAATTTACATTAAACCCCCTTGCAGTAGAGCAGAAACTCTCTCTCTACCAGCAGATGACATCTGCACTAACTTCAGAGCTGAGGCAACTGCCCTCTTTTCTGCAATCCAACATCTCATCACTCAAGAACACAGAGGGCACCAAATTGTTATACTTAGTGACTCATTGTCTGTTCTCCAAGCACTATCAAGCAAAAAACAAGACAAACTAATTGCAGATCTAAGGACCAACATTAGCTTACTCTCCAAGGAAGCAGAACTGGTCTTGCAGTTGATACCAGCCCACTGTGGTATTCAAGGAAATGAGAGAGCAGATTAGTTTGCAAAAGCTGGGAGTAATCTTCCACAACCTCATCCACCACACAGCTACAAGGAAATCAAAACAGCGCTAGGATTGGATTTTTTACCCCACCAGGACATCATACAAGCGATAAACACCCGATGACACAAAGTGCCACCATGCGGATGAGGATCACCGTGGAGAGGTCCCAGAAACCGCGTTCAGACATTTGGCCATAATGATGACCTGCCTATATTGCGGCCCCTGGCAAAAGCCAGAGTGGGGCTTCAAATAACAAAAAATAACGTCCTAAGAAGGACGAAAAGTTACTAATAGAAAAACAGCGCTAGAGCAGTCTTTCAAGCGGAAGTGGGGAAGGCAGAATGGAGATTACAGACCAGAGAGTGACAGCATAAACAAACTCAACAGGAAAGAACAAACAACAATTTTGAGACTTTGGACTGTACACTGTGGTCTTCGAGCACACCTGTACAGGATAGGCATAAAAGAATCTGCTGCCTGTGATTGTGGAGCAGAAAGACAGACCCCTGAGCACATACTGCAGTACTGCCCTTACCTCTCCCAGCAAAGACTGTGGATCTGGCCCAGGGGATCCACATTGCGAGAGAAGCTACGGGGGACCGGTGTCCTATTTGTGACCCAGACGGGACTCAATGTTTAGCATGACTGATGTCGAACGCAGAAGAAGTGGAAGAAGAAGTGGAAGTGATTCAGTTTCTGTGCTTCATTTTAGACTCACCGCCTCCTTTGGAATAGATATTTTCCGGTGGGTCGTGTCTTGGCCCAAAACCTATGACGTCACAAAAATGTCCCAGAGGGTCGATATATATTCTCCAATGGGTCGTGGTGTGACTAGTAATTGCATATGACGAGATACGACGAAATATGGCGGGGAGTATGTAAACTGAGCCTAACATTAACATGAGATCGTTGCATAGTTGGGGAAAAGCGTTATTTATTTGCAATGTATTACCTCTTAGTACATTTAACACACTTAAAAAAACACAGATATACAATGAAAGCGGCGTCCGTGGCTTAGGCGTTGCGAGTCCGACTCGTAATTCCAACGTACCGTGGTCGAAACCCACTGCTGGCTGCGTGGATTTTTATCATGGTATGAGATGTCGCAGGTCGACCCAGCCTAAAATGGGTACTGGGATGTATGTCCTAGGGACAGTAAAGACGGCCGGCGTAATGCTGACCACATTACCCACGTAGTGCCGATTGGTCTGTCAAAATGTGGGTGCTCTTCCTGTATGCCCGATGCGCCTAAAGGCGTGAAAAAGGGATCTTTACTTTGCAATGAAATAGTGGCTGATAAAACGTTACTAGAAAATATAACAGTGTCTAAGAGATTAAGAAAAATACTATTTTTGGACCTTTCTAGTGGGCCCCAGTTAATTAAGACCTGAAGACCTCTCTTGTTTTTTAAGGTTTGTGGAAAGTTTTGGTTGTTTATCAACCGCTGGACTTTAGTCTTTTTCCAGAACTTTAATTTTGCGAGCACATCCGTTTTACATATCTGGCTTCTTTGTTTGCATACTGTTGGTTCCACCCCTCTTAGGCTTCTAAGATCTCCCCTCCCCTCCCGATTTTGATTAGCCACTTTTTTTTTTTTTTAACACACTTGTTAGAGAGGTAGTGGATCTATTCTTTTCCCCCTGGAACCTGCACGGTAAGAACTTATTATCATTTATGAGTATTAAGGTAACAAAAAGCAATGCATTCTAAAGCTGAAGATTTGTATGTTTGCGTGCGTGTGTGAATGCATGCATGTATGTAAATATCATGAACCACTAAATGGAAAACACTGGAGTAACCAATTACTCTTATCATCTGAGCCATAATTGGAGGAGTTAATTGCACCCAAGTTGTGCAGAAAATTAGAGTTTATCACAAGACATTGAGTCACTTGACTAAAGGTACAGAAACCACGTGACCAATTCATAGAAAAGCACATGATAGCTGGACTAAGACACAGAGACAACATTCACTTTGTTTTGATTTGTAACATCTTTACTTTTTATAAACTTGTTTGCACATCCATTTAAAAATGGGAATATCATCAGTTGCTTCGTATTTGTTCATTGTTATAGCAACTGTGGTCCTTGTTGAATGTAGGTCAGAAATCTTCGAGGAATCTGCCCCAGGACTTGTGAAGTCTGAGAAAAATGATGTTCCTACTAGAAAAACAGGAAGAAACTCTCCGCCATGCTACATTAGGAAAAGCAACTTTTCGGACCCGACTCAGTTTGTTAAGTAAGTATACAAGTAACCATAAAGAATCATCAGGTCATGGCGTTATAGTAAGTAAAGGCATTTTTACCACATTTGGTACATTGGGCATGTAGTTGCTAGATCTGTCTTTTTATGGACTGATCGGCATTCATTGGGTGATATGGTCGACATCACACCTGTCACTTTTACTTCTCAGGACATTTCTTGGTACCATTTTAGGCTTGGTCGACCTGATTCTTCCTCTTCTTCTTCAACGTTCCGAGTGAGTCCTTGAGTTTCATTGCTGCATATATCACCCGCCTCCATTCATCTCTTTGGTTGGCCTTTGCTTGCCAATTGGTGACACCAAGTGTTTGCAGGTCTGTCTGGATATTATCTCTCCATCGTCTTCTTGGTCTGCCTCATGGTCTACGACCATTCATCTCCCTGGTGTATACAGTTTTCATTTCTCTGCTGGTCGACCTCATAGCCAACAGAAACTGTGATCAGTAAGCTTAACACTTGCGGATCCAAAGTTCATGGGTTCCGGCACTTGACGGAGCTAGACATTTGTCAAAATGACATTGGCTGCCAGGGTCGAAGCAGCCTTAAATGCAGAGTTTGCGAAGTCCTGGGAAGTAAAGGCCATCGGTCTGATGTGGACCACGTCATCTACCGAGTGTCGATTGGTCTATAAAATATAGTTCTAGCCATATATACCTAATGTCTCTGAAGGTGTGTTAATGTGTGTTTTACTTTACTTACGTAATTTTTGTTTGGGACCTGTTCACATTTCCCAGCCCATGTACATACTTTTTCAGTCTGATCTAGGTCAGAGGGGTGTCAACGTTGTACTGCTTTCTTCAAAAGACCTAGGCTCAGGCTGTGGGTAGGGGGTTTGGGTTAGGGCCAGTTCTAGATGTTCTGGGGTTGTTGAAAGCTGTGTTGTTGTGCAGTTAAAAACAGGCGACATCGGTTCTGATGTAACTGGAGGCAAGACAATGTGACACCTCTCTGATGTAAAACAGTCTGAGAAAGTATGAATAAAAGGTCAGACAGTGTGTACATGGAAAGGGAAACATGAACTCAACAATTTTTGTAAACCATATATCTTCTTATTTTTCATCTTCTTTTTCTTTATCTTCTTCTTCAGCATTCGAAGCCCTTGAATGAATGAATAAATAAATTAATTAATGAATTAAGAGTTTACATCACTGCACTTGGGACATTCCCACATGTGCTCCGTCCCCTTCTTCAGTAACCAGCAATGAGTTGACATGCTAATAGTACCGGTTGCAACCTGATTAAAAGTCAGCCTCTGTTTTCCGAACCCCTGAGGTTCACTGCTGTAGATATCACCAGCCTCCGTTCATCTCTTTGACCAGCTTTCTCCTTTACATGGTGACTCCAAATGTTTGTAAGTCTGCCTGCATTTTGTCACTCCACAATCTTCTTGGTCTGCCTCAAGTTCTACTCCCAAACAACTGTTTTATGTTTCAGTTTTTGTCTGTCTGTTTGCCACAACCATTACAGTCTAAATGCCCGCATGGTTCAGTATTTTGTGGTGATTTAAATAGATAATGAATTTTGTTCTTACTTTTCATTCTCCATATTTAAATATATAAAAGTAAATAGTAAAAGTAAAGGAGAGATCCCTTTTCATGCCTTTAGGCGCATCGGGAATATGGGAAGAGCACCCATATTTTTTTTTCTCAGACAAATCGGCACTTGTTGGGTAATATGGTCAGCATTACGCCGGCCGTCTTTACTTCCCCAGGACATACATACTGGTATCCATTTTAGGCTGGGTCGACTTGCGGCGCCCCATACCATGATAAAAATCCACGCAGCCAGCAGTGGGTTTTGATGGCTGTACTTTGGAATTACGAGTTGGACTCGCAACGCCTGAGCCACGGACGCCGCCATATTAGAATATACAGCAAATGAAATTAATTTCAAATTAAGCTGTTGTGTAAAATGTCAGTAATATGATTACTGAATTTGGTAAACTATACATAACACTTCACTGTCAATTCAGAACCAAGCCTCGTGCATTTGAAGATCCAGCGTATATTGCAGCTCTCCCAGCCGCGTTTGATTGGAGAAATGTTGGCGGGAAAAACTATGCAAGTACCACACGTAATCAGCACATTCCCCAGTGTAAGTTTTTGCTTCCTTTTCTTCGTATACCCTCGGGTTTTAGAGGTCAAACACCACTTCTGGGCCACTAGGACCAGAGCTCAAACTGGTCAAGAGACCTGTCCCCACTTTTCCATGGTCATCCGAGAAATAGGTTCGTTACTGGAGGCCTGGCCGGCGTAGATAGGACTTTTCTTTGAAGTACATATGCCTTAGAGGCAAGGAAGCGAACAGTCTGCATACGGATAAACCAAACTTGTAAAACGAATGTGAACTCAATATTCAGGTTCTGCAAGAGGACCAAAAACCCAGACCTCGCCGAACAGCCACGACTTTCTGCTGGAGTTCGCAGCAAGTGAAACCAGAAGAATACTTTCACATTTCAACATGATAGTATAAAAACAGCAATAGTTAACAGGTGCCTGTGTACAATAGAAGAAATTATATGGTGTAACATCACTATGGTTTTGCTATGTAAAAAGAATGGCTACAGACAGGGCACCACAGAGAGCAATGTTATACAGATCTTCTTCTCAAAGTTGTGGTGTTGCTAGTCATGTCTATCCACAACTTTCTGTCTCGTGTACTTTCAGTCAACTCTGACACAGACGATCCTCCATGCCATGATGTCAGACTGTCCAGCATCTTCTCTCTCTGTCTCTCTGTACCTCTCCTCCCCTCCAGCTTTAAGAAACAGCATTAAAACTAGAGCTCCTACAGGTCAAACCCTATCTACAGACACATCTCTGCGGTCATCTTAGAAACTAGTTCAGAACCAGGCGCCTGTCAGTGTAGATAGTGTAGGATAGTTTTTTGCTTCAGTGGCAGGGTGTATCATCATCATCAGTTTCCACTTCTGCCTTTAAGCGTTGTGGAGAGGAACAATTTGAAATCCATTGAATGATGGCTAGCATTGGCTATTATCATTCTTTAATGTCATCAATCCATATTTTCATAAAGCGGCCTCTTGCTTTAGCTTCAAATCTGTTCATGTATAGTGCCTGCATTCTTACTAAAAGACCAAACCATTTGATCTTCTGTTTTCACTGAATTTGCTACACAGTGTTTTCCTACAGTCTGACTGATAATATCATTTATACCTTTGTCTCTCCTTTCACAGGTAATAACTAATCTGTTCACACAAAAGCCAGAGATGTAAAACTGGTGTAAACAGGCAACTCAAGTCCTGGAACAACCAAAGTCCAGAAGTGGAGGAACAGCCAGGACATTGACGAAGAAGAAGAATATAATTTTTTTTAAATTATGTTTTATTGGGACAACTTGTGTATTCAGTTTTGTAGCGACAGTGTGTGTAATCAGTTACGTAGCGACACTTTTCATGTTTTGTTTCATAGTGATTGTTTTTAATTCAGTTTTCTAGCAACAGTTTCTTAATCAATTTTATATAGTAACAGAGTTTTCATTGTTGGTCTAACAGCAATAATATTTTCGTAATGACATTCACAGTGACTAATTTTTCATAACCCATCAGATTGTGGATCATGCTGGGCTATGGGCTCAACCAGTGCCTTCGCAGACCGCATCAACATCAAGCGAGGGGGAGCATGGCCCAGTGCCTACTTGTCAGTCCAGCAGGTAATCGACTGCGCCAATGCCTTCAGCAGCTGTGAAGGTGGAGATGACAGAGCAGTGTGGCAGTATGCTCATAACACGGGCATCCCCGATGAGACGTGTAACAACTACCAGGCTAAAGATGGAGGTGAGTCACAAGAATACTTGTAGGCTGGTAGCTTCTACTGATAGCACACTTTTAAGATACGAGTAGTTATATAACTTATTCTATGTTCAACAGTACTGGTACTATCAGAGTTGGAACCCTTCTCTGGCTGCTAAAGATAGGGATAGAGCATTTGTGGGAATGTCCTGAGTGCTGTAACGTCAGTTTTTGAAACTCAGCTCTGTTCACTGATACCTTTTCGCCCTGTAAAAAAAAAAAAATATAAACAAATGACCTTTTCACACTTTTATCAGAAATAAATGCGCCTTTATCATTCTCAAAATCACTACTCGGTAAAACAAGAGAAAAAACGCGACTTTTTTTTTCAGTTTAAATTGTAAACTTTAGCTCTTACTTTTAGCAACGGATCACCCAAGAATTATTTATTGAAACAAACATAAGAGCAGTAACACGGGTATGCAATTAATTATAATTAGCAGTACATTTGTGTGTGTGTGAAACTCTATGTGCAACTGGAGAAAATCTATGTGCAATCTGAGAAAATCTATGTACAATCAGAGAAGACCAATTGGGGTACTGTGGGGGTTCTAATAGGGGCCAGTCATTGTAAATGTATACTGCTTGGTTCACGTACGAATTGACAATCACAACAATGTTGCACTTTAGCAACGTTAAGCGCTTCTACGCCACATCAACTCACACATGTAGGAGCCTAATGTCTGTGGGTCCCAGTCTGGCCCTTGTTTCTCTCCTTTGCCGACATCCACAAACGTTCGATGCATTGCGTATGCTCACCTATGGTTATGTCGACAAAATTGATGGAGTGATTAACGGTGAAATGCGTCAATCCAGGATCATTCTCAATTCCATTGTACGCACGCCATAGGTCAGAGACTACTGTCGTGTCGGGTCTGATGGTTGTGCCAATGATCGGCAGAAGATTCTCTGCTTTTCTGTCTGGAACACAGAACATAAAGTATTTGCCCGTCTGGCGACAGACTATCACCCAATGTTGTGGAAACACACGCCCTACATGATTTTTCCGCCTTGCAAACAGACTTTAATCAATTTCAACAGTGGTGTTCTCTCCGCCGATCACTGCAGGATTCAATAATAATGTACTGGCACAAACCTCCCGTAATTAGTTGCGCCATTACACAGTAGTATTCGGCGACATGCCTAGCCCCGATGAAGACTGGAAAAATATGACAAGTAAGAGGTGCGAAGTGGGTCCTTTGGCAATGCCTGCCAAAGCCTTGGCAACGCCCGCCAAAGCCTTGGCAACGCCCGTCAAAGCCTTGACAACGCCCGACAAAGCCTTGGCAACGCCCGTCAAAGCCTTGGCAACGCCCGCCATAGCCTTGGCAACGCCCGCCAAACCTTGGCAACGTGCTAGAAATGCCCTATCTTACCACCCTCAAAATTATTTGACTGTCCCGTGACGTCATCAGGACATCATTGGGGTAACTTAAAATGAAAGTACCTAAAATTATTATTATTATTGGGTGGAGGGGATGGGTTCAATATAATCATACCTACAAAGCATACACACTATGTATGCAGTTGCAACCAGCATCATAGTTGTTATAGGCATGTGGTGGTAACTGCCCAAACATGTCATATTAAAAACTTGTAAAAGTAGGAAAAACCGGGTTTCTTGCGGTTGGCACGTCGTTGTGTTGTGTTTTACAACTAAGCTGTCAAATCTGCCTCTTTGTCCCAACACTTCTCATTTCAGAAAAAGCTTACGTTAGTCACTTTTTACAACGGGCTGGTACCATCTGTCGTCACCAGTTAGAATGTCAGTATTTCTTTTTCTTTCTGCGACACAGTATTCTGAGAATATTTCTGTATCATTTCAGCTCGATATATATGTATATATACCAGACCTTTTAGAATGTCAGTATTTGTTTTTCTTTTGGGGGATATGGTATTCTGAGAATATTTCTATATCATTTCAGCTCAAAATATATGTATGTATATATAAGGTCTAGCCCTAAACATCCAGTACAGCTAAAGGTTTGGAAAAAATGTGGTTCACTTTTTATAATAATATGTGTGTGTATATATATATATATTCACACACTCACACACACACACACACACACACACACATATATATATATATGCGTTTACCGGTTGTAAACTCAAGCAAAAATTGCTGGTTGTTCATCCACTTCTGGGCCTTATTGTCGTTCCAGAACTTGAGTTTTGCGTGCATATACATTTTATACAGATCTGTCTTATTTTTAACTTTGGACCCTCGCGTCTCTAACTTCAAAGGAAAAACCCTAATTAGCTGAATTTTTTTGACATGCTTAATAGTGCATGCTTGGGGGGGGGGGGGGGGGGGTGTTACCTTTTACAACATGCGTTTTAAGGGGCTGTGGGTCTATTTTTTTTGTTTTTTTTAAGGAAGGAAAGTTTATGTTTTAGAATTAGCAAGGTTAAACAGGCCCACAATTATGATTATTGAATGAAACTTTCCCCATGTGGGTTATGGTGCCCCTTCAGATTGGGGAAGGGGGGGAGGGGGGGGGTATAGACCCGCTGATCCCTAACTAGCATGTCTTAAAAAGTGGGTAATTAAGGAGTCATTGATATTGGATGTTTTGAGCCGAACAACACAGATATGAAAGACTGGCTGTGAACCACAATGTTCCAGCTGTCATTTTTTAGGGCAAACACAGACAGAAGAAGAAGAAGAAGAGAAAGGGGAAAAGAATAAAAAGAGCAAAAAGAAGAGACAGAAGAAGAAAAGGATGAGGAAGAATAGAACATGTTGGAATCCATTTCACAGAGTGCACCGCTGAAAACACCTGCAAAACATGCAGTTATGGTGGCAACTGCACCAAAGTTACAAATTTCAAACGTTGGAAGGTTGGCGACTATGGGCCAGTTTCTGGGCGGGAAAAAATGATGGCTGAAATCCACGCAAATGGACCAATCAGGTAAGACATGATGTTACATATACCGTATATTTTGACTGTTATGTGGATTCTTTCTGAAGCTGAATCGTTAACAAAGTGTAGTATTTGTGAGGAAAATGATTTCTTCATTGTATACCTTAGTGTATACATTGCAACAACGAAATTCATAACTGTTTAAATCACCATTGATCACTGGCATCATGAGAGCTAATAGACAGAAATGGTTAAAGCATATTGAGAGAATGTTAGATGACAGAGAGGCAAAAACTGTATACACAATGGAGCTGAATGGTCGTAGATCATGAAGCTGATGAAGAAGCAACGAGAGATAATGTCCAAAGAGACCTGAAAACCTGGGTGTCACCAGCTGGAAAGAGAAGGCCAATGAAAGAGATGTGTGGAGGCGGGTGATATCTGCAGCAATGAACTTCAAGGGCTCGGAATGCTGAAGAAGAAAAAGTAGAATACATTAGCGAGCCGCGAGTCGCCATGGCCGAGCGGCTAGACGCTCGCCGCAGATCGGAAGGTCGTAGGTTCGCTCCCTGGCGGAGCCGGACTTATTTAAAAAATGACCTTGGCTCACAGGTCGACCCAGCCTTGAGTGGGTACCGGGTGCAGTCCCAGGAAAGTAAAGGTGGCCGGCGTGATGCTTTCCACATCACCCATCTTGTGCCGATTGGTCTATAAAAGTATAGGTCTAGCCCTATATGCCCTATAGCCTAAAGGCGTGGAAAAGGGTCCTTTACCTTTACTTACTGACATTAGCGAGCCATCGTTGACTTATTCTAAGGCGAGGAAATGCAACTTCAAACTTAATGTTATAAGAGGCCCTTAGCCTAGGTTGGCAGCGTTTCTAGGAGAGAGGCTCAAAGATTTAAACAGACACAGCACTGGTCCTATCATGCTTCTGTGACATGTTTGTTCTAGATACATTGGTGTGCCCTTCCTTTGGAGCAAACAAGTCAACGAGTTAAATGATCAAGCTGCGTAGGCAATAAACACATGATCTCTACAATACTGCCTAAGCTTTGTTCTTGAGATACGAGGAATTTTATAGCCAAGCACAGCCCTGACAATAGCATGAAGACAATAGTATAGGCTATCTGGCCTTCAGAAGTTAAAGGCGAGAGGGTCGACTTCATTGTACCAGTTTTTATTCTAAATGGCTCAGTCTTTTTCCACAGAAAGGCTAACCGACTGCCGAGACTGTTGCACACAGTACAAACAAAGGCTCCACTGGGGCGGAGGGAAGAATAGACTCAGTGCCTCTCTCACAAGCATCACTTCAGAGGTCTCGGTTAGTTAGCATCCTTTGGATATTTCTCTCAAGGTAATGCCGGTGCGTTGGGAAATGAGAAGGCAGACAGACTGGCTGGCTCTGCACCACTTGGTGGTGAACTGATGTATGACAAATTAGATATTGTGAGGGCCCTTTGGGAACTGGTGAACAGTACGGAGGTGCAGATGGATCATTACGGTCTGAGGAGAATGGCGCTGCGAGGAGTTGCCATGGGATCTGGCCGACGCTCAACACTCAGAAGAAAGGCGAGAGAGATATACAATCAGACAGTTACTGGTGCCATCGAAATTGGAACTCTTTGCTTGCTGCTAAAGCTGTGGAACTGAGCACTTATGGGAGTGTCTTGCGTGCTGTGATGTCTATTCTTAATTCAACATTCAACAAAAATTCAACATTTAACAACATTCACAAGCATGTCATAAAAGGCTGGACGGGAACAAAGGAATAGACTGTCAGCCCTATGTGAAATATAATGGGGACAGCAGGACAGTGAATGAATGTATGTTCTCCCCGTGTGGGTTCTGGGATCCCCATAGTGGGGGAAAACAAGAATTGACCCACTGCCTCTCCAACAAGCATGACATAAGAGTCGACTAATTGGGGAGGTTTCCTTCGAAGTCAGTGCTTCTGCCTGAGAGGCAATGAACCACAGTCTGAATATAAATAAGTCAGATCTGTAAAACGGATGTGCACGCAACACTCAGATTCTGGGACAAGTCCCAAGTCCAGAGGTAGATGAACAACCAGAACGTTCTGCCGGAGTTTACAGCCGGTGAGGCGAAGAATGTATCTATGTATGTGTGGGTATGTGTGTGTGTTTATATGTGTGAATGTGAGAACATGGCTCAAATATTCATAATTTATTTCATGATCTCCCTAGCTGCAGCATGTTTGTCACAGAGAAATTTGACGAATATACAGGAGGTATTTACAAGGAGCACAACACATTTAAAATGGTGAGTACTTACATTTGGTTTGGTCTTTAAAATATAGGCCTAGCCTTCTATGCCTAATCCGCCTAAAGGCAGAGTAAAAGATCCTTTATGTTTTGTTGTTGTTGTTGTTGCTTACACTTACCTTAACAGATGAACTTGAAAGGAAGATACAAACTTTGGAAATGCAATGTTTGAGACAAATTCTTGGCGTAACATACAGAGATCAAATTTTAAAAAAAAACAGAAGTTCGCCATACAGTTATACAGCACATTGGTAACTACGAACCTCTTTTAACTACAGTAAAAAAGCAAAAAATGCAATCATACGGACATGTAATAAGATCAAACAGCCTCTCAGAAACAATCCTGCAGGGCTCTGTAGAGGAAAGGGGGAGAAGAGGCAGGCCAAGAAAGACCTGGTTACAGAACCTGACCAACTGGACAGGCCTCAGGCATGCAACCATGAAGTCCATCGCAACTGACCGCCAGAGGTGGAGAGAGATGATGAAACGGACAACAGAAACTGGTGACCCAACAACAATTGGTGTTATGGGATGATGATGCTTACACATGTCTTTATAATCTTTTAGCATTTTTTCTCCCCCCCCCCCCCCCCCCCCCCCCCCGCTCTCTCTCTCTTTCTTTTTCCCTTCTTTTTCTCGCTGTGTTCTTTCTTCTACCTATCTCACTCTTTACGCTGTACCCTCTCTGCTAGATGTGCCTGTTTGCTTAATATTATCTTTGCTGTCCCTGAATATCTCTATAAGTATTGTAATCTTCTCTGATAGACCACATCTGGGGCGTGTGTTGTGAACTGCATATTTGGAGAACTGTTAGTGGCTGGTTGTCACAGGATTAATAGTGTGCCCTATAGGAGTCGCTGTGGTGTAGTGGCTAGATGCTCGCTTGCGGATCGGAAGATCGTGGGTTTGGTTCCTGACAGAGCCTGACTTTTATCCAAAAACACTTCTAGTGACAAGCTGTTGTTGTTGGCACCTTTTTCAGCTGCCTTATGTACGAACTATTAGATTTTGCATAAACTTTTGTCTGACTTTTCACATCAGACAGTTTTGGTATTGTTTTCACTGGCAAGAAAATGGGCCAGTTATAGGGTGACCCGTTTGCGATGAAGATCGATACCCAACTGATAGCTGGATCCCCGACTAATAGCTGGATCCCTGACTAATAGCTGGATCTCTGACTAATAGCTGAATCTACGACTGACAGCTGGATCCCTGAATGATAGTTAGATCACTGATACCTGGATCCCCGACTGATAGCTGGATCCCCGACTGATGGCTGGATCCCCGACTGATAGCTGGATCCCCGACTGATAGCTGGATCCCCGACTGATAGCTGGATCCCCTACTGATAGCTGGGTCCTCATCTGATAGCTGGATCCCCGACTGATAGCTGGATCCTTGACTGATAGCTGGATCCTTGACTGATAGCTGGATCCCTGACTGATAGCTGGATCCCTGACTGATAGCTGGGTCCCAAACTGATAGCTGGGTCTCCGACTGATAGCTGGGTGCCCGACTAATAGCTGGGTCTCCGACTGATAGCTGGATCCCTGACTGATAGCTGGATCCCTAACTGATAGCTGGATCCCTGACTGATAGCTTTGTCTCCGACTGATAGCTGGGTTTTCAACTGATAGCTGGGTCTCCGATCGATAGCTGGGCCTCCGACTGATAGCTGGGTCACCGACTGATAGCTGGATCCCCGACTGATAGCTGGATCCCTGACTGATAGCTGGATCTCCGACTGATAGCTGGATCCCTAACTGATAGCTTGATCCCCGACTGATAGCTGGATTCCTGACTGATAGCTGGATTCCTGACTGATAGCTGGATTCCTGACTGATAGCTGGGTCCCCGACTGATAGCTGGATCTCTGACTGATAGCTGGTTCCCTGACTGATAGCTTGATTTCTGACTGATAGCTGGATCTCCGACTGATAGCTGGATCCCTGTGATAGCTGTGTCCCCGACTAATAGCTTGATCTCCGACTGATAGCTGGATCCCTGTGATAGCTGAGTCCCCGACTGATAGCTTGATCCCCGACTGATAGCTGGATCCTTGACTGATAGCTGGATCCCTGACTGACAGCTGGGTCCCTGACTGATAGCTGGGTCCCTGACTGATAGCTGGATCCCTGACTGATAGCTGGGTCTCCAACTGATAGCTGGCTTCCCGACTGATAGCTTGATCTCTGACTGATAGATGGATCCCCAACTGATAGCTTGATCTCTGACTGATAGCTGGATCCCCGATTGATAGCTTGATCTCTGACTGATAGCTGGATCCCCGACTAATAGCTGAATCTCTGACTGATAGCTGGAATCCTGACTGATAGCTTGATCTCTGACTGATAGCTGAATCTCTGACTGATAGCTGGATCCCCGACTAATAGCTGGATCTCCGACTGATAGCTGGATCCCTGACTGGTAGCTTGATCTCCAACTGATAGCTGGGTCTCCGACTGATAGCTGGGTTCCCGACTGATAGCTGGATCCCTAACTGATAGCTGGATCCCTGACTGATAGCTTTGTCTCCGACTGATAGCTGGGTCTCCGACTGATTGCTGGGTCTCCAACTGATAGCTGGGTCTCCGATTGATAGCTGGGCCTCTGACTGATAGCTGGGTCACCGACTGATAGCTGGAACCCCGACTGGTAGCTGGATCCCCGACTGATAGCTGGATCCCTGACTGATAGTTGGGTCCCCGACTGATAGCTGGATCTCTGACTGATTGCTGGATCCCTGACTGATAGCTTGATTTCTGACTGATAGCTGGATCTCTGACTGATAGCTGGATCCCTGTGATAGCTGGGTCCCCGACTGATAGCTTGATCTCCGACTGATAGCTGGATCCCTGTGATAGCTGGGTCCCCGACTGATAGCTTGATCCCCGACTGATAGCTGGATTCTTGACTGATAGCTGGATCCCTGACTGACAGCTGGGTCCCTGACTGATAGCTGGGTCCCTGACTGATAGCTGGATCCCTGACTGATAGCTGGGTCTCCAACAGATAGCTGGATTCCCGACTGATAGCTGGAACCCTGACTGATAGCTGGGTCTCCAACTGATAGCTGGATTCCCGACTGATAGCTTGATCTCTGACTTATAGTTGGATCCCAACTGACAGCTGGGTCTCCAACTGATAGCTTGATCTCTGACTGATAGCTGGATCCCCAACTGATAGCTTGATCTCTGACTGATATCTGGATCCCCGATTGATAGCTTGATCTCTGATAGCTGGATCCCCGACTGATAGCTGAATCTCTGACTGATAGCTGGAATCCTGTAGCTTGATCTCTGACTGATAGCTTGATCTTTGACTGAAAGCTGAATCTCTGACTGATAGCTGGATCCCCGACTGATAGCTTGATCTCCGACTAATAGCTGGATCTCCGACTGATAGCTGGATCCCTGACTGATAGCTGGTTCCCCGACTGATAGCTTGATCCCTGACTGATAGCTGGGTCCCCGACTGATAGCTTGATCCCCAAATGATAGCTTGATCCCTGACTGTCAGCCTAATAGTCAAGCTGTCTCTGTAATCAGATAATCAGGTAATTGCAGTTTCAGCTTCCTAGCACACGGGTCACCTCATAGTTGGGTGCTTTATTAATATCCTGCGCCCAGATGACGTCACATGACAGTCCAACATTTTAGAGGATGGTAAGACTGGGTTTCCCAGCTTTCTGATGCTTTTAACGACCTCAAAACATCTAGAACTGGCCCTAAACCCAACCCACCTACGCCCCACGAGAGAGTGCAGCCTAGGTCCCAAGACTGCATGCTACCTAGGTTTCACGACTGCCTGCAGCCTATCTACCACCCTATGAGATATTAGACTGTCCCATGGCCTGTGGATTTTCCCTGTTTGGGGTAGGATATTAATAAAGCACCCACAGTTGCTCTGTTCCTGTGCAAAGGAAAAACCACACAGAATGTCCACAACTGTTCCTTGTGAAAAAAATGGACACCGACTGCAGTCTCAGCAAGTCCAGTAGCACACATGAGCATTCAATGTGTAAGACGGCATTCAGAAGTATCAACACAAACAGTCCGACAATAGAAATGCAGTTTATCATTGATGGAAGCAGCATTTACAACACATCAGCAGTTGCACATGAAATTAATAACATAGGGCACCAGCAGTTCTCTGGTAACAGGCTAAACGCTATTTTCTGAATCTACAGTTCACCATACATGCCACGTTGGGCACAATCCAAAGGCATTAAAAATTAAAACTGCAGCTAATAGTGTCGTGCCATCTGCGTAGCTGGATGATGAAACAATATTTAGTCACCATGGGGGGGGGGGGGGGGGTTGCAACAGCTAACTATTGTCATAAGCAAAAACTTGCCATGACTAAAAACAGTCATCGACGTCATCATCATCAACCACTTTTGCTGTTACGCGACGTGGGGAGGAATAATCTGTGATCCAGTGCACGCTGGCTGCTATTGGCTATTTTCATGCCATGAAGGCGTACGGTGTCTTAAATGTTGTCGATTCATAATTTTGTCTTGTAGCTGATTTTCTGAGATGTAGATCTTCTAACGAGATGGCCAAACACTTGATCTGCTGTTTTTCGATGAATCTAGTACAAGGTGTCTCTCCCTCAATCTGTCTGATGGTATCATTATTCACTCAATCTCGGATGGTTACGTTGGCGGCTTTTCTCAGGCATCTCGCAAGTAGGCCTGCATATCAGCGTTGTTGACTGGAAGTTCTCTAAACTGTCTCTATGTCGAGGATAGTTTTATTTGTAGTTGAGTATTGTTTTGTTTTTTAAAGAAAAGATTCAAATGTAATATTTTGAATCTGGCTCCTATGTGAACAGACAAACCATGTTGTCTCCGTGGCCGGGTGGGGCGTGCAGGATGAAATCGAGTACTGGGTCGTGAGAAACTCCTGGGGCACCTACTGGGTAAGTGTTGTACTGTGTGCGTTGTTGTTGTTGTTGTTAACTAATTTGCTGGTTTTTCATTAGACTTAGAAATCTGTGAAAGTCAAGAGATATTAAAGAAGTTAGTACCAAACTAACAATATTTAGCTTTAATGTCAAATCGGTACTACTGTATGGATAGAAACTAAAACAATTACTAACCAACTACCAAAACATTCATTAACTGGTGCCTGCATACAATAGTGGGTATTATTCGGTATGATAGAATCACTAATGTTGAGCTTCAGCAAAGATCTAAACAAATTCTAGTGAATCAAGTGGCGAGGAAAGGATGTTGGTGTTGGGTAGGACACACCCTGAGAAAACCTGAGAACAGTGTAACTAGAATATCTTTACACTGGAACCCACAAGCCAGAAGAATAAAGGCAAAGGCAGGAACACCCTTCCCCAACAAAAACAACACTGGGCTGAGAGAGTTAGGGAGTGAAGTTAAAAAGATAGGAAGGACATGGATATATGATATCAAAAGATAGAGCGACTTAGTGCGAACTGGTTGAGAACCTGTGCTCCAGGAAAAAGAAGAATTTGCTGAATATTGTTCATTCTGATAAATTTAGGTGGTTATCTTTTGCCATCTCCCATAAACCGAGGGTTTCTTGGCAAATAAGAAATTGGCACGAGGACAAAAATCACTTTTTAATGCTCTGCCTGTGTACCTGTCCTGACCTATGGGAGTGAGTCATGTGTAATGACAACAGCTCACAGAAGCCAGCTTCAGAAAAGTGACAAGGGGGGACAAACTTCGCAATACTTCATCATTCTTGAAACACAGGCCTTACAAACGAGTGGATCAGTCACAGTTACGATGGTTTGGACATGAGATAATCGGCCACCATGGCAGGCATTGGAGGCTACGAACCAGGGAACCAGACCTCCTGGGCGACCCAGGGTGCGCTGGGAAGACAACATCCGACAGTCCCTGACTGACAGAGGACTGGAATGGAACACAGCCAGAAAGAAAACTGCTGATAGAGAAATCTGGCGATCTCCCTGGTTAACCTCTACACTCCAAGGTAGAAGAGGAGCGACTAAGTGTTTCACCATCTTACATGATACCTCAATCACAGATCAAGTCAGTGCTCTTGCTCTATTCATACAACTAAGCCATCTGTAGGGTGACCATATCGTCATGTTAGAATAGTTTTAGGTAGGCCCAGTCTGTCGGGTCAATACTAATTTTTTTTTTACGTTTATTGTCCAAGTTGATGTTGAATATTGGTGGGGCGGTGTCGATCTGCCCAAAAATGTTACTTATAGTTACCCTAGCCATCCGGGTATTTATCTCATTGCCTTTCCCTTGCTCTATTTCCAGTTATCTTGCCAGTTATAACCAAGTTCTTAAGTCTATTATCACTCATAGTTAGTTGGGTATCCTTTACATGACGTTGCAGAACCAACCCCAGCATTTTTTGGCTGTTGGGGTTTTTCTATGCAAAGTTACGTCTAGTAGTTTGCTATTTCTTCTGCACGGTCGGCTCCTCATACCACTGTCAAAACCAATGCAGTGCGCAGAGCCGCAGCTGGGATCGGACCCGGCACACCCCGGCATTACAAAACGCGTTTGCAGCGCCTTAGCCACAGACGCCGACGCTCATAACATGTACGGAAAACACCAAGTGTCTGCGTCTGAATTGTCTAATCGGCCTACAACTTTCTACTGTCTTGAGGAGGAACAGCCTCATTTATGTTTCTATCCTCCCACAATATTCTTTATATTCAATTCAGAAGTTACGTCTTTGCTGTCGACAGACTGTAGGAACAACACCATGTAGCAAATTCATTTAGAAAAAGAAGATCAAATGGTTTGGTCATCTAGTAAGAATGCAACCAGAACAACTACCTACACAGCACGCCCATCTGTATCTTTCTCAAGATGGCCGTGCTACACAGGTGCTAAACATGAAAAGGTTTGAAATTTAAGCAAGAGGCCTTCCTAGTAGATATGGATTGATGACATTAAAGAGCTTCTCTATCGACACAGAATGAAAATAGCCATTGATGCCCATCAGGCAGTGGATCACAAACTGCTCCTCCCGACAACACTTGCGGCAGAAGTGAAAATTGATGATGACGATGCCAACTGACCATTTTTCTGTGTCTGCCATGCCTGTAACAACACGGAAAGAAACATATGGTCAATACAGCTTTTCTTCTTTGTCTTGTTAGCGTTCACGGGCCGTAAACTCTAGCGGGAAGTTCTAGTTTTTCATCGACTTCTGGACGTTGGTTTTGTTCTTTGCACATCTTTTTTACAGATCTGGCTTTAGGAATCTACACTAATTAGTCACAATTATGTTTAGATCACGCTTTTTATGGAGGCAGTGAGTTCATTCTTATTTCCTTCAAAACTGGACCATGGAACCCACACAGGAGGGGGGAAAAAAAGGGGGGGGGGGTTTAACTAATTTTTGAATTTTTTGCCAGTGATCTTACAATGTACAAATTTATACATGTTTCTGTCTAATGTTCTTGTGTTGATTTCTTCCCACCAGGGTGAAGAAGGCTGGTTTCGTATTGTTACCAGCAAATACAAAGACGGCAGCTATAACCTTCACATAGAGTCAGGCTGTGCCTACGGAGACGTTGATTTTGAATAATTGTATTCATCTTCATCAGTGTTGTGTGGTGTTTGTAATCATATCTGCCAACATCCTTCTGTCTTATGAACTGTCAATTATTGCTGCCAATGCTCTCTTGCCAATTTTTTTTTTTTTTTTTTTTTTTTTTTTTTTGCTAAGAAATCCTGGCGCATTTGTATGCAGACTTTTATTTTTTTGCCTCACAGGCATGCACCCTGACTTCCCCGGCTGAGAACCTCTTTTTAGGACGACTGCAGAAAGTTGTAGATAGATCTTGAACAGAATGAACTTTGGTTCTGGTGCACCATGTCTGGTTCAGCACCTTTACATCACATAATTATTACTTACTCTTTTAACCAGATATTTATATTCAGTTGTCTCAGTTCTTCTTCTTCTTCTTCTTCTTCTTCTTCTTCTTCTTCTTCTTCTTCTTCTTCTTCTTCTTCTTCTTCTTCTTCTTCTTCTTCTTCTTCTTCTTCTTCTTATTCTTCTTCTTCTTCTTATTCTTCTTCTTCTTCTTCATTCACCGCCTGTAACCTCCGACGGAAAGTCCTGGCTGTTCACCCACTCGGACTTTGGCTTTATGCCAAGGCCTGAGTTTTGCGTGTACATCCATTTTACTGGCCTATTTATGTGTAGTTGTTTGTTCCTTGTCGCTCAGGCAGATGCACTCTGACTTCAAAGGAAGACCCCAATTAGTCAACTCCTACGACATGCTTGTTGGGGAGGCAGTGGGCTTTTTCTTGTTTTCCCCACAATGAGGCCCAGGAACCCACACAGGAAAGTTTGTCTGCTAACCCAGCTATATTATTTATATCATTTTTATGTCTGTTCAATTTATTATTTATATCAGCATAAAAATATTCCATTCTACATATAATAAAGTGTTGTTTTCTACAGACTTGCTCTGTTTTCTTGTCTGTAAATTGATGTCCTTAACGTATGAACTTATTTTCATGTGAAGCGAATGATTAGTCTTTGCTGTCTATTACAAATCCCCGCAAACACAACATATCATGGATCAGCCCCTGACAAGCCAGGTTAACCCTATTGTACTGTTCGCACCTTTTCTTTCAAAAATGAAAATAATTCTATAAAATAATAATAGACGTAAATAATTCCTCCAATACTAAAGAACCAACTCGTTTAATAAATATATATCTCTGGTATTAGAGAACCATCTGTGATACTAAAGAACCATCTCTGATACTAAAGAACCATTTCATAATAAAACAATCATATCTAATAACAAAGAATCATATATGATACCTAAGAACCATCTCGAATACTAAAGAACCATCTCTGATATTAGAGATCTCTTTATTTTTTCACCGGGTCCCGCCGGTGTGTTGGGAAATGAACAGGCGGACAGACTGGCTGGCTCTGCACAACTTGGTGGAATACTGATACATGATAGGGCAGACGTGATTAGTGCCTTGTGGGAGAGCGTTTAAAATTCGGAGGATCAGATGGGTCACCACATTCTTGTGAGATTGATGCAGTTGGGGGTGAGGAGAGGTTCTGGCAGATACTCGAGGCTCAGGGGAAAGGCAAGACAGATGTTTAATCAGAATGCTACTGGCACCATTAGTATCGGAACTCTTCGCTGGCTGCTGAAGATGGGGACGGAGCGCTTATGGGAATGCCCCGAGGGCTGTGATGTCGGTTCTTGATTCAAATGAAATCAAATATTAGAGAACCATCTCCACAGAGATCGTCTTCCCTTCTACAAGCTGGGAAACCACAAGATGTACTGGAACTTCCCATCTACAGGCCAGCTTTTTAAAAGTTGTAACAGGTCATATTCCGACCATGACCGACTGGGGGAGGCATGGATTGGATACAGTAAAAACGGGCTGACCTTGGACATAAAATCTGGGTCATTGCTGCGGGTCTGATAAGTACAGGAAAGTTTATAAGGAAAAAGTGTCGCTGGAGCCACTGAAAGCATACTCTGAGCTTGATGTCATTTCAGCCTTTTTTCGTGCAACAAAAATTACCAGAAACTATAATATTTAGACTATATCAAGCGCCAAGTCGGATTGGAAAGAATGATAGCAGAAGGCATGGTACCGAGAAAGAGGGACAATCATGAAGATGGGCACATGTTATCAGAAGGAAAGTGCACGAGCTGGGAGAGACCGAGACTCTTTCAGACAGAAGGTGACAAGAGCTATGTTCTGCAAAGGAACTGCTATGTGATAATGATCGTCAAAATTATAACTCTTCGCTAGCTACTAAATGTGTGGGTTCCAGAATCCCAATTTTTTGTAGAGGGGTTGGGATAGACTCGCTGTCCCCAGCAAGCATGCTGTAAAATACGACTGACTGGGCAAGGGGTTCCTTCAGATTGGTAGTGCAATTGCCTGAGGTGCGATACAGGCCAGATTTGTCAAGATGTGCAGGCCAAACTCATTCTCGAACAAGACCAAATTCCAGAAGTGGACAACAAGCAGAATTGTCTGCCGGAGTATACAACCGGCGAACTTTGAGAAGAAGAAAGATAATGCTGAAGATGAGGACTGGGCCATTAGATTCCGGCAGCTTTGTTGCCGACCGGAACCTTCTTCTGGTTCCTTAGCTTGTAGATAGGGAAAAGCGTCCTCTATAACAACCCTTGCATTATTACCTTGCTTTGCGACAAAAACATCGCCACGTTTAACCAACATCCGCAGCTTAATTTTGGCTAGCATTGCCCACCACCAAGTAGCCATGAAAAGCACTCTCAGTGTTGATGCGATCAAAGGAGATTTTAAAAATAAACTGTCCCGACCGGTGACGAAGTCGTCTGCTGGCCAGCCGACGTATTATAAAGCACATCGTCTAAACCTAATTATAAAGCACATAAGAAAAGAGATTGGAACATTTTGTGACCACTGGCAAAATGAGTGGAAAGAGTGATAGAGAATCACACAGCAAGAAGATTCGGACAGACAAAGCATGTAGGGCTGTCAGCACAAGAATTTGTTACATGCTGTTGGAGATAGAAGGTTGTGGAGAGACATGATAGCCAACGCCAGGCTGAGGGTGGTGGTTAAAGGTTAAAGTCGCTGAGGATGATGGTAAAAATAATGCCGCACTGGGTCGAAAGAAAAGATTCAGTAACAGCCACGCCTCAATGGTAAATTCTCCATGTTATGCCGGTATATTGGAAAATGAGCAGGCAAATAGACTGGCTGGCTCTGCACCACTTGGTGGTGAGTTGATGTATGACAAGTTAGAAATTGTGAGGGCCCTTTGGGAGCGAGTAAACAGTGCGGAGGCGCAGATAGATAATTACGGTCTGAGGAGAATGGCGCCGCGAGGAGTTACCAGGGCATCTGGCTGACGCTCAAAACTCTGGGGAAGGATAAGACGGATATACAATCAGATGGTTACTGGTATCATCGGAATTTGAACTCTTAGCTTGCTGCTGAAGATGGGGACTGAGCACTTGTGGGAGGGTCTCGAGTGCTGTGATGTCGCTTCTTAGCTTAAAAGGGTAAATTGTGGCTTGTAAAATTGCAAAAGAATGTTCAAAATTGTTTGCGGATGCACTCGTAAAATGAGGACGTCTGCAACTCCCGATGTGCTGCCAAATCGCCGCAGCTGTGATTGAACTAGGCATGTGCCTAGTAGTGCCCTTTGAGATTTGACATAAATAAACAGAGGGAGGACCCTTAAGGGTAGAAACATTACATGTAATAAACAAACAGACAATGTATTGGTAGGCACTCCTGAAAGAAGTAGAAATATAAGACACACCGGACTACGTAAAGATATTGTAGGCAAGGCACAAGATGATGGTGTTGCTCTTTGGTTTTTGAAAACAAAGTTCAACCACAAGATGGCTGCCTCTACAGCTGGGTTCGAGCAGGAGAACGTGATCAAGAATTTGCAAGAGAATATTCAGCTTGTACTACAACAGATTAAAGGTGATTTTGTCCTTCTGCAGAAGCAATATAACGAGATCAATAGATAATATATCAGGGATCACATTTGGTGACATAATAATATAGATAACTTATTCTGATTTTAAATTTTACAACAGCCGCTGTCTGTGAGTCGCGACGACGTCCCTTTGATCTGACTGATACCTTACCTAGCTACTTCAGTAAAATTTTTAAAATGCCTCTACACCAATAAAACCAGCACAGTTAGATAGCTGTAAACAATCTCTTTCCAATGGTACCTCATTTAGGCTTGTATGTTATTTCTGAGCTGAGATATGTAGGTTTTTGTGGAGATGAGATGTAAGAACAGCCGCTAAAACTTGTAACCCAGAAACAAGAAGTTTTTCTCTGCGCAACCTACTGCGCAGTTCTGTATCGGCTTTGTTTACATTGGACTGTCATTGGACAAGATGGCAGGCAATGAGACACAGCCACTGGCTGAGCCAGCGATTGCCTGAAAAATGTCACTGTACATCTACCAAGCCACCGTTCAGAGATAAATTTTATACACAAATGTAAAATTGGATGGAGAATTCAATTATAACTAGCTTTACCAGGACGAGTAACAGTTAAAGCCTAAAGCCAACCTGAAAAACTTATCGCTATTTTTAATCAAACTGATGTAACAGAAAAACAGAGGATGTCCGGCTGTCGTAGACATGCGCTGTTAATCGGGTTCCTTCCCGCTGTTTTCAGCTATTTAGAGTGGGTGAAAATCACACCAATCGCAAAATTTCATGAGAGATTAGGACCCATCCCGAAACCCCAGCCGACATTTCTGAAACAAGTTTTAAACGGTTTCCATGGTAACAGAAATTGTTGAAAAGATCGCAAATTTCTGAAACTGTAGTCGCTACCTTACCTTGATACTTTAGTCAAATTTTTAAAATTCTCTCTACACTAATAAAACCAGCACAGTTGGATAGCTGCAAACAATCTCTTCCCAACGGTACCTCATTTATGCCTGTATGTCATTTCTGAGCTGAGATATGTAGGTTTTTGTGGAGATGAGATGTAAAAAACAGCTGTTGAAAACTTGTGTCCGAGAAACAAGAAGTTTTCTCTGCGCAACCAAACTGCTCACTTTCGTTTTGGCTTTGTTTTCATTGGACAAGATGGCAGACAATTTTTCTCAGACACAGTCACATAATAGCGATTGCCTGAAAAATGTCTACTGTAAATCGAACTAGCCACTGATAAGAAAGAAATTTTATACACAAATGTAAAATTGGACGAAGAATTCAATTATAACTAGCATTACCATGTCTGGTAACAGTTAAAGCTTAAAGCCAACTTTGAATACTTATGGCTATTTTCAATCAAACTGATGTAACAGAAAAACAGAGGACGTCCGGCTGTCGTAGACATGCTCTGTTAATCGGGTTCGTTCCCGCCGTTTTCAGCTATTTAAAGCTGGTGAAAATCACACCAATCGCAAAATTTCATGAGAGATTAGGACCTATCCCGAAACCCCAGCCGACAATTCCCAAACAAGTTTCAAACGGTTTCCATGATAACGGAAATTGTCAAAAAGACCGCAAATTGTCGAAACTGTAGTCGCTATAAAAAACAGCTGTTGAAAACTTGTGTCCGAGAAACAAGAAGTTTTCTCTGCGCAACCAAACTGCGCACTTTCGTTTTGGCTTTGTTTTCATTGGACAAGATGGCAGACAATTTTTCTCAGACACAGCCACATAATAGCAATTGCCTGAAAAATGTCACTGTAAATCGAATTAGCCATACCTAGGAAAGAAATTTTATATACAAATGTAAAATTGGACGAAGAATTCAATTATAACTAGCATTACCATGTCTGGTAATGTTTAAGGCCTAAAGCCAACCTTGAATACTTACCGCTATTTTCAATCAAACTGATGTAACAGAAAAACAGAGGATGTCCGGCTGTCGTAGACATGCGCTGTTAATCGGGTTCGTTCCCGCTGTTTTCAGCTATTTATAGCTGGTGAAAATCACACCAATCGCAAAATTTCGTGAGAGATTAGGACCCATCCCAAAACCCCAGCCGACATTTCCCAAACAAGTTTCAAACGGTTTCCATGGTAACGGAAATTGCCAAAAAGACCGCAAATTTCCAAACACCGTAGTCGCTACCTTACTGACCTTACTTTGAAATTGAAGTATTTGAAGCTTGATGGAACAGATAATATTATCATCAAGCCAAACGGAAACAAATTATTGAGAAGGAACTACAGAGAAAGAAAAAAATGTCTTATAATTTGGAACAAAATCAATATCAAGCCCACTGTGGATCTGGCCCAAAGGAGCCACATTGCAAGAGAAGCTATGGGGGACCGGTGGCGACCTTAAACGCACAATCCTATTTGTGACCCAGACGGGACTCAATGTTTAGCATGACTGATATCGAACGCAGAAGAAGAAGAAGAAGAATATCAAACCCTAATAATTTTAATATAGAACTTCTGTTTTGAGGTTTAGTTTGAACAACGGATTAACATCATGGCACACGGATAGTAACCCATAAGTGGTCCGTTCTTCTTCTAACTCAGGTCTGAGTCCAAAGAAGGTCAGCACAGTGCACAGGATCTGTAGCACCGGCGAGGATCCTGAAATACTTTGGGTAGCTTTTCAACTCAAAATTTTGCTAGGGCAGCGCCTTTAGGCTGCTCTTTTTGATTTCCAACTTCCAAGGGATTTTTTACGTGCTTTACAATGCACATGGGCATCCGATCTCACTACCCAGAGACCAGGGGGAATTACTAGAAGTCCAAGTCCACGTGAAAAAAATCCCAGCCCTTACAGGGATTTGAACCCGGAGCCTCTAGCACCCGAGGCGGACATCATGCCTCGAGACCACGCAACCCCCACTTCTATATTAAACATTAGAAGTAATGGTAAACTCACTCAGAGATTTTAGGATTTAGTAAGCAGTTAGTCCAGAGCAGGATAGACTTCATGGCACTTCTTTGAACGGTGATCCTATAGGAACGCAAACCATATGAAGAGCTTGATTCACACAGTTCATACATCATTATACCCCCTGGGTTGGGTTTATCCTTCATGTACACCTTGAAGCGAAGATGTCCTCTCCATGGGCACATGGCTTCATCGATACATATTTTTTTAGTTGGAGTGCACAATAATTTGAACAGCTTTCTCAAGTGTTCATAAAAAAATCGTATTTTATGTAATGGATCATGGTGAGGATCTGTAACAGGCAGCTGAAAAGCATTATTTGCAATATGAAATGCAGATAGGAGGAGCTGAAAACGCCTCCGTGACATGATGGTGGCAGCAAATTGTGATTGGATAAATGGATGTATGCTCCAGTAGTCTGAAATAGACGGCTTTTTCACAACACTCATGTGAAGCAACAGTACAAGAAACCCTCTCACTTCATTTGGGGTTGTGTGTTTCCAGTTCTTAGCAAAACAGCTGTCTGGTTTTACACCGATCTTTGCCTCAGCATAACGATTTGTTTCTTTCGCAAACACAGCAAGAATTTCTTTACTGAAGAAAATATTAAAAATATCCAGTGGTTCATTTGTTCCTTCTGGCAGAAATAAACCTGAAGTGCCAGTAAATGGGGGTACTTCGGTAAAACCTTCCAAATCAAACTGCCAGTCGTCAACCAGTGGTGGGCGTGGCAAATTTTCCCCAGACTCGTCAGATGATGATGATTCTGAATCAAAAATGGCAATTATATCTTCCTCATGTGCAGACTCAGGCACAAAATCTTCATAATCTATGGGCTCTGACTGAATCATGAAAATTTCGTCAGTCTTACTGACATGGGAGCTAACTAAGAAAATTCGTCAAATTTGTACCTTGAGCACTACGAAGTTATTTCCCTTAATTAATCATAGAGAAGTGGACAAGCTAAAGGCTGCAACTAAATTCATCACAAAAATCGCGATTTTAACATGACGGCAAGCATCCAAAGCTAAAATCGCAAGGAGTGTGACGTTGGCAACAGGAAGTAAACGTCGCCTCGTCGCATTTCGTGCGACGCTGGTAGTCAGTGGGTTAAACATTAGAAGTAATGGTAAACTCACTCAGAGATTTTAGGATTTAGTAAGCAGTTAGTCCAGAGCAGGATAGACTTCATGGCACTTCTTTGAACGGTGATCCTATAGGAACGCAATTAATAACATTCTTAATATTAAAATAATGAAGATATTAGGCTATCGTCCGAATAACGGCCCCAAATTATCGAGGCCGAAAATATACCCTAAAAGGGCCTCAGTTGGGGACTATACCGCCATCGCCGAATTGCCCACTTCCAGGGACTATACCGCCACCGCCGAAAGTATCTCCCATGCCGTTACGCGCTGCGTGGATTGGGGCTAAACTAGATGGCTGGGACTCACGTGCAAATAAAATAAAGGAAGCTGCAGGAGATGTGGTAGCTGCTGCTCGTGAATCCCAGCCATCTAGTTTAGCCCCAATCCACGCAACGCGTTGCGATGTGGAAGATACTCTCAGCTGTGACGGTAGTCACCAGAAGTGCACAATTTAAGTGGCCGTAAGTCCGCAATTTACATGTGACTGAGGCCCTGTTAGGGTATATTTTCGGCCTCAATAATTTGGGACCGTTATTTGGAAGATAGCATAAAAACATAAGGTAAAGGTAAAGTCGTTAAATGTGAACCAGCGTCACTGCACGCAGTTATAAACCATAAGTGCTCTGTCACCAGTACGGGCAGCCGGTAAGAAACTGTTTGCCTGTGTTGCCGTCTGCACGTAACTCCGTAGCTACAGTGACATTCCTCCATTTACCCCTGAGTGTCAACTCTGTTATTCATTTCCTAGAGGCTGGGTGAACCCTGGTATCTGCCCGGTTTTGAACACTGACCGTGAGCTGCAATGAGTTGTAGCTGGATTTGAAAGCGAGCCTCCTATCGACTGCGCTAATGCGGCCACAACATAATAACATAATAATAACATATTTAATATTATAATAAATATCTTAGTATTAATATTGTTTGAGATTGGGGTTAATGTTAGGGCTACCCCTACTTAACCTGAAGCCATATTAAATATTACAGAACATTGTTATGTAAACGTACACAAACAATGGATTGTGTTCCTTATGGTCACCGTAAAGAAACAATAGATTGCGTTCCCCTAGGGTTCCGGTCGAAGGAGTACTGACTTTATTGACTGGATACTTTTATCCCACAAAAGGCTAGCCGCCTGGTGAGAGAGTAGCACAAAACATGAACTTCTGCGACTTTCCCATGGGTCTCTGTAAAAATTGCTCTTCTTTTCTTCAGGTAATGCCGGTGTGTTGGGAAATGAGCAGGCAGGTAGACTGGCCAGTTCTGCACTGCTTGTTGATGAACTGATGTATGATAAGCTGGATGTTGGAGGGCTTTTTGAGAGCGATTGAATAGTGTGGAGACACAGATAGATCATTACGGTGTGGGGAGAATGGTGCTGGGAGGAGTTACAAGGGGATCTGGCCAGTGCCCAACACTCAGGGAAAGGATGAGAGGGATATACAATCAGACAGTTACTGGTGCCATCGGAATTGGAACTCTTTGCTTGCTTCTGAAGGTGGGGATTGAGTGCTCATGGAAGTGTCCCAAGTGATGTGATGTCAATTCCTAATTCAACATCCAGTGTTTAATATAATAAATTTTTTTTAATGGTGGTACACAACAGTATGCTGTACCGGCACCTTTTTTAGACTCAATTTGTTTTGGCACTACTGTAATAGACATTTTTTGATGAATAAAAAGTAAAGCACCCTTTCCACGCCTTCAGATGTATTGGGCATTAAGGGCTAGACTTATAGTTATTTATAGACCAGCACTTGGTGGGGGATGTGACAGCATCATTCTGGCCACCTCTACCTCCAAGGACTGTGCCTTGTACCCACTCAAGGCTTGGTCGACCTGGGAGCCAAGGTCATTTTTGAAAATAGTTTGTCTCCGTCGGGAACCCATAATCTTCTTGATTAGCAAGCGTCTAGTTGCTTCACCATGGCAGCTTTTGTAATGAGTGCCGGCACTTTTTTTTTTTTTTCTAATTTGAAAAATCAGTACGCCAAATTGTTTAGTGCCACTGTCTCTGCTTTGAATTGTTTGAGAATTTGAATGTGTTTGTAACTAGTTTTGGTTTGTTTGTTTCAGATGGTGAAAGCCGGGATGTGGACGATGCAGACTTCAACAAAGAAGTCTACTGGAATAAAGTTGGTTAGTGACTCTTTCTAATGTAGTCTGTCTAGTGTGTTTTTCGTAGAAAAAAGATTCTAGTACTCACCACAAAGCGTTCGCGTGCGGATCGAAAAGTTGTGGGTTCGCTCCCTGGCGGAGCCAGACTTTTTTTTTTTTTAAATGACTTCGACTTCCAGGTCACTAAGTGGGTATCGGGTGCAGTCCAGGGAAGCAAAGACGGCCGGCGTGATGCTGACCACATCACCCATCTTGTGCCGATTGGTCTATACAAATATAGATCTAGCCTTATATGCCCTATACGCCTTAAGGCGTGGAAAAGGGAACTTTATTTTTACTCACCACAAATTATCTAAAAAGAGTGATGATACCAAAAAGTGTCTGTTACAATAGTGCTTTTAAAATGATGCTTAGAAAAAGATGCAGTTACTGAGCACCCAAGATACCCTGGATTACTAAAGTAAATCTTATCAGAACAATTTTTTTGCCAACACTATGCTATCAGGGCCAAACGTGGACATATACATCCTCCAATGAACGTAAAATTGTGACAACAGAGATGAAATGCCTTAGAAGAGCTGCAGGAGTTTCAAGGAAAGATAGAAGATGAAATCACGAAATCAGATGAATGCTAGGAATAAAGCCAGTCTTACAAAACATCAAAGAACAACAAATGAAGTGGTTTGGACACCTGACAAAAATGTTCACCCGCTCCCAGAGGGTCCTCACAACAGCTGTTAAAGCACAAGTTCAGCAATTTGAAGCACCAGATTGCAGGTGCACTTCTTCATTGCGAGGTACCAGCAGTCTGCACAGAAATAAGGCAGATCTGTAAAATGGATGTGCGAGCAAAACTCAGGTTCTTTAACAACACCAAAGTCCAGAAGTGGACAAACAGCCAGAACTTTCTGCCAGAGTTCAGAGCTGCTGAGCGCTAAGAAGAAGAAGGAGAAGAATGATAAACTGGAATAATGATTTAATATTGAATGATAAAACTCAAAACAACTTTACTGAAATTCATTTATATATTTTCATCTGCAGCTGCGGTCTTCAAAATCTTGTCCATTGAGACAACAAAAATTTCTCTGGCTTTTTCCAAAAAGCCATTTCCATCCAGTCAGGTATGATTCAGAACTGTATGTTTTTGTATCATCATAAACCACTTTTGCTGTTGAGCGTCTTGGAGAGGAATAATTTGCGATCAGTGCACGCAGGCTGCCACTGATTATTGTCGTGCCGTGAAGGCGTAGAATGTCTTTAATGTTGTCGATCCATATTTTCTGCGGCCGTCCTTTTGCTCTTTTAGCTGATCTTCTCAGATGTAGTGCTTGTGATGGTATTTGATTTTGCTGCATTCTACAAGATGGCCAAACCACTTGATCTGCTGTTTCTCGGTGAATCTAGTACAAGGTGTCATTCCCACAATTTGTCTGGTAGTTTCACTATTCACTCGATCTTGGATGTTTAGGTTGGCTACTTTTCTCAGGCACCTCATCTCGCAGGTGGTGATTTTGTGTACATGGGCTTTAGATAATAAGCGCTCGGATCCCATCATCAGTTTACCCCTCAGCATGTGGTGACAGATAACACCAGCTCTGTGTTGATTTACTATTCTTCTTTGGCTACATGTATAGTGTTCATGTTTGTCGATACCTCTTTGACCTGAAGTTCTTGCAGTCTTTTGAGTGTTGCTGATTCGATATCGTCTCCTGAATCATCTCCTCGTATTGCCTCATTGAGAGCATTGAGAATGTCTGGCCAGTCAATTAACTTTTTCTGCACCTACCGTGGCCCTGCCAGCAAGCCAATCCGCTAGTTCATTCCCATCATCCCATCATCAGTTTACCCCTCAGCGTGTGGTGACAGATAACACCAGCTCTGTGTTGATTTACTATTCTTCTTTGGCTACATGTATAGTGTTCATGTTTGTCGATACCTCTTTGACCTGAAGTTCTTGCAGTCTTTTGAGTGTTGCTGATTCGATATCGTCTCCTGAATCATCTCCTCGTATTGCCTCATTGAGAGCATTGAGAATGTCTGGCCAGTCAATTAACTTTTTCTGCACCTACCGTGGCCCTGCCAGCAAGCCAATCCGCTAGTTCATTCCCTCTTACCCCAGAGTGTCCTGCTACAAAAATTAACTAATTCCTATCAGGCTAGATTTAATCAGCGACTCCAACCATTTTCTTCAAGTCTATCCTGTCTCTATCTTCTTAAGCATGCTCATGAAATCATTTAGAGAGCACGCATGGGAAAAAATGTGGTGTCTCTAGCCACATCATTGCTTTTGTTACTGCCAATCACCTCCATTGTCAGACTGCTTGAAGTCGAGGCAAAGCTGCGCTATCTTCTTCTACTTCTTTCTGGCTTTGTTCCATTCCAGTCCTCTATCAGTCAGGGACGGTCGGATGTTGTCTTCCCAGCGCACCCTGGGTCGTCCTGGAAGTCTGGTTCCCTGGTTCTTGACCTTCCATACCTGCTGTGGTAACAGATTCCCTCCCACTCTGCATACATGTCCGAATCATCTGTGATTGATCCACAGGCCTAGTGTTTCAAGATTATGATGTATTGTCTGATTGCAAACTTTGTCTCTTCTTGTCACACAGACCACCTTTCTCAGATACCTCATTTCTGAGGCCTGCAGCTGGCTTCTGTGAGCCGTAGTTGTCCATTATGTTTACATTTAGATTTAATATCATCTTCCTTGTGTCAGCTACTGTTGCTTAAAGGTTGTGAACTTGTTTTCATAATTTCAAGTTTTTTAAGTAGACAGCTGTGCACTGATTGAATGAATGAATAAATCCAGAATTGACATCACTGCACTTAGAACAGTCCACATTTGGTCCGTCCCCTTCTTCAGTAGCCAACAAAGAGTCGACATGCTAAAAGTAACAGTAGCAACCTGATTAAAAGACTGTCTGAGTTCATATTCCCCCCCCCCCCCCCCCCTTTCCACCCCTTTCTACTCACACCACATTGAATTAATTCTGACCTTGAAATGAGTGTCGATCATTTAGAAAGCAGTGGTAAATTACTGAGCAAAAACAAATTGCAGAAAAAAGCTACAAACAGCCAACAACAAAAAAATTGCTTGAGTGTAACCCTTACAGGATGTAAAGCTAATTAGATCAACACCCGCCCACACTGGTAACTATCTTGTAGGGCCCCAAGCTGTATGGCTGCACTGTAGAAAGGGTTTCCCAGATTTGTACCTGTTTGATTCTCATCCTGGAGATGTTAATCCTACAGACTGGAAATCTGGAGGGGAGAAACTTAAAAAAAAAAATGAATTGTATGAGCATTGTACTTTCTGTGCATTCAAAACTATATGTTTCTGTGCATTTTATGAACATGGTATCTATTTCTTTTATTTATGCAAATTAAGAGAGCTGGATAGTGCACAAACTACCACACTTCTATTAATACTTTTAATGATCACTGGCGCTGTGAGGAGTTACCAGGGGATCTGTCCGACGCTCAACACCCAGGGGAAGGATAAGACGGATATACAATCAGACGGTTACTGGTGCCATCTGAATTATAACTCTTTGCTTGCTGCTGAAGATAGGGACTGAGCCCTTATGGGAGTGTCTCGAATGTTGTGATGTTGATTCCTAATTCAACATACAACATTCAGTAATCATTAAAAAATTTTCCTAGTCCTAACAATAGATATACGGAAATGTGTCACCTATTGACTGATGATTAGTCTATACAATTATAAGTATGTGCAATGAATGGAACGTAAATTGAGGAAAAGTATAATTTGAATACTCAATTAAATCTAATAAAATAAAAATGTTATTTTCCTGTGTGGATTCCAGGGCCCCATTTTAGCGGGTGAGGAATTGGGAAAATTGACCCATGGCCTATTAACAAACATGCTGCAGTAGGTGACTGATTTAAGAATTTGTTGGAAGTGATATCACAGGCAACTGTAAATCACAACACAAGCGCCCCTTTAAGGCCTTTGCAGAATGTCATTTATTTTCATCACACCCTGCCTGTAAGAAACTTGGTCTCCTGCCAGATCTTCTGCCGTTTACACTTTTCTAGCCATGGTGTCACTTATATCCTGTGCCCATTTCCGTGCTGCTCAACCCCTGACCCTCTTTCCTGACACCATGCTTCTGCTGTAATTTTTTTGGCTTATCGCCGCAGCGCTTGCTTTGGCCAGAATATTTCAATTTTCCAGACAAGATGCTGTTTACTTGCAAATCTTCCTTCTGATAGGATTATTTCTTTACCTCTTAATGAAGAAGAACAAATAATTTATATTGATCACTTTTTCCTCTTCACAGAACACAGAAGCAATGGTAACTGAGCTAGAGAAAAGTATGTTGACGCTAGTTTCGGTGTACTATGCTCTTCCACTGTCTCAAGGTATGATGATAGTAACTGGAAGCAATCTTGCTTCTGCTTATTTACACATTTTTTTTTTTTAAAATCTTCACTCAGTGCTAGTAGATTATTTTTCTTGTTTGGAAACTGATTTGTCATCATTTTCATTCATTGACATGTGCTTTGTTTTATTTTTCTTCATGCTTGGCTTCTTCTTCATTTATCACTTTTAATCTGTTCCATTCTTTATTTTTTGTAGGTAAATATAATCTTTTATTGTATATCTGTTCTGTTTTTGTATCGTATTCGGTCTGTTTCAATTCTTTATTTAATATTTAATCTATTTTAATATTTATCATATTTTGTCACATTCATTCTTTATTAGTTTGGTCTATTTCATTCTTTATCACATTTGGTACGGTTCTGTGTTTATAAAGTGTGGTCCATTTCATTCTTTATAATGTCCCAATGTGGGTTCCAGGGCCCCTTTGTGAGGAAAATAAGAATAAACCCACTGCCTCCCCAACAAATAAGAGTCGACTAACTAGGCTTCCTTCAAAGTCAGAAAACATCTGCCTAAGAGGCAAGGAACCAACAGTTTGCATACAGATAAGTCAGATCTGTTAAATGGATATGCATGCAACACTCAGATTGTGACCGGTAACATTTGTACTCTGTGCTGGCTGCTGAAGATGAGGACGGATCATGCATGGGAATGCCCCTAGTGCTGTGATGTCAATTCTTGACTCAACTCAACGTGCGCAACACTCAGGTTCTGAAACAAGACTAAAGTCCAGGGGTGGATGAACAACAAGAACTTTCCACTGGAGTTCACAGCCGGTGAACGTTAAGAAGAAGGAGAAGATTCTTGATAAAGTGTTGTCCATCTGACTCTTTATCACAATTGCTGTTTCATGTATGGTCTGGTTCACAAAAGCAATATTTGCATGCAGGCAGTTCCCCGTGTGGGTTCTGCGGCTCATTTGTGGAGGAAACAAGAATAGACCCACTGCCTTCCCAACAAGCATGTCATAAGAGCCGACTTAACTGGGGGCTTCCTTCAGAGTCAGATTGTATCTGCCTGAGAAGCAAGGAGCTAACAGTCTGCATTCAGAAAAGTCAGATCTGTAAAACGGATGTGCATACAACACTCAGGTTCTGGAACAAGGCTCAAAGTCCAGAAGTGGATGAACAACCAGAACTTTCCACTAGAGTTTACAGCCCGTGAACATGAAAAAGAAGACAACCAGGCGCTGTATGTGTGTGGAGATGACCGCTAATGGTTTGGTTATATTTTCAAAGTATTACATTGTTACTTCTGCAGGCACCACACTCCATAAGCACTTGCAGGAAACTGTGCTTCAGATCCTGGCCAACTTGCAGGGCTTTGTCAGTTCTTTGTCTGAATGCGTCATGTCCGAGAGGTAACCATCATCATCATCATCACTGTCATCATAGTTGTGATTATCCATCATGGTTATCAGCATCATCTAGGTTAGGCCTGGCAGATGAAGAGAAAATTGGGAAATATGTGCAAGTGTGCCTGGACATACACATACACACACACGTTTATTTGCATATTGATGTATGACAAGTTAGATATTGTGAGGGGCCTTTGGGAGCGAGTAAACAGTGCGGAGGCGCATATAGATCATTAAAGTCTAAGGAAAATGGCGCAGTGAGGAGTTACCAGGGGATCTGGCCGACGCTCAACACTCAGGGTAAGAATGACACGGATATACAATCAGACGGTTACTGGTACCATTGAAATTGGAACTCTTCGCTTGCTGCTGAATACGGGGACGGAGCACTTATGGGATTTTCCTGAGTGCTGTGATGTCGATTCTTAATGAACATTCAACATTTATATACATATGTGTGTGTGTGTCGGCATCTGTGGCTTAGGCATTGTGGATGCACTTCGCAATGCCAGGTTACCGAGTTCGATCCCAGCAGCAGACAATTTGTCTTGTGTTGGTTTCGATAGCTGTACCGGGAGCTGACCCGTTCAGAAAGCAGTGGTGAACTACTGGACGTTAAATTTGCCTAGAGAAACCCCAACAGCCAAAAAATGTTGGTGTTGGTTCTACAACATCCTGTAAAGGCTACGCAACTAACCATATATGTATATGTGGGGGGGGGGTCCTGATCCCATGTGGGGGGGGGGGGGGACAGTCCGACTGCCCCCACAAGCATGTAAAAGACAATCAGATATGGATTTGTTGAAGTCAGATGTCTTAGGCTCAAAGATGCAGATATTGTCTCCTAACTGTCAATGACAACATGCCAACTATACTATTGAAGGCGAACGCAGAAGCAGTTATTTTATGAATATGGTTGTCCTTTGCCTTTGTCTTATTTTTGATTCCCTGAATGGTAACAATATCTTTTTTTTTTTTTACACAACCTTTTGTGATATTTCTCTCTCTTCTGGCCAAAATGGCCGATAGCCAGCTGACCGCTGACGTTCTGAAAAGTTATTTGTTTGTTTCCTGATACAAATCCCCCATTTTCTAGACTAGGAGTTCAAAGGTTCCATCACCAAGCTACTTAGTTGAGTGTTTGGTGTAACACTGTGAGATGTGGGTTTCAGGGGGGGGGGGTTCTGTTGTGCCCGCGGCATGTTATTATGTGGGGCCAGTTACATTCAGAATAGTATGTACTTGTGCTGGTACAATAGCGGTGTTCATAATTGTCGTAAGAGTCGACTAAGTGGGGAGCTTCCTTTGAAGTCGGAGTGCATAGCCGGAGAGGCAAGGAACCTACAGTCTGTATTCAAGAGAATGAGATCTGTAAAACTGATGCACAAGCAACACTCCGGTTCTGGGGCAGGACTGCAGTTTAGTAGTGGATGAGCAACCAGAACCTTCCGCCAGAGTTTACAGCTGGTGAACGCGAAGAAGAACAAGAAGACATTTTTGTGTGATTAGAACAATGTGAAAGCATAAATAGATCACAATACAGTATGGATAGAATGATGTGACTGTGAGTGACCAGGGGAACAGGCTGTCACTTTACACTCAGTTTGTATGCACATATGTGTGTATATATGTTTGTATGTTTGTGTGTTTGTATCTATGTATGTGTGTATTGGGTGCCTGTGTGTGTGTAAGTGAGTGAATGGGTTTGCGCATGTGTGTGGGTGCGAGCATGCGCATGCATTTTAGCACTAATGCTTTTGTTTTTGACTTGATATTCAAAATATGCTTATTATTACATGAAAATAACATGCTGTATTGATAAAATACAACTGCTGTGTGAAAGATGGGTGTTTGGAAGGTCTGAATGTAAGACTGGCCTGCGTGCCTAATTTGTGACCCTTTGAAAATAAAGTTTGTTCGTTTGTTCATTCAAAAGCAAGGCAATACAGGTCTATAATCAGTCTGCTGTTGTTACCATTTGCACTGGTTCAGGAACAGAGCTGTTGTAGGACTCATCTGCTGTGAAGTTGAAACCTCGTCCAAAGACTGACTTTCTTCTGCTTTGATGAGAGCCGTTTAGCGCATTACACTTTGTTTATCATAGTGTTTTAATGGCTTCAGAGGTGTGTTGAATTGATACATGACAAGGCGGATGTGGTCAAGGTCCTTTAGGAACAAGCAATGGGATCAGACTACACTCTGACTAAATGGAAGTAACAGACTACACTGCACAGCAGAAATGGTGGGACTGAGAATAAATACAAAGAAAACTAAGATCATGACAAACTGTCCAAACCAACAACCAGTGACCATAAGTAACCAATCACTTGAAAATGTAGAACATTTCACATATCTTGGCAGTGTGGTGTCCCTACAGGGAGGGACAGAGGAAGACATAAAGTCACGCCTGAACAAAGCTAGAGCTGCTTTTGGGAGGATGAGGCAAATCTGGAAATCCAACTATTACTGCAGAGGAACGAAACTCCGACTCTACAAGAGCATCATTTTGTCAGTTCTTCTTTATGGAGCGGAATGCTGGAGAATGACCAAAAAGGATGCACACAAGCTGTCCACCTTCCACCACACATGTCTACGTAGAATTATCACAATTTTCTGGCCAGATACAATCTCAAACACTAAACTACTTCAAGCCACAAACCAAGAAACTTTAGACAGTATGATTACCAACAGAAGATGGAAATGGCTTGGCCACGTTATGAGAATGACTTCTGATATACCTGCCAAAACAGTTCTCACATGGACACCAAAGGGAAAGAGAAAACAGGGGCGACCAAAAACAACATGGAGACGAACGATGGAAAGTGACCTGAGTGCGGCATCTTTGACATGGAAAACTGCACTGAAGATTGCACAGGACAGGAAAGCATGGAAAGTCCTCTCTGAAGCCTCATGTGCCACTAAGCATAACAAGAACTGATGAATGGGATCAGTAGAGAAACAAGATTATTATGGCCTGGAGAGAATGAGGCACCTGAGTGTAACCAGAGGGTTTGTCCGGCTCACTACACTCAGACAAAAGGCAAGACAGACATAAAACCAGATTGTGATGGTCAGTCAGTATTGGAACTCTACGCAGGCTGCTGAAGATGAGGATGACGCATGCATGCAAATGCCCCCCAGTGCTGTGATGTCAATTATTGACTCAACTCAACTCTACTGGCCTCAGGGGTTTCCTGGTGATTTGTTTCTGGTGTCCTGATAGATCAGCTTTTTATGATATTTGTTTCATAAATAAATGGGATATTCTTTTGCAGTCACTCCAGAAGGTTACAGTGGACAGGGGGAATTTGGGAGTCTGTGGACTTCACACTGCTGAAAGGTAGTTTTTCTATTCATCATCATCATCACCACATAACACCTCATGTCGTTGGGTCACCTGTTGCTGTTGACTGACTGATCAGCTCCCTCCATCTTTGAGGGTCTTGATGGACTTCAAGGTTGCCGGCCTAAGGCCTGTCCGGTCAGTCAAGTTCTGTATCAAGGTCTGTCTTGATCTGCCTCTTCTCCTCTTCCTCTCTAATGTACCCTGTAGTACTGTTTTGGAGAGGCCATTAGATCTGATTACATATATGTACCATTTCATTTTCTGCCTTTTCACTGTAGTTAAAAGAGTTTCATAGTTACTGATGTGTGATACTTAAACAGCGAACTTCGTGATTTGTGATGTGATATATAATATGCCAAGAATTTTCCTGAAAGATTACATTTCCAATGCTTGTATCATCTTTTTGAATTCAGCTGTTTAGGTTCACATTACACATAATGTATTTTAGCCAGATTTGCTGAAGCTGGCGGCAGTGGGGTGGCACACAAATTCATTACGGCGTGGAGAGAATGTTGCGGCAGGGAGTTATGGGATCAGGCAAAACACACATGAATGGAGAGTTCATTGAATGCTTGTTCCAGCGGTTTTATTACAATAGCATGAGAAGAGCATCAACAGGCGTGGCAGAATTAAACAAAGCATTCATTTTGAATTAATTTTGCACTTGGGATTGTCAACGACTGTAAACACATCTTCGGATACTGCAATTTCTTACGAACATTTTTTTTTTCCAGCTCCCATTTGACACATCAGATTCTTTCGCTAGCGAATGTATGCATCGACGGTTCACCTGTAATACTATATCGCAGCATTGTGCACATGTCATGGGACAGTGTAATAGTTCAGGTGTTGGTAATAGGTTGCATACAGTCGTGGAACCTATGCTGCATGCAGTCGTGGTACCTAGGCTGCACTCTGTTGTGGGACGTAAGTGGGTTGGGTTTAGGGCCAGTTCTAGATGTTTTGGGGTCGTTAAAAGCATCAGAAAGCCGGGAAACCCAATCTTACCACCCTCTAAAATGTTGGACTGTCCTGTAACATCATCTGGGGGATTTTAGCACCCCGTACGTTGACTGCATTCTATGATGAATGTCCACTGGTTGGCATCCTTCAGATAAAAGTAACTAATTCACCGCTCTCTGAACTTCTTTTGACAGATGTGAGATAACCTGGCCCTTTTCTCGGTGGTCAGAAACAGAAACTGTGAACCATGGGGCGATAAGCACATGCTCTTTGTTTTCATTGGTTAGTGCTTATCACATGACTATGACATGATGATGTTCAAAGCAGGCAGTTTAGACCTCAGCTTTCTGCATGAAAAGGTCAAGCCAGCAACTGTCATGTCTCCTTCTGTTTAGTGTTCACCAGCTGCAAACTCTGGTGGAACATTCTGGTTGTTTGTCCATTTCTGGATTTGAATTTTGTGTGCACGTCCATTTTCTGGTCTGGCTTACTGTCAGATACACTCTGACTGTGGAGAAATATTCCCGGATTGGTCAAATTTTTACGACAAGCTAAGAGAGGCTATGGGTCTTTTCTTTTCCCCCAAAATGGGGCCCTGGATCCTAGACGGGTTCTGTCATGTGACTCTCATTGCTAACTCTAATACATCAATATTTTGCAGATAACAAAGAGTGTACGCTGAGGAAGTTGAAGGAAGTATCTGAGCTGGTCCAGGATGCTTTAGTGGAGATGGAAGAGGTGGGGGTTTGTTTGTAGTTTTTTTTTGTGGTGGGGGGGGGGGGGGGGGGTTAAATTTCTCCCTCTTTTTGGAGGTGGGAAGAAAGTTGTTCATTTTAGAACGGTCATCATTCTATGGATTTTGGAGCCTCATTTCTTTAGACCTTCATATTCCATAACAAGCTTGTTGTAATGGCCAGTAGTTTAGTTTACTGAAATTAGATGTGCTGGGCTGAAGGCCTTAGATATCACAGCCTAGCTATAAACCACAATGTGCCAACCGCCCTTTTAACGGCAAACGCACACAACATTCAGAGTTTTTTTTTTTTTTTTTTTTTAAATAAATAAGATTTGTCCATGTTTGTTTGGTTGTGTGTGTGCGGTGTTTTTGATGTTGTTGACATTTCCGAACAGTTTGTCCTGAAATGGAGCTGATGTGGGCAGGAACATATTTTCTCTGCACTGCATGTGTTGGACATTCACAGAAAATCTTGCTATCATTTTACCAGTTCCATAGTCATGTTCATATGTATATCCCTTTTCTTCTTGTGATCGCTCCGTTATTAACGCCTACAGATGGGTTCTTTGATAAAATGGAATTTTTTTTTTTAAAGATTCTTTTTGGTTCCATGCAACTTTGAGTGTGGTGTTCTTAGCGGGCTGTACAAGGGACAGACTTGCAGGACATATTCTGTAGTTTGCACATACAGCCCACATGGGCACTGTGGCTAACTGTTTAGACAAAGCCTGTATATAGGCTTTGTGAGTACGACTCGTAATTCCAACGTGCCGCGATTGAAACCCACTGCTGGCTGCATGAATTTTTAAAATGGTATGGGCCGTCGCAGATCGGCCCAGTCTTAAATGGGTACCAGGATGGATGTCCTGGGAAGTAAAGACCGACGGCGTAAACCACATTACCCACCTAGTGCCGATTGGTCTGTAAAAAAAATATGGGGTGCTCTTCCCATACACCCAATGCGCCACAGGCGTGAAAAGGGATCTTTACTTTGTATATAGGCTAGCAAAATCTCCTGAAATAAGCTTATTGAACAAATGTGGAGATGTCTGAAGAAGTCTGCAGGATTGACTAGAAGAGATACAACAAGGAATGAGGTCATTAGAGAACAAGTCAGCACAGAAACACAACTAAACTACATTCAAAAGACATCAAATCAATGGCTTGCCCACTTAGAGACTATACCTTGTGATGTCATACCCAACAAGGCCTACACTAAAATGGTGAGAAGGATGAAGAGCACGAGATGGACAAAGAACAAGATAGAAAGAAAAACTTAACAACAGCACAGTGAATCTATGGTCGAGGAGCCAGAAGAGCAGAAAACAGAACTTTATATCTTCCTCAACACCCAAAGCCGTAAAAGAGAAATGCAGAAGCAGATAAAATGTTGTTTCAACATGTTATATCCTTTTGTACCATTTTAATATTTCTTTTTGATCTGGCACCAGTTAGTGAATGTTTGTGAAAATGTTATTTTTATCTTATTCATTGTGTGTCATGACGATATGTAAAGGCTGTCATGTTTGGTCATATCACACAGTCATCAGAATCATAGATCAGGTCAGTATTCTTGTCTCAGTCCCATCCATACGGCCAAGCCATCCAGGTATTTGTCTCTTTGCCTTCTCCTTATTCTTTCTTCCATCAATGTTTCTATTAGTTACCAAGTTATTGAGTCCATTCCTTCTAATAATATGTCAGAAAACACATACTGTCTGCGTCCATTTGTTTTCTAATCAATTTATGACTTTCATCTGTCTCAAGCGTGCTTCTCCATAAAAATTGCATGTCTGCTGCACGTAAATGTTTTTCTGCTTGTTGTCCATTCACGTCTTAACATAAATTTGTGAAGAGATCCTCTGTGGGGAATTGCAGATGAGTAGGAGATGTCGAGATTGGCCTCTTCTACAATAAAAAGATGTGCACAAGCGGGACATGATTGATACAGGTATTGAGGTAGATTCGTGGGAACATGATACTTTGTCGCTCTCACCATGGTCTGCCTAAAAGATACTCAGTGTCTTGCCAGCTCTCCCCCCTCATGTACTTTCAAACTCAATGAGTCACTTATATACTGTGCTCATCTTCATGTTGTTCGGCCCTTGCCCTTCCTTCCTGGTACCATGCCTTTTGCTGTTGTTTTTTCCAGTCTGCCATGGAGCTTGATGTGATCAAAATATTTCAGCTTCTGAGACAAGGTGCAGATTATTAGCCAATCTTTGTTGATGTTTAAATCAATTCAAATGTCAGTATTTCTACTCTTCTTTGTCTATGGTATGTTGAGTTGAGTCAAAAATTGACATCACAGCACTCAGGGCATTCCCATGCATGCTCCGTCCTCATCTTCAGCAGCCAGCACAGAGTTCCAATACTGATGGTACCGGTTACAATCTGGTTATATGTCCGTCTTGTCTTTCCTCAAAGTGTAGTGAACTGGCCAGACCCTCTGGTTACACCCAGGTGCCTCATTCTCTCCAGGCCATAATAATCTTCTTTCTCTATTAATTCCGTTGCTTGTTTCCAAGGGGCCTTGAACACATCTGCTTTGTCATGTATCAATTCGCCGCCCAGTGGTGCAGATCCAGCCAGTCGGTCTGCCTGTTCATTACCCAACAGGGATTATGGTATTCTGAGAATCCTTCGTTATCATGTCAGCTCTTAACACAAACTAATAATTCCTTGCTCCTCAGGCAATAGAGAACGAAGGGGAGCTGGATGACTTTATGCAGGATTCTGAGAAGTCCAATGCTGATGTCTGGTCGGAACAAGATAAACAGGTCGCCCTCTCTTGCACTGGGATGGTAGGTTTTGTACTCATTTTTCACGTGTGGGTTCCAGGACCCTATTGGGGGGAAAACAAGAACAGACCCACTGTCTCCCTAGCAAGCATGTCATAAGAGTCGACTAACTTAGGGCTTCCTTCAAAGTCAGAGTGCATCTGTCTCAAGGAACCACAAATCTGCATACAAATAAGTTGGATCTGTAATATTGAAGTACACGCAACACTTAGGTTCTGGAACAAGACTAAAGTTGAGAAGTGGATGAACAACCAGAACTTTCCACCGGAGTTTACAGCTGGTGAATATGAAAGAGGAAGATTTCCATTAACATGCGGACATTATATTCATTATTATGGCAAACTACTACTAGGACAACACTGGCAAAGCGGAATCACAGAAACTGTCATTATTTGCCTGTGTTGACCACTTTTGCTGTGTAGGTAGATGGGTCTTTGAGCCTGAAGATTTAGGGCCGCATGGCTAGTGCTGTTGCCACGCACTGTGCAGGCTAAGATTTCCTTTTTTGCCCCCGACAGAACAAAAATTCCCAACCTTACTGAGGATTCAAACCTGAGTCTCCCTTATGAGAGCCCTGCATTCTTAACCGGTCAGTCCGTGAAGGGGCTGCCATAGTGTAGCGGCTAGACCCTCGCCTGCGGATCGGAAAGGCGTGGGTTCAGGTCCTGATTAAGCCTCATTTTGTTTATAACCTTGAGTGAGTACCAGGAAGACATCCTGGGAAGTAAAGGGGGCTGGCGTGATGCTGATCACAGATGGGTCTGTAAAATATAGGTAGGGTCCTGTTTACTTGAAGGTGTGGAAATGGGGTTTTTACTCTTTTATTTTAATTTTTTTAATATAAATTATTTACTTTATTGTTTACTATTTCCTGTAGAAACAGCATCATTACAATCTACCACTACACAAGATTGCTGTCTATCATAGATCAGAATTGTCAACCTTTTTAAGACATATAAAAACATACCTGTGTGTGCAACAACAACAAAACAAAACAATTATAAACAGCATAATAAAATACCAGCTTTGAGCACAACATTAAAAATAGCTCACGGCATGACAGTAGCCAGTGCCAGCCGGCAAACACTTGATTGCAAATTATTCCTTAACAGCAGAAGTTGTTTATGATATTCATTAGTTCTTGTTATGCCTAGTGGCACATGAGGCTTTAGAGAGGACTTTCCATGCTTTCCTGTCCTGTGCAATCTTCAGTGCAGTTTATGATATTGATAGGTCAAAATGATGAATAATTTTCTGAAATTATACCCACTTGTCCTGCTTGTCCTAATTCAGAACTTCTAACATTACACTGTGTATCTTATCATAGGTCAAAACAATGAAGAATTTACTAAAGAAGACACAGGAGTCGGTGCAGAAACTGGGGGAGACAGACACAAGAGAAGGAGTCGCAGTTCTCGACGAATTGGTTGATTTAATATCTGGAGTCAATATTAAAGTCGATGATTTTGTGTGTAGTATCTATGCTCCAGTCAACTATACATCAGTTGTACAGAATGTAAGTAAGCATTGTTTTTACTATTTAATGTGTTCAATACCTCCTCTTGTATGTTTGGACCATAAAGTGATAGACTGGCTTGTTTATTTTAGTGACATCCAGATTTCTTCTGCTCCTTCTCCTCTTTCTCTTGTCTTAAGGTTGAGTTTCAAAACCGGATGTACTGAGCCATCTCTCGCCCCATCTGAACTAACTCCCGGCTTCTTGCTCTGCACAAGCCGAGCACAGGCTTATAACCGGTAACTGCTGCTTCTTGTTTGTGTCGTCAGTGACCAGGTCACCCATTGTCTGGCCGGTTGGGACAGTCTCCTTTGATGGCCAACACTACAAGAGTTAATTTCAGAGCTACATGGTGGCAAGCAATGCTAAGCCATTTTATAGTGCTTTGACATAACATAGTCAGAATTATAACCTAAAGCTTCCCCTTTGGGGATGCTGGTTGAACGTGAGGATTTTTTTTTTCCCGCACTTAATCTGGTCACAATTATAACTTAAAGCTCAACTATTGGACATGACGTTTCTTTAAAAAAATTTTTGTGTGTGTGTGTGCAAAGCTGGTAGTTGACGCAGGCAGGAGTGACTTCTCCAGGGCACATGCCGGTGCATGAGGAACTGGAGCAGCAGGTACCCTATCTGTACGTCGCCAGTAATGGCAAGATAAGGGCTAATGCCAGTCAATACAGTTTAGCACTGAGGACAGTTCAGGAACAATTGTTAACATTTCTATCTTCTGGTTTTTCCTCAGTGTGTACAAAAAAAAATTTTTTTTTTCTAAATACACAGCATTGAGCTATCAGTGCCAGACATGAGCAATATCTAAAACCACATGGGCAATATCTAAAGCCTTGGTACTCAAAAATCGCTGCCTGCGAGATGAGAAACGTAACCATCTGAGAACGGGTGGAAAATTATACTGTCGGTCAGATTGTGAGAACAATATTTTGTACTAGATTCATTGAGAATCAAATAATTAAGTGGTTTTAATGCAGCAACATCAAATATCATACAGGCACTTTATCTCAGAATATCAGCTACAACACCAAGAGGACCGCCATAGCAAAGGAACAGCCTGAGCAAGGGGACGGCCAGACCAAGGAGGCGGCCAAAGCAAGAAGACGGCCAGAGCAAGGGGTCATCCAGAGGACGGCCACAAAAATATGGAACCCTGTGTGGGATCCAGGGCCGCATTCTGGGGGAGAAATAATAGAACCTATGCCTCCCTAAACAGGCATGTGTACAAACAACTAATTAGGGGTTTCCTTCAAGGTCAAAGTGCATTTTTCGTGGGGGGGGGGGGCTGTGTGGTCTAGAGGCATGGTGTCTGCCTTGAGTGCTAGAGATTCTTTTCACGTGGACTCTGACTTCTAGTAATTCCCCCTGCTCTCTGGGTAGTGAGATTAGATGTCAGTGTGTATTGTTGCACACGTAAAAATTCCCTTGGCTGTTGGAAATCGAAAAGAGTGGCCTAAGGATGCTGCCTGGGCAAACTTTAGAGTTAAAAATCTAACCGAACTATTTCAGGATCCTCGCCGGTGCTACAGAGCCTGTGCACTGTGCTGAGCTTCTTCGGACTCAGACTTGAGTGAGAAAAAGAACAGAGCACTTATGGGTTACTACCCGTGTGCCATGATGTTGATCCTTTGTTCAAACTTTTAACTTCAAACTACAAATGCATTTGCCAGAGAGGTGAGGATCCAACAGTCTACAGACAGACTAAAAAGCCAGGTATCTGTCAAACCATGTGCATGCAAAACTTCAGTTCTGGAACATGACCAAAGTCCAGAATGGATGAACAACCGGAACTTTCCGCTGGAGTTTGCAGCCAGTAAACGTTAAAAAGAGAAAAGAGGCATTATGCTGAATAAATCTTTATGTAGTTACCTTAGTCTCCATTGTCTGTTTGCAGACAAATATTTTCTTTCACTAATGTTCAATCCACTGTCATTTGTGATTGGCTTTTATGATTGTTCATATCCTGTTTCCTTACCATCTCAGCATGCTGAAAAGTGTATCTAGGATTTGACTTGTTAGTCTGGCTTCCAGAATGCAACTGTCGACATCACAAGGGTTGTAAAACCTTCACATAGCATCCCACTACAGATTCATACTCTGTGTTTCAGTTTATTCATTGCAGTTCAATGCACACAATTTTTATTATGCAAAATTCTTTTTTCTATCAGGGAAAGGCACTAGCAGAACTGACCGACCAGCTCCTCAAGTTTCTAAGGGACAGCACTCTAACTAAAGCAGATGACACCAAATGGTTGGACTTCCTGTCACATGCAAGCACGCACAATCTGGACAAATTGAAACAAGTTACACAGAGCAGTCTGGGTGAGGGTTGATGCTAAGAATGAAAACTGTTGCAGTAAAGGTAGTGGTTGTGGTAGGCAAGGGGAACCCATCATACTATCTTCCTAGAGGGTTTATGATAAACCATTGATTTAATGAACTTTGGGTGTTGAATCATACATGAAGGATGCAGACAACAGTTTAAATGGTTTAGGCACTTGGTCAGAATGAATCTCAACCAGTCTGCAACGCAAACATATTGCATGTGGACAAAGAGGAAGAAAACAATCCTGATAAATATGGTTAGATGTAGTCACAAAGAGGGGTTAGAGATAGATTCCTTTCTTTTGTCCGACTGCTTATGCCATAAAGCGTCCCAGAGAGTGGTTACTTGTAGTTTCCTGTCTTCTGCTAGTTATGTAGCTTGTGTTAATGTCATACCGCATCCTCTGTAGTGTCTCTTTTCCTCCCTCAACCCATCTCTTTCTTGGTCAGCCTCTTGCCCTTGTAGCCTACTGTTCTCATTTAGTACGCTCTAGTTGCTGACTGATTTTGTTCCATTCTGTCCAGGTGACCAAACCATTTGATGTTCTATAAAACCATTGACTAGTGCTGTGCTCACCATTATTAGTTTTTCATTGGTGACTCTGTCTTTTCCTGTTTTTCCCCACCGCATTTGTTTTACGTCTTATCTCACATGTTGTAATTTTGTGTATATGTTTTTCTAAGGACTGTCCGTGTCTAGCACTGATAGTACACAGTTGGTACGAATAGCACATTTATCAGCTTTTATTTTTTTTACTTGCATGTTGATATTTTGATACCTCAAAATCGGGGCTTTTTGGTAATTTATGTTATTGGCCATCTGTACGGAGACATTAAGGTGGTTGCTGCAACAGAGGATGGAAGACGGGTGGTTTGGACTGGTGTGCTAGAACGGTGATCTCCAGTCTGTTTCAGGCCCCCCCCCCCCCCCCCCCCATATGGCAAGGGCCCCCACCCCTTTTTCCCTGTTAACAAATTGGGATCAGAACAAGGAAGAATGTGCTCTTAATCTATAATTACATGCAAGTATTACCAAATTGATTAAACAGTAGATTTACACACTGCTCTTGAAAACAAAAAAGTCTTTGGAATTTTATTTTACAGTAGTTAAAATATAAATATTTTATATATAATTGAAAAACAAAAGTTAGCGTAGATGATTATTACAAGTATAGATTAACTCATTATCAAAATTTCTTGACAGCTTTTTTGGAACTTCCTTATGCAACAGTTCACAAGAAGAAGAAAGCTGCATTTCTTGCAGTAGCTAGAAAACTACATATACACCCTTTTTGAAATTCTTAGTGGCCCAAAGAGTAAAGCAGACAAAGAATAAGGTATTAGTTGGTACAGAGTAAAATGTGCGAGTCGCTGTGGCGTTGGCAGCCAGGCCTTCGGATCGGAAGGTCATGGGGTCACGTGGCAAAGCCGGACTTTTTTTTCTAATGACCTTGGCTCCCAGGTCAACTCAGCCTTGAGTTGGTACCAGGTGCGGTCCTGGGAAGTAAAAGCGGCCGGGGTGATGCTGACCATATCATCCACCAAGTGCCGATTGGTCTAAAAAAATATAGGTCTAGCCCTATATTCCTATTACACCTGAAGGCGTGAAAAAAGGACGTTTACTTTACTTACAGAGTAAAGTGTAAACCTGTGTGTTTATTGAATGGGTGTACACACGGCTGGGGTTTTTTTTTTTACCTGGAGACAATATCCAAAGGAACTAACTACCCGGCACCTCTGAAGCAATGCCTGCCGCTTTGCACGGAGCACGCCTGTTTTCAACTTTCTCAACATACTCTGTGAGTCAGTTACAATTATGGCATATGTGTACAGCTGATTCTCAATCCAGCGGAAGACAGCAGTGACTGCCTCCACCTCCATTCTCAAACTAGACAGTGTGATTTGTAAAGTTTAAGCACATAACCGTTTGATGGTGATAATGATGTACACATTCATTGAGTCTGCATTTGGTACAGTGTATTTGTTTGTGAACGTAATGCCACTTTGTATATGATGGTATAGTTTATGTGTGTACATAATGCCAATATGTGTATGATGGTACAATGTCAAACATGAGAATTTAAAATGCAGTATTTATTCCATTTAAAATGTTCCCTGAGTAATGGTATTGCAGTTCCATCTTTATAGTTTCTGTGCCAGTGAGAATCGAAAACTGTTCCATCAGTAACTCTTGTGAGAAAATTTACATAGACTGCAGTCTCAACAAAGCCAGTAGCTGACGCATAGATAAGGAAGTCATCAGGAGTGCCAGCACAAACAGTCTGACACCAGAAATGCAGTTCGTCGTTTTCTTAATATTTGGTTGGGGGTCTGTTGACAACGAGATGCATAAGCCTTCTGAAGTAAACATTATCAAGCAAGATCTAACCTCAGCCAGTCTGATTGTGTTATTAACAACATTCCACATTTTAAAACAAAAAGATCAGTGTGGTATTGGTGACAGCCTTAGTACTTGCCGGGAATGCTCAGGAGGACAGTTAGTTAGTTGCGTATCCTTTACAGGATGTTGCAGAACCAACTCCAACAGCCCCTGGCTGTTGTGTGGTTGCTCTAGGCAATTTACGTCCAGTAGTTTGTCCTTGCTTTCTGGGCGGCCGGCTTTCTTGATACCACTGTCGAAACCAACGCAAGGTGTTTGGCCCGCAGCTGGGATCGAGCCCGGCATCCTGGCATTATGAAGCGTTTGCATTGACTTAGCCACAGAGCTGACCAGGGCACAGTACAGAAGCTTAAAAGGAGTGACCCATGTAAGGTCTTCACAGCAGTGGAGATCGACAAGACTTCACAACAGGGGGAGATGGACACAGATTTACAGCAGGGGGAGATTGACAATATTTCACAGCAGGGGGAAATCAACATGACTTCACAGAAGGGGATCAACATGACTTCACAGCAGGGGATCAACATGACCTCACAGCAGGGGAAGATTGACAAGACTTTACAGCATGGGGAGATTGACAAGACTTCACTGCAGGGGGAGATTGACAAGACTTCACTGCAGATAGATTGACAAGACTTCACAGCAGCGGGAAATTGACAAGACTTCATAGAAGGGGGAGATTGACACGACTTCACAAAAGGGGGAGATTGACACGACTTCACTGCAGACAGAGATTGACAAGACTTCACAGCAGGGGGAGATTGACAAGACTTTACAGCAGGGGGAGATTGACAAGACTTCACAGCAGGGGGAAGATGGGACACAACTTTACAGCGGGGGAGACAACTTCGCAGCAAGGGGAGATGGGACACAACTTTACAGCAGGGGGAGATGGGACACAACTGTAAACCATAACTACAGGCACAGCAGACAGTTTGAGCCATTGAACTTCGCCCAAATAAAACCAGATCACAATTATAACCCAAGCTATTCTCTGCAAATTACCTCCCCCTCCGCACTAAACAACAATTGTGTATGCTATGCCGTCTTCTTCTTCGCGTTCACCAGCTGTAAACCCCAGCGGAAAGTTCTGGTTGTTCATCCACCTTTGCAGTTTTGTCTTGTTCCAGAACCTGAGTGTTGCACGCATATCCGTTGCACTGATCTGACTTATTTGTATACAGACTGCTGGTTCCCAAATGTTCTGCGACTTTGAAGGGAGTCCCTAGTTATTTGAATGTTATGATATGCTTACTGGGGAGGCAGTGGGTCTATTCTTGTTTTCCCCACAATGGGGTCCCAGAACCCACACGGGTTGCTATGCTGTAGCAAGAACTGTTTGTGTCCTAATCTAGCAAAAGTAAAGGGCCTTTCCTTGGCTGCCATCACATTGGTGATAAGGCACATGCTTGAGGTTTGAACAACGGATCAACATCATAGCACACGGGTAGTACCCACAAGTGCTCAGCACAATGCACAGGCTCTGTAGCACCGGCGAGGATCCTGAAATACTTTAGGTAGATTTTTAACTCAAAATTTTTGGCTGTTAGGCTACTCTTTTCGATTTCCAACTGCCAAGGGATTACTTACGTGCGCAACAATGCACACGGGTGTCCGATCTCACTGCCTAAACACCAGAGGGAATTACTAGAAGTCCAAGTCAGCGTGAAAAAACCCAGCATTTTCCAGGGATTTAGCCTAGAACCTTTAGCACTCGAGGCCGACACCATGTCTCCAGACCACGAAGCACCCCTTGTGTTACACTGGTAATAATGCACTTTGTTTTGTGAGTAACTGAAGGTCAAGCACTCTTTCCATGCCAGTGGCACTTTAAGTAGATGATTCATGTTTCTGTAGACCAGTCGGTGCTCAATGAGTTATGTCATCTGCCACAAGCCGGTCACCTTTACTTCCCAGGACATTGCCCGGTATCCATTTTAGGCAGGGTTGACCTGGACCTAGGTCAGTTTTTTAAAATGTGCCTGGGTGCTGAATCTAACCCCTGACCCTGGGGCCAGTATGTCAGTGTCTAGCCACTGAGCTACTGCGGCTTTCCTGGCATATGGTGCTCAACCCTGATTTGTCAAGGCATTTGGATTGCTAGTGGATGTTGGGAACGGTCATGCTAGTACCCTTACTTCCAGGGAATGAGTGATTCAAGAACTGACATTGCATTTGGGACATACCCACACCTGCTCTGTCTTCCTGTTTCAACAGCCAGCGAAGAGTCGACATGCTAAAATTACCAGTTTCTATCTAAATAAAAGTCCGTGATCTCTTTGCACGCCCCCCCCCCCCCCCCCCCCCGCCCAGTCATTGAAGTGGTCTCTCAGTGATGGAAAGATAACATCAGAGAAACTCTACAACAGCAGGATGTGTCCATGCTCGAGACGGCCAGAAGCAGTGCTGCTACCTTTCTTTGACAAAAAACACACATCCAAAACGGAGTCAAAAAATATCTAAAAACATCTACATTTGCGTGGAAAACATCCAAATGGAAAGAGTCACAAATTACGTAGCAGTTGAAATGACTTTCCCTAAAGAATCATGTCCTCATCTTTACTGAAGTCTGCCTCACAAGATCCACAGGGAAAACTTAGCTTGGAT